AGCTTGGAAGTTGTCATACTACCCTGATGAGGCGTAAAATGCTCAATAAACTGAGAAAGCAACCAGCTCTTCTCACGAGAGCCACCCAGAGGTGAACAGAGTTCACAAATGACAAATGAGGGGAAACTTCTCCGGGAACAAGGATCAGGGTAAGGAAACCTAACTGGTCATGAACAAATTGCTGGATCCACACCTTGTACCAATCCCCAGGAGAACTCATGGGGAAGGGTACAAACTTTGGGGAAGTTTATTTCCTGGCACACTGCCAGGTTCTCAGTTTTGTGGAGAATATGTGCTTCTGGCATGGGATAAACAAGAAACAGTTTAGAAACATGTGGAACTTTGTTTTGTTTTTTTTTTCTCAAAATAGTCTGCCCTTAGAAGAAGTGATTAATCAGATCCTAACCAGCTGAGGCATAAAATCTACCAGATTGCAGAAGGGAAATCCTATGCCAGCCAAAGTAAGAAGAAAAGATAAAATTTGGAAGCCAGGATCAGGTGGCTAATGCCGGTAATGTTAATTACTTCAGAAGCTGAGACTTGGAGGATCTTAGTCCAAAGCCGGCTCAGGCAGAGAAGTCTAAGAGACTTTATCTTTAAAATAACGAGCAAAAAGCTGGGTGGAGGGGTAGCTCAAGCAGGAGAATATCACCCATGAGCAAGGAAGTTGAGGGAGAGTGCAAGGCCCTGGGTTCAAACCCAGAATCAGAAGAGAAAAAAAAAATAGAGCAGATATAAATAAAATTGAAGCTGGGTGTAGTGAGTTAGTCCTATGATCCCAGTCCTGGGGAGGTTGAGGCAGGATTGTGAGTTTGAAGCTAGGCTAGGCTATATATTGAGATCCCATCTCAATAATCAGAGAGAGAATGAGAGATCAAGAAAACCAATGTCTATATTCAGATTGTTATATCCCTTATTAGTTATTAGGACTAGTAAGATATATTTCATTAAACTTCATTAAATAGAATTTTTGCCCTATGATAAAAATACAGAAAATACTGGGTGTTGATGGTGCACACCTATAATCCTAGTTACTTGAGGAGGCTGAGATCTGAGAACTGAGGTTTGAAGCTATCCCTGGCAGACAAATCGCAAGACTCTTATCTTCAATTAACCAGACTGGAAGTAGAGGTGTGGCTCAATGGTAGAGTACCAGTCTTGAATAAAAAAAGCTGAACAAGAGCATGAAGCCCTAGTATAAGTCCCTATTCCCCCAAAAAGAAAAAGAAAAAAAAAACTATACAACTCTTGAAATCAAACCATTTGATTAGAAACAGGCCAAAAACCTTTACTATACATCCTAGGAAAGACATACAGATAGCAGAAAGCAAATGAAAGGACTCAACATCAGATGTCATTAGGGAAACAAAACAATGGGGCATCATTGTATATCTACATAAGGACCAAGTCCAGAACACTGGCAGCACCAAACACTTGCTGAGGATGTAGATCAACAGGAACTCTTGTTGCTGGTAGGGATGTAAAATGGGACAGCACTGTAGAAGACAGCTGGTTGTTTCTCATAAAACCAAACATATTGTTAGTATATAACCCAGCCATCATTCTCCCTAGTATTTACCCAAAGGAGGTGAAAACGTATCCATACAAAAGCCTGCACACAGACATCTGAAGCAACTTTGCCAAGATTGAAAGCACTACATGTGGGAGATAGAGATGAAGAGATACCCCACAATTAGGACACTAAAACCATTCTATATGATGATATATGGTATATACATTTTTTTTCTTTTCTTTTTGTCAATCCTGGGGCTTGAACTCTGGGCCTGGGCTCTCTCCCTGAGCTCTTCAGCTCAAGGTGAGTGTTCTACCACTTGAGCCACACTACTTCCAGTTTTCTGGTGGTTAAGTGGAGATAAGAGTCTCATGGGCATTTCTGCCTGGGCTAGCTTTGAGCCATGATTCTCAGATCTCAGCCTCCTGAGTAGCTAGGATTATAGGCATGAACCACTGGTGCCTGGCATATTTTTTCTTTTTCAGGTTTGTCTAAGCCTATAGAATGTCCATCATGAAGAGGAAGCCCTAATACAAATTATGGTCTCTGAGTTATTATCATGTGCCAATGTAGGCTTATCAATTGTGACAAATATACTAGTTGAGGGATGTTGGTAACAGGAGAGGCTACAGAAAATAAAAATAAGAGCCCATCACTCTGTATGCCATGTACTTATCCTGTGTACTTAACATAGATGATTTAACTTTCCTAGATGACAGGTACTACTATTAGTCCCACTTTAGAGGGGAGAAAACAGAGACTCCAACAAGTCCTAAAGGATATCAGAGCAGTAGGTAGTAGAGTGCTATCTTTAACTCAGAAGCCTGGACTTTTTGCTTATCATCTGTTCACCAACACTGGGCGAAGAGGGAGAACTAGTACATGGGACCCCTCATTTCTTCCTCCTAGTTGCCATTTGCCTTCCATATGTAACTCACATGGTATGTAGATGTGGGTGGCCCAGTTGCCCCGCTCATGGGGAAATGTGCGAATCCGTCCCCCATGTTTTGTACAATCATCCTCAGGCCCTTCTGCTGTGCTGGGAAACATGTTCAGCACACTCTCAGGTACTGGAAGCTTCTCACAGGGCAGGGGGCTCTGGCTTCTGCAAGAGAAAAAACAAACAAACAAGCACAATTATTCTTGGCACTCTACCTCTGTACATCCAACAAAAGTTGTGATCACTTATACATAGTGGCTGGGTGTGGATTTCCAGGCAACTTCTGGACAGCCACAAAGCTCTCTTCCCACTACTTGTCTCCCAACAACGTGGGGAAACAGACAGGCTGCTTGGTCTTCATGGGAAACACTGGGGTGCGCAGCAGTGAGTGGTTGGTAGGTCAATTAATTACCTAACTGGTTTGTCGTGGGCTGGATGGCATATTCTAGCTGTGTAATAATCTTGGGCAAACGTTCTCTTTTGGGAGTACAACAGTTTCCTCACGTGTAAAGCATATTGCTACCTGATGGATCAACTGAGATAATGCTAGCAACAAGAAGCGAAGAGACTCTGATGGCTTTTATTCATTGGAGTTCTCAGTCTCGACTGGCTCAGAACGGGTTCGATGAACATTCATTGCGCCTTGCCTGCTATTATCTCCGCAATTATGTTCCAATGAGCCAACACACCTAGAATAGTGCAATGCTGTGCAGATGCGAGTGTGGACCTCATCTCGTGTTCCTGCCTCCCAGCCTTGTCATAGCAGGTGATGGTACTCTGGGGGCTGTGTCCACAGGTGTCCTCTGTTCCCTCTGCACTCCACTTTTCCATCCCCAGGAGCTACGCGGCCCTCCCCGCCGCCCCAGACCCTCAAGTCCCAGTGGGGGAATGGCGCCCTCGCGCGCGACACTTCTTAGGTCCTCACCGACGGCGCCGTCCATTCCCGGGCCTGATCCACCCCGTGGTCGCAGACGCGGCCTCCGCCTCGGCCTCACCCTCATCCTCCGAGCCGCTGCTGCTGTAGCCCACCAGGGGCGCCACGCTCATGGGGCCGCGTCCGAGACTACCGGGCGGCTCCCGCGGGCAACCTCACGGCGCAACCGGAGTTCCGTGGAGCCGGAAGTGCTCCCGGGGGCGGGACCTGGTGTAGCACCGCCTCCGGGCCGGGCGGGGCTGGAGCGGGTTGGGCCGTGCGCGCTGACCGCCCGGGAGCGCACGCTGCCGGCTCGCTGTCTGCGCGCGGAGGCCTGCCTGTTGGAGCTCCTCAGCTTCGGCGTTCCCGTCGCACAGGTTCCACAGTCCCCTCTTTAAACGGGCCCGTAATCTTGAGTCCCGGGGTCCCGCTCTTCACAGCCAAACCAGACGGTCCGCGAGGCCCCTCGCGGTCAGGTGCAGGCATCGCGCCGGACCCGGGCGCCTCCTCTCCGGAAGCGGAGTGGGTGGGAACTGAGCGCCCGCCCCCTGTCAGCCGTAGCGCGGCGGCCTGTCGGCCGGAGCACCGCCCTCGGTGCGGGCCAGGCCGCAGGGCTCCCGGTAGGGGGCGCCTTCGCCTCGCCGCCACCGCCGCCCAGCCGCTCCTCCCCGGCCCCGCCTCCCTGGCCCCGCGCCGCCCGCCCGTGCGTCCGCCGGTCTCTGCAAGGCCATCCGTCGGTCCACTCGCCCTCCCGGCGCTCCTCCGCCCCAGCCCCGCTACCCCCGTTGCGCGCTTCGCTTCCTCTGTTCCGGCCGCTGCAAGTCCGTCCGCGGGCCGCCGCTACGCGAGGCCGTGGATTGGCAGCGTGCATAGGCCGCGCCGCTGCCGCTGGAGCCGGAATAAAGGGACGGCCGAGACAGCAGCTGGTCGCCGCTAGCCCCGCGCCTTGCCCCGCGGGCGGTCTGGAGCAGGTGAGCGGCGGAGCACCCTGGGCTGCGTCTTCGGGGATACTTCCGCTCCCGCCGCACCCCTTCCCCAAGCCGGCCCAGCCGTTCCCCCGCCCCTCAGGCCCGACCCACCGGCCGCTTTCCGGGTCGGGCCTGAGGCTCTGGGCCCTTCTCGGGCCCGGCCACCCCACTCTCGGGCCGCGGCGGCCCGGCCATCCTGCGCCAAGGCTGACAGGCGGCAGCTCAGTTGCACGGCCCGGGAGGGCCAGGTAGAGTGTGATCGGTTTTCATTCGGTTTCCCAGCGAGGTAGGGCTGGGGTGGGGCGCAGGTGGGTCTGGCCTCCCCTCCCATTTGCCGAGTGACCAGAAAGAATTCTTGGCTGCACCTTTTCCTGGTTGAAGACTGGAGTGGGCAGTGGGATTGCTGCAGGGAGGGGGTGGGGCTGGCAGCCATTGCCAGGAAGAAAACATACACTTGGATTGGCTCAGCTAGACCTAGACGGCGCTCTGAGCAGCCCACCTTTCCGCCTCTCTGTCCCATTAAAGGCTTAATATACCTGCCCCTCTCCCTGAAAGATGCTGAGGATGACAGCTCTTAGCTTGACATTTGTTTCTTTGCAGAACTGTTGGAAGCCAGTCTGGCCCACTCTACCTTTCTTCCTTTCAAGAGCAAACATATACAAACTTTTAAATGCAAGAGGCAACAGAGCTGGGAGCCTGGAAGTAGGCTGTCTCTGACATTAAGTACCTCCCTCTTTCTGGCATTACCTGCTGCTGCCACAAAGTGGTGAGTTAGAGGGTTGCCTGGGTTGGGTGGGCTTTGCCTTGCATTGATGCCTGGAATGTTATGGACTCAGAGCAGAAAGCCTCTGTGGTTAGATTGCTACACCCTAGTTTCTGAGGGATAGCAGTGCAGTTTCCTCTGTTCTCCTGATGGCCTATGGAGACACTTGGAGAATTTAGAACTTTTTTTTCTTGGTGGTGTGCTAGGAAACAACTAGAGTAAGGAAGTTCTGCTTTGTGGCCATCCAGGCTGGGTGGGACTGTGAATTTGTCATCTAATGCCTATTGTCTATGGCTGCATATCCCAGCAACACCAACAGTCCTATTATATGGAGAGAGAATAGGCATGTGGCTAGGGTGGAGGGCAGTGTAGGCAGGAGTGTCACACAGGAGAGGGGTTTTGAAACGGTGCATGGCTCATGTAGGTGGCCTAACCTCCTTGGGTTAACAAGCAGTTTCTCTGAATAGTGATGTCTTTTTTTTTTTTTTTTAATTGTGAGAATACCTTACAGAGGAGTTACAATTACATGGGCAAGAATAGTGATGTCTTGCATTTGGACTTAGAGTGAAATGGGAACAAGGCTGGCAGGCCTCAGGGACAGAGCACTCCAGATTCTAACATGTGAGATATCTTACTGAGCAGCGTTTTCAGGAAGCTAGAAGGGGACTCATGGGGGTTGGGGTTAGTTCAGGGATGAGGAACTAAGGTGGGTGGGAGTGGAGACAGCTCCCCTCCCCTTTGCCTGGATGAGCTGATGTGCCCTCAGTCTTCTTTGGTAGCATGTGAAGAAAGGCAGATTCTGCCCCTGACATCTGCCTTCCCTGATGGGGCTGATGTTTGAGTGGCACGTGTGGGCAGCACAGGGAGAGGAGCCAGGGAAAGGTTGTTTGTTCTTATCTCAAGTTCACAATGTCTTTCTTCCCTACAGAACTGATCACTGGGAAAGGCAGAGCCTCCCTGCCATTGCTGGGACCCTGCCTTGAAGAGCCCCCTGCCCTGTAAACACAGCCTTTAGTCTGTCTTCTTACTTAGTGACGGAGGCTGTTTGATCAGTCCTCTGCTGTGCCTTGTCTGAGGTCCTTGTCCATCCTTGAGATTGGACACCTTCTCTCTCTAGGTTGTGTCACCTTAAGCAGGAAACTGAAGCCGTTACTCTCCAAACCCTGTTTCATCTTCCCAAGCATGTCAGAAAGCTGGCAGCAGCCCCCACAGACGCAACCTCAGCAGCCCCAGCCACCGCAGCCTCAGCACCATGCGGAGCCACCACCAGCGCTGGCTGACCACACGCTGTCCCCTGGTACAGCTGAGAACCCCCTGGGCTGTGCTGTCTATGGCATCCTCCTGCAGCCAGATCCCGGCCTACAGCCTCCTCAACATGCACCCTCGCTTCAGGCAGCAGGGGAGCCAGGCCCTAAATGTGGGGTGTGTGGTCATGACCTGGCACACCTGTCCAGCCCCCACGAGCACCAGTGTCTAGTGGGCCACGACAGGTCATTCCAGTGCACACAGTGTCTCAAGATCTTCCACCAAGCCACTGACCTGCTGGAGCACCAATGTGTGCAGGCTGAGCAGAAGCCTTTCGTTTGTGGAGTCTGCAAGATGGGTTTCTCATTGCTCACCTCGCTGGCTCAGCACCACAGTGCCCACACTGGCCTGGTGAAGTGCTCCATCTGTGAGAAGACCTACAAGCCGGCCGAGTCAGCTGAGCCAGCTGCTAGTACGGGGACCCCATCGCTCCAGGTGGCACCCCCTCCTCCTCCAGCTGGGACTGCTGCAGAACAGCCTGAAAAGCCCTACAGCTGCCCCATCTGCCAGAAGCCCTTCAAGCACCTGTCAGAGCTCTCTCGGCATGAGCGGATCCACACTGGGGAGAAGCCGTACAAGTGCACGCTGTGTGACAAGAGCTTCAGCCAGTCATCCCACCTGGTGCACCACAAGCGCACACACAGCTCAGAGCGGCCCTACAAGTGTGCCGTCTGTGAGAAGACCTTCAAGCACCGCTCACACCTGGTGCGCCACATGTATGCGCACTCCGGTGAACACCACCTGTTCCGCTGCAACGTGTGCGAGTTGCACTTCAAGGAATCCTCAGAGCTGCTGCAGCACCCTTGCACCCCGAGTGGCGAACGGCCCTTCCGCTGTGGTGAATGCCAGAAAGCATTCAAGCGGCCTTCTGACCTGCGGCAGCACGAGCGCACACATAGTGCCGAGCGGCCCTTCAAATGCGACCTGTGCCCCATGGGCTTCAAGCAGCAGTATGCACTCATGCGGCACCGGCGCACGCACAAGACTGAGGAGCCCTTCAAATGTGGCCTGTGTGAGAAGGGCTTTGGGCAGCCCAGCCATCTGCTTTACCACCAGCATGTGCACACCCTTGAGACTCTCTTCAAGTGCCCCGTATGCCAGAAGGGCTTTGACCAGTCAGCCGAACTGCTGCGGCACAAGTGTCTGCCAGGCTCCACTGAGCGGCCCTTCAAATGCCCAGTGTGCAACAAGGCCTACAAGCGGGCATCGGCCCTGCAGAAGCACCAGCTAACGCACTGTGCAGCAGCTGAGAAGCCCCTGCGCTGCACCCTGTGTGAGCGCCGCTTCTTCTCTTCCTCTGAGTTTGTGCAGCACCGCTGCGACCCAGCACGCGAAAAGCCGCTCAAGTGCCCAGACTGCGAGAAGCGCTTCAAGTACGCATCAGACCTGCAGCGCCACCGCCGGGTGCACACAGGTGAGAAGCCCTATAAGTGTCCCAACTGCGACAAGGCCTTCAAGCAACGTGAGCATCTCAACAAGCACCAGGGCGTGCATGCCCGAGAGCAGCAGTTCAAGTGTGTGTGGTGTGGTGAGCGCTTCCTGGACATGGCCCTACTACAGGAACACAGTGCTCAGCATAGTGCAGCCGCTGCTGCTGCTGAGGGTGCCTACCAGGTAGCTGCATGCCTCCCCTAAGGCTGGGCACCACCCACCTGGCCCAGCCCAGCCTCACCTCCTTGCGGCTGCATGGCACCATCCCCCACCTAGCTCTATGTCCTGTGGCCCCTGAGAGAGGACAGAAGGGTCCCATGCAGGTGGGCAGTGTACCTGCTCGGTCACCCTGGCACCAGCCTGGCAGCAGAGGACCCAGATTGCTGTGGCCAGTCCTAATTCCATAAACCCTTTTCCCATCATGGGATTTACCCTCTGAGAGTATCTACCTCTCTCATCTCTGGGAGCCTGGAGTCCTAGGGGCAGTCAGGTGGCCCCTGTCTACTCCAGGGGTGGAGGTAACAAGTCAACCTCCCCAAAACTTTCAGCTTCTTAGAAGCCAGATAGTCTGGAAGGAGGAGAGGGGTATGGCAGTGCCTGGGACCCAGAGGTGGGCAGGTAAGGCATCTCCTTCAAGTTGCTGTCTGGGGGAAGGAGGGCAGATTGAAAGCTACAACCCTGTGTCCCAGCCAGGTTTTCTAATAAAGATGTACAGGGTAGGGATCTCTGTTGCCTGGAGAGCAGGGGACTCATAACAGGAGGTGCAAGCAGGTATGACACCCTCAATTAGGGACAGTGCAGTCCATGGGAAAAGGAGAACAAAGTGGTTTGTGCCTGGGGCTAATCAGGTACAGGTGCTTTGGAAGTACCCCCGCCACTTGGGCAGTATGGGTCCAGTCTGTGGTGGGGGACATGTCCCTGGCCATGTAGAGCTGTCCATGTGAAAGGTGAGGTTGGGAAGAGGTAGGGCCAAGCCCATAATCTCCCCAGCAGACATAAATACATGTCCTCTTCCACATTGTATGAACCAAAGTGTTCAGGCTCAGAGGTGCCACAATGCCAAGGCCAGGCCTGAGTACCCATGGTGGGTGGGTACCCTCTCTGACTTCACAGTGCTCTCCTAGCCTGTGGTAACACCATCCCTCTATTAGTCTGGCTGTTGGCTTGACCTGACCTGAGGGATCTCTGTTGCCAAAATGCTCTCCCATTATCTGTTGCTTCAAAGCCAGAACATTCTCCTTTGAGTCTTCCTAGAGTCCCCCAAGGACTCTGGCTGTCTACAAGGAGGGTCCTTAGAGAAGCAAATCCAGGGTGTAGGGAACAGAAGCAAGATGATTTTGGAGTCCCATAGGCAGTGTTCCTGGCAAGTGCATGGTCAGCCAACATTGCTGGACAGCCAGGGCCCTCCCCAGGAGTTCAGCCAACCTGCAGACCATTCTAAACCCAGCTCTACCCCCAGCCCCAATCCTCCCTGGTTGTGAAGAGTACACAGCATGGGTGCAGTGGGATGGGAAGATGTGCCACTTCACCCGTAACTTCAGGAAGTCTGAACAGTCACATCCACCTTTTCTGAGTTCTCTCCTGGGCCTGCGGAGGCGCTAGCTCTTCCTCATTGCAGGTTCTTGTTCACAATGCCTCAAAAGACTGGAATCTAGGCTTGCAACAGTTCCAACAGCTAATTTTTTTTCATTTTGCTTTCTAAAAGCAGTTTGTTATACTATTCATAACATTGTATAGTTTAATTTCATGTCATTTTGGATCTTATACATAAATGTGAATATTGGGATTTTTTAATAAAATGACTCCATTTTAGGTAGCCACTTTTGATGTTAATATATAGAGTCCAATGTATGCTTTAGAAGTAAAGACATTGACCATCATAGGCCAGACCTCTGTTTGTCTGATCATTCTTTATAGGAAGGGCGGGCCTTAGGGGGAGCAAGCTATGTGGACCAGAGTGGCGGGTTGGGACTAGACATGGGATAGGTTTAAATCCTAAGCTTTGACTGCTCTGGCTGCATAGCCTTGGCCAAGATCTTTTGGGGACTTCAAAGGTATATAAAAAAAGCTGGAGAGGAGGGTTAATCCTTGCTTTGACCAGATACTATGAGAGATAAATAGAGTCATTGTTGAAGCTTTGGTGGGAAGTCTGGGAGGATGTCTACGGGACAGCTGGGGCCCCTTAGGGTTTAGGAGTGTATGCTAGTAAGGAAGGTACACAGCACTATACCCAGCTTCTCCCCATTAAGATGGAATCTTATGATCTTTCTGCCTAGACTGGCCTTAAGCCACTATCCTCACATTCATAGCCTCCCAAGTAGCTAGGATTAGAGATGTGGGCCACCAAAGTCTGGCTTCTTCCTAGAGCTCTGCCCGCCATCCCTGCACCCCTCATTTGAGACAGTCTTGTTATGTTGTCCTAGATTGTCCCAAACTCCCAGGCTCAAGCAATCTTTTCCTCAGCCTTCTAAGTAGCTGGGTCTACAAGATGCCCCCGGACTCCTACAATTGCTTGCTACTGGATTTTTAACTTCTGATGAGATATCCTATCCTCCTAAGCCCTAGTTGGATGACCTCAGCCCCAGGAAACTCCACCTTCACCCCTGGTTTCTTCCTTGCTCTGGGCTTGTCTCTGTGAGCAGGGAAGCAAAGCATCAAAATATAGTATAGCAGACTCAGGGACCAGACAGTTTGGCTTCAATTTCCAGCTCTGCCAGTCACCTAATCTCCCCAGGCCTACATCACCACCTGTAAGATGGGTTTAAAATTACCTACCTTCTATACCAGGCCTGCTTTTTCTTTCTACTCTATGCTGTCTTTGTTCTTAGGCACAATTTCCTATGTTAAATTGTTGGTAAGGATTGGTATCCAGGATGCCCTGAGCCAGAATAATATGGTTTTAGGTTTGAGTAAGCTATGCCTGCTTCTCTGTCCCAGTGGACCAGGAGCACCTTCAAAGCAGCATCTGGTTAGCCACCCAGCACTAGCCCAGGCAAAGGCCTCAGATGTTTCATGGGTTGCATTCTGGGATGGACTTTGCCAGTCATACATTCCCTTCTACACATACAAGAAAATATTTTCCTGTACAATGTAGCTGGAGATGAGATACTCCCAAGGGACTTTGTGATCGCCTACTACTTCCTGTTTTCTAGGCCCAGACCTCTGCCCTGTCATCAGCAGAGTCCCATACTTGAGAGTAGAGATGGATACCATTTCCCCTCTTCTCTGTCCTTAAAAGAAATGACAAATCAGTGAGGCAGATCTTACTGTGTTATCAAGCCACAACACAACACCTTAATTAGCTCTTAAACTGAGCAGCAAGAACACTATCTGGGAATTTTTTTCTACATTATGTGCACAATGCCATGTGGTGTCAGGAGACTTGAGACCTAGGTTCTAAGTTTGGCCTGAAGCTAGCCAGGGTTTGATTCAGCCTCTGTTTTCCCAGCTGTGAAAGGGAACACTGGTTCTGCTCACTTCTTGGGAATGCTAGTGAGACCTAGAGGAAACTCTCCAGAAGGTGGTAATGTTTCTAATTGTATAACAAAGCTGGAGGGGAGGAGTTTAAATTCCTTCCTCCAGATACTCTGGCCTTGTGTACTGTCAGTTCTCAGTAGATATTAGTAAATGGGAAAGACATGGCATGAACTAGAATTTCCAACCTCAGTGGACACAGACTCAGGTGGAAACACTGAGCCTTTCCATAGTAAATACACATGCAGGTGGATACACAACTTGGCATGTGATGACTGATTGATCAACATGATTTCAGATTGCCTAGGACCAAAAGATTTTCATGTGGGGTTCTTGAGCTTAGTGGTTCTTTGTTCCAATATAAACTTGTTATGGAAACCTCTTCCCTCAAGGGCCAAGAATAAAGGTCCTACCCCTATGCCAGGCAAAGGATTTCTGCCCTAGGACTACCTGGTCTGACCAGGCTGTCATACCTGCCTTTCACATAAAGGATGCAGGACTGGGAGGTTAGGGACAGATGAAGTTTAGTCCTGCTTCCTCATGGATAGGACAGATGAGATTTGCTTACTGTGTTCATTGGTGATACCTCAGGGAACAGGATGTTTTCATTTCAGGGATCTTATACAAGTTTATGTTCTTTTTTTTTTTGGTCGGCCGTGGGGCTTGAACTCTGAGCCTGGGCGCTGTCCCTCAGCTCTTCAGCTCAAGGCGAGCGCTCTACCACTTTACAGTGCCACTTCCAGTTTTCTGGTGGTTTATTGGAGATAGGAGTCTCACGGTCTCTCCTGCCCGGGCTGGCTTTGAACCGCGATCCTCAGATCTCAGCCTCCTGAGTAGCTAGGATTACAGGCGTGAGCCACCAGCGCCCGGCTCTACAAGTTTATGTTCTATATCATGCTGCTCCATGGGAAGTAGAGGCTACAGGACTAGCCAGATTCTCAGAGCCCACCTTTGTCTCTTCAGGGAAACTTTGGGGGCCAGGAAGCTCCCAGAGTATACTAATGTGAGGGTTTCAGAGATTCCCATAAATCATTTTCTAGCCCCCCCCCCCAACTCCACTTTCCATGGGGCTCAAGTTCAGGCTCTGATGGGTAGAAGTAGGGATGTGGTCGCAAGCATGAGACAAGAACACAAGGAAGTCCTGGCTTCCAGACCTACCCTGGCCAGGTTTGAGGCTTAGACTGTGGCACTCCTCCCAAGGGCACCAAGTATCCTTCACCAGTCCTCAAGGAGTGGGCAGGGGACAGACAAGGGTGAAAAAACATGCTATGGTCTTGACCTTCTAGCCACACACACACACACACACACACATACCCCATTCCCCACACACATACCCCTGAGGACCAATTAGATTTATTTGTAGGCAGACTGAATTGAATTTCTGAGGAGATAGGTGGTGCCACAATACAACCCCTGTTCCACTGGGGGACCTGAGGTGGCTTGGTCCAGCAGTTTGGGAGTCATTCTCCTTTCCACAGATTAATGCCAGGGAGTCAGGTAGTTGGCACGACTGTGGAGAAAAAAAGATGCAAGAAATCCTGAGGAGAAATCAAGGCCTTCCCCAGTCCTTTCCTGTGTAGCCAGATTTCTACCCTCAAAGCTTTAAAAACACAGTTTTATTTCAGCCCGTGTGTAGTCAGGAGCTTTCCATGGCTCCCAATTTCCTTTTATATGTTTGTGGCTGTTCTTGACTTTCAGGCTCCTCCCCCTACCCCTTACCTCAGTCTTATTTCCACTGATCTCCAACCATGAACTACTTCACTCAATTTTTCTTTTAGTGAACCTCCTCTGTCAGGAGTAAATCCAAAGTTTTCTCTTGTGTGTGTACATGAGGAAAGCACCTTCCCATCAACAATGATAATAAAATAATCTGGGTGCCATATGCTAGGGATGCACAGGTGATAATGGAATGTGAGGTGGGGAAGACTTCATGGAGGAATGGGAAATCTGGGTTAGCTTGAAAGAGTGAAGAGGCATTTTCCACGCAGAGGAGGAAGGACTACTTAGTGCAAAAACAGTGCACGGTTGTGCTGGGGTGCCTGGCCAGCACCAAGAGTTTGGTATTGCTGAAGTGTGCAAGTAGGGCTAGGAAGGTGTGAGATGGGCAGATTATGAAGATGCTTGAAGATCTCACATTACTCTTCCTCCTTTACATTTGAGGACCTTTGCTGTAGGGTGACCCTGAGAGTACCAACCTCTCCTCCCAGGGCAGCCTTAAGCAAGCCCCAAACGACCAGATGGGGACATGGTCAGCCTTTGGGAGACAAGGGACAGGTCATTTCCTACCTGTAATGGGATCCGAAGGTTCTGAAAGCATTCCTGGAAAAAACAAAAAAAACCAACAACAACAACAAAAACCATGGAGAGAGGACCTCAAGTGGGAAGGGGCCTCCACCAAGGGATCACAAGCAACCTTCTCCGTTTAATGCCTCCATTCCCAAAGCAGAGAGACACCAAGGACTGGATAACAAGGTGCTTGGTTGGGTAGGAAATCGATATTTTTGAAATCTGTGCTATATTGGGACTAATGGATATTTCTCAGGCTTTCTATTTGCAAAGAGCATTGGGCATGCGCCCGGGGAAGTGGCCAAGACCCCACCTTCCCTCCTCCGGACATGGGGTCCTGGGGTGCCTGGAGTCACTTACAGCGCGTTGTAGGGCAAGGGCTTCTGTCCGAAGCGGTCTACATTGGGGTTCTGATTGAGACAGTACTGAAACCGGGCCACAGGGAGAGGCTAATAAGATGGGGGATCCAGACCCCCATCCGCGCCCCCCCCCGCGGCACTCCCTACTGGAGATCTTGGCTCTGGGGACCAGAGAACCCAGGCCTCAGCCTCCTCTGTCCCCCAACTTAGCCATTTCCCACCAGAACCCCCGGGAGGATATCCTTCCCTACCCGCCAGTTCTGGGTCACTTCGGGCTTCAAGCGTCGCACCCCGTAGCCGCAGAAATGCTCCACTGCGGAGAGAGCCCACCTTGGAGGACCCCACAGTCCCAGCAAGCCCCGCCTTCCACACCCAAGCCCCGCCCACAAGCCCCGCCCCAACGCCAAGCCCCGCCCAGCACGGAAACAGGCCAAAGCCCCGCCCGCGCCTACGTTCCGCTCCCGGCGCAGCGCGCTCTTCACTGAAGCCCCGGGCAAGCCCAGTATCAGACCCGGTTCCTCCCGTTCCAGAACCGTCTGAGCGCCCAGTATCAGACGCAGGGCTCACTGGACCAGGCCCTGGCCCCCTCCCCGCGACGAGCGCCTCCGAACCCACAGCAGGTCTCCGCCTCTCCTGCAGGTGGCCCAGCGGCGCCGGCCCCGCAGGTCTCCACTCCCCCGGGGCCGCCTCGCGGTCCCCGCCCCTCCTCGCTGTCCTGGGCTTCCCCTCCCCCTGCCGTCCCCCTCCGCGCAGTCCCCGGCCTCCTCCCCGCTGTTCACCTCCCCCCCACACACCGGCACCCCTCCCCGCTGTCCCCGGTCTCCTTCCCGCCCTTCTCCTGCCCCAGAGCATCCTCTGACCCTTCTTGCTTGGGCAGGGCCTCTTGAACTTCTCGCCTGAGCTCAGGAAGCGGGACCAGTCCTCAATGGCGTGCTTGTAGGAGGGCCACCTCACGCAGTTGATGCCTGGAGCGATGGGCTGCAGCTTTCCCTCTCGGTACTTATCGTGGAGCTTCTGGCCGCTTTGTGTGATGCCCTGCCGGGGTGGTAGGGGTCAGAACCACTGCAGGTGGCGAGACTCGTGGGCTGGTAGGGGGCGGGGGGGGGGCTGAGTTGGCATTTGACCTGTTGGTCTGAGTTGGTGCCCCAGGTCAAGGGCTTGGGGGGTGGGGATGGGGTCCAGGCAGGCAGCTGAGGGCAGCCTTTAGGGGTAGAGCCCAGGACCAGAGGGGCTTGGGACCAAGTGCAGGCTGGTGTCCTGGAGCAAATCCAGGACCAGGGCAAAGGGCACTCACCAAGCACTGCAGAGGCTTGTTGGGAACCCCCAGGAGTGAGAACCGGACATTGTCAAACTCATCTGTAGAGAGAAGATAAAAGGAGAAGAGGTGTTCCCCCCACACAAGAGCGGTTTAGTCACACAGCACTTTAAACTTAGAATAAAAAGTGCTGGCTTTTCATCATCTAAAATGACATCATATTTCATCTTTTACAATAGAATAGATTCCATACAGATCAATGTAAATAAAAAAATGAAGCCATAGAATTACTAGAGGAAAATGTGGGCATATTCCCTTATAAATAAGGAGCATCATTGTAAATAGAAGCCAAATACAAGGTTAATAACTTTGATTGCATAAACATACACTTCTGCATGACAAAATATAAGTTAAAAGATAAATGAAAAAATAGTTCTACCAATTTTACATGAGGCAATTCCTCTAATATTTGCAAGAGCTCCTAGAAATCAAGACTGAAAAAGAAGCAAAAGCCTATACAACATTGTATAGATAGCTCAACTTTATTTCATAAGAAGAATGTATATTTATTTGTTTTGTTTATCTTTGTGCTGGTACTGGGGCTTGAACTCAGGGCTTAGGTACCATCCCTTAAGCTTTTTCACTCAAGGCTAGGACTCTACTACCCAAGCTACAGCTCTACTTCGTTTTTTTGTTTGTTTGTTTGTTTATTTTGTGTGTGTGTGTGGTTAATTGGAGATAAGAATCTTACAAACTTTTCTTCTTTGGCTGAATTAAAACTAGACTTACAAAGTTTGAATAGCTATACAGTTTCCTAAGTAGATATGATTACAAGTGTGAACCACTGGTGCCTGGCAAAAATGTTTTTGCTGAAAAGCACTGATTCCTTACTTGGGCTCACAAATCAACCAAAGGCAGGAAAGAAGTTTGGCATCCCTACCTCCATTTTTGTAACTGTCTTTGAGCCATTCTTTTGTTTGTCAGTTGTAGAGCTTGAACTCAGGGCCTGGACACTGTCCCTGAGCTCTTTTGCTCAAGGCTAGTGATCTATCACTTTGAGCTACAGCTCCACTTTCATTTTTTTTTTCCACTTTCAGTTTTTAAGTGGTTAACTGGAAATAAGAGTCTCATGGGGACTTTTCTGCTTTGAACCAGGATCCTGAGATCACAGCCTTCTGGTGTAGCTAAGATTATAGGTGTGAACCTCCGGAGCCCAGCTTGAGCCATTAATCTTGCAGTCCTTGCAATCTAGGAAAGACAGGACTGAGGATAACCTGTCAGCAAGGAGGAAACAGCTCCCAAGGAAAGGAACAGCAGAGGGCTGGGAAGATAGCTCAGTGGAAGAGTGCTTGCCTTGCATGCATGAGGCCCTGGGTTCAATTCCTCAGCACCACATAAGAAGAAAAAGCCAGAAGTGGCACTGTGGCTCAAGTGTAGAGCGCTAGCCTTGGGCTGAAGAGCTGAGAGACAGCCCCCAGGTCCAGAGTTCAGGCCCCATGACTGACAAAAACAAAGAAAAAGAGAAAGGAACAGCAGAGCCTCCTCGTACAGACCACTCACCAGGCAACAATGTCTTGCATATTCTGAACAGTTGCTCTCTTCAAATGATGACAGTGATAACCCCTTCTTCATGATCCCTTCAGGACCAACCAGCCACACTTTGACCTGGAGTGTTTAATAAAATCTTTTGTCTATTGAAACCTACAGGTAATGTCTGTACCTGGAAGATGGACTGAAGTACTTTCATCCCGAGGCGTGCCTATGCCTTGTAATAAATTTTTCTCTGCCCTTCACCACTATTCTTTATTTGGTGTGTTGGGGCCAGTGGCTGAATCTAACATGAGGAATCCCAGGAGTCTGAGATTGGAACCTAAATCTCTAGATTCATTTTGGTCCTGTGGTCCTATATGGACACAAGTGATAGTGTGGGATGAAGATCCGTTGCAGTGTTGTGATAGTAAATGACTGGGAACAACGCTAATTTCTATCATTAAAGGACTGGTTAAATAAATCATACCACATCTGTACTATGCAGTTCTTAAAGATAATATGAGAGCCAGTTATAGTGGCACACACCTGTAATTTCAGGATTCAGGAGGTAGAGGCAGGAAGATTGTGAGTTTGAGGCCAGTCTGTACTACATGGCAAGGTTAAGGCCTGCCTGAGCTATACCTTGAGACCCTGTCTCAAAAACCAAGGCTAGGGGATGCCGAGAGCCAGTGGCTTACACCTGTAATCCCAACTACTCAGGAGGCTGAGATCTGAGGCTTGTGGTTCAAAACCAGCCAGGGCAGAAAAGTCCCCATGAAACTCTTAACTCTAATTAACCACTCAATAACTGGAAGTGGTACTGTTTGCTCAAGTGATAGAGAGCTACTCTTGAGCACAAAGAGGCTCAGGGACAGCACCCAGTCCCTGAGTTCAAGCCCCACAACCAACAAAAAACAAAACAAAAACCAAGGCTGGGGATGTAGCTCAGTGGTAGAATACTGACCTATCATGGCACATGCTAAGGCCCTGGGTCCCACCAGTAGTATCACATACACAAACACACAAGTGATAACTTGATATCACTTGTTTAGAATTTGAAGCTTAAGATTACTGGAGGCAGAAAACAATATATGTTTAGGTCACTTCCTTAGCCAAGTTTTTAAACACAGCAGCATGCACAGTAGGTGGCCCAGTTCCCCTGTTGCTGTATTAGGGCAAACATGGCCTCTGTCACCTGTTGAAGACTCTAGCCAGCATTGTTTACCTGGCTGATCAGGACTCCACATGCGACCCACATCTTCTCCCTCATTCATGGGACAGGCCTTTGAGTATGCTTAGGAGGAGTTCAGGGATGAACTCCTGAAGGGGTGCTTAGGAGAGATCCAGAGGTTCAGGGATGACTGGTCACAAGTTCTTGTTACAATTTTTATTTTTCCTACTATAGCAATCTCCTCACAGTTCTCTCTCCATTAATAAGACAAGAAAGACGCACTTGTCCATACAAGATTCTTGTCTCTTACCATGGGAGAATTTGCTGTGACCAGGCCATCACCAGCTGGGTGTGGTGGTGCACCGCTGTAATCCCAGCACTCAGGAGACTAAGGCAGAATGATCAAGGCCAGCCTGGCCTTGAGACCTTAGCTCAATAACTCACACAAGTCAGGTGCCAGTGGCTCACACCTGTAATCTTAGTTACTCAGGGAACTGAGATCCAAGGATTACATTTTGAAGCCAGAAAGAAACAGAAGACCATGCCAGGGCAAGAAAGTCGATGAAACTCTTATCTTCCAACAAAACGCTGGAGGTGGAGGTGTGGCTCAAGTGGCAGAGTACCAGACCAACTAGTGGCAGACAAACAAAAGACCCAAAGGGGCCTAGTGCCAGTGCATGGCGAGGTGCCGACCTTTGCTGCAATAGGTGGAGGACTGGCAGTGTGTGTCGGGGAGGCAGGCTTTGACTGAGTCCATGTCCATGCGGCGCAGGGTGGGCAGGGCTGGGTGGTAGAGCTGATGCTTCACGCCGGCCAGCTGGTTGCGCTGCCGCTGCAGTGGGAGAAGGATGGCCGGGGACGCATACACATGGGCAGAACCGTCGTCACAAGGCACCACGTCAATGATGCGGGCCATAGCTGGGTAACCGGGTAAAGAGCGTTCAGTTTAGGCTCCTGCTGGTCAGAGACCTTCCACGCAGGGATACATAGCCTATGAGTCAAGCACTTATTGACTCTGATCACACACACACACACACACACACACACACACACACCGCACCCAGGGCTGTGAAGAGGTCAGTATAGGAGGAGAGGTCTGGCAGTATGGGAAGCCTGGTATTGGGTGTTCAGGGAATGGATTAAGAGAGGTGGCATTTGAGTCTTGTAAGGAATAAACAGGAAAAGGAAGCCACATACGAGTTGAAAAGGAGCTCAAATCTAATTGTGGATATGACTTTGCTTAAGACATCTGGCCTTTTCCCCAGACTCTCCAGAGAGAGAGTTGTTTTCAAGAAAGGGAAGAGGCATAGTAGATTTGAACTGGAGAAACATGGCTAGAGATGTAGTGTCTGCTTTTTAGTGTATGGTCTGTGTTAGCTTGAATTGAAACAAACTCCTTTTTCTCTTTCTTTTTCTTTTGTGGTGCTGGGGATGAAAGCCAGGGCCTTTGGCATGTTAAGGAAATGCTATGCCACCGAGCTACATCCACAGCTCTTAGTGTCTCCCTTTTAAAAAGCAGATATTCCCAGGACCTCCTTCCAGTCATTTACACTTTAGTAGGAATTTTAGTAGGAATTTTACTATCTTCCCTACTTCACGTTGGAGATGAGAGGTGGAGAAGGGGCTGGGTGAGTAGAAAGGAAGATGGCTTTAGACTATGGAGGGTGACAAGGCCTGAGGAAAGTGCCTAGGGGTGGCAGAGGTAGGGGATGGGACTTGATGGGGGTAGAGCAGGGAAGGAAGAAAGGCTTCTCTGCTTCTACCCACCAACAATGCTACCTTGTTTTCAGGACACAGATCCAGGTACACAGGCTTATAAGGCCCTTGTGTTCCTCCACCGTTTGGTGGGCAGGAGGGGAAGGGGAAGGACTGGGCTGATGCACAGCCAGAAGGGAACACTGTGCAGAGACAATGCCCGTTGCAGCTGGATTGTGAGGGTGCTGCGCTTAGCAACGTCGCTACGGTACCCGGACACTGGGCAACTCCCCTTCAGCCTTCTTAAAGACCAGGCTTGGGTGGGCCAGGGGCAGCTGCTGAGCTGACCTCAAGCTGTGTGATGCTGGATGAATAGACCTCTCTCTAGGCCACAAGGATCCCAGGCCCTGCATTAAGGCTGTCCCCTCCCGCAAACCTCAGGGAGGAGCATGTTGCTACTGCACTGTCTGCTGGCCCTTGGAGCTCTAGGGCTGGAGATTAGCTGTAGCCAGAATCCAGGGTCAGTGCAGGGATAAGGGAGAGTGGTGGCCTCAGCAGGCCAAGGATTAGGAGCTGACACTCATCCCCACCCGCCGCCTGCAGGACCCCAGGCCTCCTTTCTCCCAGGAAAGTCAGGCTGTGGTGCCTGAGTGCTGGGATTGGAGGCAGATCCCCCTGGCTCCCTCCCCCACAGATAAAACAAACAAACAAACAAATCCTGGGAGAGCTTGGCTCATTTGCATATATTGGGATATGCTTTGCATCTATCCTTCCAAGTACTCAGCCACTACCAGAGACCTGGTAGGACTTGGTTCCTAGTTGTTCCTGTCCTTGTCCTTCATGGGAAACCTGAATAGCATCCCCAAGTCCTGCTCTGAGCAGAAAACCTTCCCTGAGATTCCACTAGCACACTATCATAGCCCCAGCTTAGTTTTTAACTCTTAAAGTTATATAATAGATAAAAATACAGAAAGCACATAGACATTACTAGTAATTTGTAAATCAAGACCCTCCACTACTTAGGACCTGCAAAACAGTAGCATTTTCTTAGAAAGGAGGCCGGGTGCAGGTGGTTCACACCTGTAATGCTCGCTACTCAGAAGGCTGAGATATGAGAATCACAGTTTGAAGCCAGCCCAAACAGGAAAGTCCGTGGGACTCTTATCTCAAACTAACTACTAGGAAACTGGAAGTGGTGCTGTGGCTCAAAGTGGTAAAGCACTAGCCTTGAACAGAAAAGCTCAAGGATAGTTCCCAGGCCTTGACTTCAAGCTCTACAATTGACAAAATCATTTAAAAAGTAAAACATGAGGGTTGGAGATGTGGGTTAGTTGGTAGAGCACTACTAGTCAATGAGCAAAAGTGGCATGTACCAAATTTGAGTCCTGGTCTCAAACCTAAAAATAAAAAAAGTAAAAAAGCATGAAGCTGGATGTGGTGGTAATGCACTGTTATATTACCAACACTTGAGCTTAAGGCCAGCCTGGACCATACAGCAAGAACTATTCTCAGAAACCAAAGGAACAAAGGCACAATGCTTATGTGCATCTGATCCTATACAATAATATTCATCAAAGGGAACTTTAGGATATGAAAACAAGAGTTTTTTTGTTGCTGTTTTTGTTTTCTTTCTGTCTTGTTTATCTGTCTGTGGGAGGGTAAAGGGGGCACAGAAATGGAGGGACTAAGGGTGAAAAAATGCACCGGTGGTACTCACTCGACACTGTTGAAAGTGAACTGTACAACTTGTGAGTAGGGATGGGAGGGAAAAACTGGGAGTGAGGGAAGGGGTGACATAGTCCAAAAAGAAATGTACTCTTTACCTGACTTATGTAAATGTAACCCCTCTGTAATCATCTTTATAATAACAATAAAAACACATGAACAAAGAACACCTGGGAGGTAGAGATGGGGAGTATCATGGTTCAAGGCCAGCCTGGGCATCACTGTTACTGTGGCATAGAGATCCTCTGGAATCTGACCCTACCCACCTCTCAGCCTCATCTCTCCCTTCCCTGAATCCATCGAGATCTTCCCCCTCCATCCCCCTATTTCCCTTTTTGGTCCCCAAGGCTCATTCCAGCCTAGGGACTCTACTCTAGCACTGCCCTCAGTGGCTTGGAGCACTGTCCCCTGGATCTTGGCAGCTGAGTCTTATTGCATTTCTGGTCTCAGCCCCTTTCCTTGGGCTTCTCCTAGGCCTGCCTGCCCTTTGCCCATCACCCACGTCTCTGCCATGTTGCTTTCTTTTCTGATTCTTCCAATACTGTGCAATGGTTGTTTATTTCCTTTTTGACTTCTTCCTTTCTGCCTCTGCCCTTGCCCTCAGGGCAGGTACTAAATCTGTCTTGTTCAAAATGCCAAGATCAGCCTGCGTCCAGGCACACAGGAAGAGCTCCAAAAATGTCAGCTGGTCGTGTCCAGCCCCTACATCTTTGTGAATACCCCTTGGCGCCATCCCTCATCCTGTTCCTGCTACTCTCTGAGCCCTTTCCCCCTAGGACTCTGCTCCTTGTACACCTTCTGCAGAGGTCTCCGTCTCCTTTTGAGGAGAAGCAGTTTCTGGGTGCAGTCAGTCACCTGAGAGGACTTAGGTTCTGAGATGGGTAATGTAGCATGTCAATTTGACCTGACTGAGGGATGTTCAGAGAACTATAGTGTGTTATGGGTGAGTCTATGAGGGGTATTTCTAGAGAAGATTGGCAGCTCATTAAGTGTGGAAGACCCACCCCTAATGAGGGCACCATCCAATCATCTGGGACCAGATGGAACCCACTGAAACTGGAAGGTGAACAATGGGAAGGAATCCTCTCTCTGGTTCTCTTTTCTCCAGTGGCTACCTGGGCTCTTTGTTTCTTAGACTCTGGGACTTGTACCAGGCGCCCTTGGGGGGGCTGTAAAGGTCACGGCTGTACTGTCACTGTTTTTTTTCTATGGAGAGCCCTGGGTAATACAGATTTGAGCTAAATGGTCCACTGGGCCAGGGGCCGCTTTGTCAGAGGTCAAACTATTGAAGACTATTATCGGCAAAGAGCCTACTGAGCCCCAGCATTGGGACTGGAGAATTGGGGTACACCTTCTGCATTGCTCACTGAGCTGCAGAGCCGTTGATGTCTGTGGTATCTTCCAGAACACACAGGGCTCCAAGCTGTTGCTCTCTCAGGAGCTTCTCTGTGGCTTGGCCCTGATATGTGAGGAGTCAGGTCCCGGGACCTGGGCAGGTTCTCTGGTAAGCCAGGGAAGGGGCCCAAATCTAGGATCTAGCTTCCTGCTGGACACCACAGTGGAGAGGTGCTGCTTGCTCCCCAGATGTCAATTGCCCCCCCCTGCCCATACCCGTTAATCCTTTGCACACAACCTGTCTAGCTATTGCCAATTAATCCCTCCTGTGTTGGAGAGGCCAGCTTTGAGCAGCAGTAAAAAGACAACTCCCAGCCGGCAGCTGGCATCAGACCAGGTAACTCAGTTGGAGGTTGAGGGGGTGCCCTAGGGAGACCCCATGCTTAGGGTCTTGCCAGGCATTTAGCACCATGAAATCGTGCAGGTGGGAGACCTGGCATTTTAGGGACTATAGCATGCATTATAATCACCAGCTTGTGAAATGCAGGTTCCAGGAACCTCCGGAGGATGGGAGTGGGGACCTAGGAAACTGTATTCTCTCCAGCTCATCAAAGCTTCCGAAAAGGTTGCTTGGCACCATAGTCTTCCAGGCCATTTTGCCGGAAGGTTCCCTTCTGGCCTGAACCTCTCTCATCAAAGTGGAATCAGCAGAGCCAGGGAAGCAAGATGTGTGAGGGTGGGGGTGGGGAGGGGAAAGAAGAAAAACTGTTCTTGGAGGTGGCTTATTTGGTCATTTCTAGAAGGCTTAGAAATGCAAGACAGGCCGGGCACTGGTGGCTCACGCCTATAATCCTAGCTACTCAGGAGGCTGAGATCTGAGGATCACGCTTCAAAGCCAGCCCGGGCAGGAAAGACCGTGAGACTCCTATCTCCAATAAACCACCAGAAAACCGGAAGTGTTGCTGTGGCTCAAGTGGTAGAGCGCTTGCCTTGAGCTGAAGAGCTGAGGGACAGCACTCAGGCCCAGAGTTCAAGCCCCACAACGGACAAAAAAAAAAAAAAATGCAAGACAGGATTGTTGCCACTGAGCAAATATCAAGACCCTGTACCCGTCCCCCCTTCCCCTCGCAGATGGGCAGCAGCTGGAATTGGGCAGACTTGCATGTAAACAGGGCTTGATCACTTGCTGACCTGTTTGTGCTCCAAAGATGAGCGTATGTCCCTTGCTGGGCGCGGGGCAGGCGTGGTGAGAGTGATCAAGGTGGGGAGAGGGGGATTCAGCTCACTTCATGCTCATGGGACTGCTGTGGGCTGGCTGGGGTTCATGGAATCTGAGCTCCCAAGTGTGTGACCTTGGAAATCTGTGCCTACCTCTGCCACACACATGCACACTCACCAGGAAAGTGGAAAAGAAGCGTCATATCTGGCTCAAGTTCGTATTTTTTGGAGGCTGATCTGACTCCCCATTGAACTTCACTTCTACCACAACCTCTTGGGAGAAAGGCTGCATGGCTGAGGTCAGAATAGGGTCAGAGGTCAGGGCTGCAGGTAGGTGGGGCAGCATGGCCTGGAGCTCCGGGAAGCTGGCACTGTGGATGGATGGTAGGGACCCAGGTCATCGTCCTGCCCTTTCATCTGGGGCTGGGATTTCTAGCAGAAAGCAGTGGTAAGCAGAGTGTGGTTTGGTGTGTGCCTGTGTCCAGTGTGGTTTTGGAGAGGCTTGTCCTGGGCTGAGAGTTTGTACTCATTGGCCTGGATGGTGCCAGCTGGGCCGGGTCATCCTGCAGGGACTCAGTTCCACTGGCTAGTCCCTGAAGGTCAGCGGACTAGATATTGAACAGGTCCAAGATGAGATTGAAGTGTCACTGAAAACCATAAAAAAGAGTTTCAGTTGGCATTGTAAATACCTTATAAATTAAAAAAAAAACAAGAGCATAGATTGACGTGTGGTCTCATAATGTACTTAAAAAAATTGACTGTGAGATTCTATGGTACATGAAGTTCCACAGTTAGTGTGTTCATTTCATGTCTCACCGAAGTTGGCCATGGCCAATTTTTGTGAAACCCTCAGCAGGTGCCTATCTCTGGCAATTCATTTTCTGCTCACAATCTGCCTGTGCGGTAGGTATCAAGCAATACCGCCATTTTACAGACAAGCAAACTGAGGCCAGGACTGTCTCACAAGAACCCTAGAGCACATATATCTCCTTAGTTTAAGGACATTTACTTCTTTTAGATAGATTCATGTATTCAATTATTGAGTACATCAACTTACTTAACATATTTCCCTCTACCAACTTCTTTCTGCGTGTAGGTTTCTGGCCTCGAGTATTTCAATGAGATAAATACATACTTGGGGACATAGTTGCAGAAATATTTTTAAAGATGATGAGTCAAAAAGAAAATGTGATAACTCAGAGAAGTGACCCCCATGCTCGGTACAGCCACGAGCTCTCTGGCCTTTACAGGTGTGTCAAGATGATGTTGGGCTGGGTCCAGAAGGTGCTGCCTCAGCCCCCAGGAACTCCCCAGAAAACCAAGTTGGAGGAGGAGGAAATAACAGAACCACAGCCAGAGCTGCAGGGAGAGCTACAGCCAGAGCCGGAGTTACAGCCAGAACCACAGTCACAGCCTGAGCCTGAAGCAGCTCCTAAGGAGGCAGTACCAGAGGATGAGGCCCTGGTAAGAGGTGGAGGGTGAGGAGGAGGAGGAGGAGGAGGTGAGGCAGGCTGGCTTTGCTGCTCAGTGACTTCCCAGCATGGGCCACTTGTTCCCCATGAATCTTCTACAGCAGAGAAAGTTGGAGCTGGAAGGAAATGTGGTGGTTGTCTGGTCTAGTGATTGTACTAATGAGGCCACAAAGGCTCAGAGATTGGACAGGAACACCAGAGTTGTATCTTTAAATAGATCTGAAGGAAGTACTTTAGGCTTTGTGGGCCATGACATGTCTATTAGTTACTAAGCTCTACCACATAATGTGAAAGATGCTTGGCTAAACAAATGAGCATTACTGTGTGCCAATAAACTTTATTTATAAAAACAAACAAAAGGCCGACTAAGACTCAGGAATCATATTTTACCATCCTCTAAAGTGCAACAGTCCTGCAAAGTAGCCAGTCCATGATCTGTTATCTTCCATGATGAGATTAGAGCATTACTCTAGAATGTAAAGGCACTATGGAACTAAGCAAGCACACCATTTAATTCCAACTCAATGTTGAAAGCAAGGAGTTAATACACACTCTGGTACAACCTATTTAGCCATCATGGACCACTGACAGTTTGCAGACTAGCACTAGTCCATGTGCCACATATTGAGGAGCATTTTTCTAGAATTTTCCTTTAAGCATATCAAAACTTGCCAGATCTGCATCTCATTCATTCAGGAGCCTGATGACAGGTAAATTAGGAGACTCAGTTAAGCAGATTTCATTTAGTGTATCTGACTGAGAATCATAGGAGTTCAGAGGAGAGCAAAATCTTAAGTTAGGAGCTGGGAAGCTGTCGGCAGTTCATCCTAGACACAGGTCTGGGCAGGGTTTTATCTGAGGGAGACACAGAAGCCAGCATTTCTAGAGGAGGAGAGGCCATTACTGAGAGCATGTTCAGGAAGAGGCACAGGGTTTGTGTGTGTCTATACCTATGAGCATACAAGTGCAGGTGGCATGTCTGTGGCATTATATCTGTGTGCATGCATCTGTAGGCATGATGCCAATATATGTGTGCTTTCATACGCATGTGTCTTAATTATGTGTCTGTGTTAGTGTTTCTATGGTTCCATGTGTATGTGTGCCATGCTTCTGTGTGCATATATGTATATGTTTCTGAGTATGCAAATATATTCAGATGTTGGTGTATGCACAGGTACGTGTACATATTTTTATGTGTCTGTGTGCATAAATATATAGACACATTTTGTGTGTCTATGTATGCTCAGGTATGTTTTTAGATACAGAAGTTTGTATCTAAGCAAGTACACTTATGTGACTTACATGTAAATCTGCATGCACACAGGTATGCACAGTAGCATGTTTGTGTGCCTGTGTGAACATGCACACATCATTGTGCCTGTTTCTGTGGCTAAGCATATATATGTATGTGTATACCATCTTTCTATGTCTATGTAAATATACAAATGTGTCTACACATCTGTACATACTAGTAAGTCTATGCATCTGTGCGTGTATACACAATGGGTGTATTGCCAGTGTGTGCATGCATTTGTATATGTACAAAAGTATACTTTGTGTCTAGACATGTGTTCACATGTATGTGTGCTGATGCACTTAGCATGTGCACACATACATATGGTTTGTGTGCCACTATTGTATGGGTGTAGATGTGTGCATGCTTCTATTTGTGTATCTATATAAATCTATGTGACTTACGCTTAATCTGCGTGCACACAGGTATGCACAATAGCAGGTGGTGTGGCTGCAGAGGCAGAGGGGCAGAAACGGGACCCTCCCAGTTGCTAGGGAGGAAGGAAAGTTTGGTCCAGAAGAGGGAGAGGCTTGCGTCTACAGCTCCTTCCCTTTCTCCTTTCCCGTCACATGTCCTAATCCTCTGTAACTCTGTTTCCCCCTCTCTTTGGCCACTGAAGTTAGGAGCTTCCCGGGGCCCCTCTTGGGGTATGAGCCCCCACTCTGGGTGAGAGGACCCTGGGCTGGGAGGAAGGATGTGATGCAAATGGGAAGTGAAGCCCCTAGGACTTGCAGAGATGATAGTGAGAGGGGGCTTCGGGGTTGGGGTTCCCTTGTAGAGGAGTCAGGCAGGTCTCACCTGGGCTCATCTGGTACTGTTTGAACCCACCAGCCTCATGAAGAGCCAGCTGATGTGGAGGGAGTGGCTGAGGCAGACCCAGGCTTCCAGGGTGAGTGCTGGGATGCAGACCAAGAAGGCAGGGGGAGGAATCCTCTCCTCAGAGCCTCACAGCAGCCTGGTTCATGGGTGGGGAAACCGAGGCTCAGGGAAGCTAGGCTCCTGGACACTGTTCAGCTTCCCTCTCCTTGGGGGTGTATTCCTCCCTGCCTCTGACTTGCTCTCCCCAGCAGGGTGGAAGTAGGCTTTTCTGGGGGGCCTAGATCTGAAGGCTGGGGGACTTTTATCTTTTTAAATTTTTTTTTTCAGAGACCCAGGAAGCTGTTCCTTCTCTACCCACAGCTCTCCAGACACAGGTCGCTGTGACTCCTGGAGAGAACAGGTACTCCCCCTCCTCTCCCTAGGATCGGTGTCCCCACTTCCTGACAACCAGGGAATTTCCCAGGGAACGTAGGGTCTCCTAGGCCAGAGGAAAGGGAGGGTGGGGTTATGGCTGATGAGCTTCCTTACTATGGGGGCCAGAGGCATCTCAGGCCCAAGTCAGTGCTTCAGAGTTTTCCCAAGGAAGCCAGAAATCCCACCTCGTATGGCCTTCCTGCCGGCCAAGGTGCTTGTCAAACCTTGCACATGTGATGCTGAGGCTGGCATTGGGCAGGGGGCCTGGGACCCTCCAGGGGAGCTGACCAGCGGGGGACACCTCAACTCTTCTAGAGCACCAAGTATGAGAGTGCAGTGTATGGTGGTTCACTGGGCTGCACTATGCTGACTAGCCATAGGGTGGACCCCAAACAGCAGGGGGCATACCAGGCCTCACCAGAGACTGGTGTCCCCCATTTATACAAGATTCAGGTGGGGGACCTGGGAAGGTGGCTCAGTGGTAGAGCACTTGCCTCGCATGCATGAGGCCCTCGGTTCAATTCCTCAGCACCATATAGGCAGAAAAAGCCGGAAGTGGCGCTGTGGCTCAAGTGGTAGAGTGCTAGCCTTGAGCTGAAGAGCCGAGGGACAGTGCCCAGGCCCAGAGTTCAGGCCCTAGGACCAACAACAACAAAAAAGAGAGAGAGAGAGACTCAGGTGGGAGGTGTTGCATTTGAAGTCTCACAGAGAGGTGACAGTCAAGCAAGTCCTTCAGGCTACTTTGCTCATGGAGCAGGGTTGAGGATGGACTGGTGGCTTTGTCCCTTGGCAGTCCCAGCAGCTGGGTGCTAACCTGGCTCTGGAAGGGCATGGAGAAGGTGGTGCCACAGCCGGTCTGCAGTAGCAGGGCAGCCGCTGCCGGAGCAGAGGACACAGCTCAGGTACTGTGGTGCTGCAGGTGGGCTGGGGGGCAGGTTGGGAAGCTGTCCCCAGCTCCCTGCCATGTCCGCTGTCTGCATCCAACAGGATGGAGAACACATCAAGGGGCCCTGCGATGCTGGAGACACAGGTACGACCAAGAGGCAGGATGGCTTTTCAGAAGGGAGCTGAGGGGCTGCTTGGGATGGGCCCTGCCCTAGGATGTCTGCATGGCTGGAGCTTCCCACTGATTTTCTGGTTGGAAAGATAGTGCCTGCTCCAGATCTGCTGGGCTCTGTGCCTTCTCTTGCAGCTGACTGCCTCTTTGAATCCATTCTTTTCCTTCCTTCCTTCCTTCCTTCCTTCCTTCCTTCCTTCCTTCCTTCCTTCCTTCCTCTTTTTCTTCTCCTTCCCCCTCCCTTCCCCACTCCTTTCCTTCCTTCCTCATTGTTTTTATGCTTTTATTTGCAATTTGTCAATTCTTCTTCTTCATTGCATTTGTTTCAACTGATACATAAACACAAAAGCTGTATGTGTTAATGGGGTGCCATGTCATTTCACTACAAGTAGACATTGTATAATTGGGTCAAATCTATCCATCTCCTCAGACAAAAGCAAAAGCACTCAAAATTCTTCTTTGAACCTTTTTGAGCTGGACAGCCCTCAGTGACTACGCAGTCACCCCACTGTGGGGTTACACAGTAGAACTTCTGACATCTGTCTAACTGCAGCTCAACACCCATTGAACATCCTTGTCCTTCTCCTGTTTTTCATCTGCAGATGGGGTCCTTGGGGATCAGGATGCTGGGTAAGTCCATGTCACCGAGTGTCACCATTGTGTGGGGTGCATGGTCCAGAGCTGAGAGCCTGGGTCAAGGCCAGAGTCTAATGCTACCACCTCCATGTGTGGCCTTGAGCAGCCTCTGCCCTCTTCTGGATCTTGCTTTTTTCTTCCATCAAATGGGACAATGCACATGTGCTATCCATGCGTCACCTTCTGAGAATGGACAGGCGCACAGGCCAGCTCCTCACAGATGGGCTTCATGCAGGTGCTCTGGTGTGGAGCCTGGAAGGACATGCGGATCACAGACAGAGTCAGTGGCTGTCCCCTCAGTGAGGGTGGCAGGCTGGGTGGGGACAGTGACAGATGAAAATCCTATACCCCACTCTACCAAGGAGCCCTGCTCAGATCCAGCTGCCTCTGCCTGGTGCCAGGCAGGCCCAGTGTGGTTAGAGCCTCCAGCTTTTTAAGAAAAGCCAGAAGCTGGGTGCTGGTGGCTTACATCTATAATCCTAGCTCCTCAGGAGGGCTGATAGTCAAAGGATCAAGGTTTGAAGCCAGCCTGGGCAAAAAAGTCTGTGAGGATCTGTCTCCAAGTAACCAGCAAATGCCAGCCTGGAGGCATGGCTCAAGTGGTAGAGTGCTAATCAGCAAGCATCTGAGATCCTGAGTTGAGTTTCCAATACCAGCAAACAAACAACACCCAAAAGAAAAGCCGGAAATCAATTGGGGAGGCTGAGGTAGGAGGATCCTGAGGTGGAGGCCAGTCTGGGCTACATCATGAAACTCTGTGTTGTGACAAAACAGCAAACACATAAGTCAAAAATCCAGGTTTTTGTCTGAAGCCCTTCATTTGTAGATGTTGCCAATCAATGGAGAGGGTTTTCAGGATGCTGTGGGCCTCCAAAGTAAGCCTGAAACTTCCACTTTGGGATTTATGCCAGAAATCCAGTCATGTATTCCACTGGACCAGTCATCTGGGCCACTCATTCCTTCACTCATTTGTTTGCTGCCTCTTTGCTGCAGCAAGGAAGGCTGGTGTGGCCTAGAGCCCCAGCAGGCAGTCAGGGTAGTATGGTAGGCCCCTCTTATAGGGCACCCCTTCAGCTGACCACTAGCCCCTCCACAGACCCGGTCCATGGCTGATCAGGTGGCTGGAGCAGAATCTGGAGAAGGTGCTGCCTCAGCCCCCGAAACCCACGGAGGTAAGTGGTGAGTAGAAGAGGTGACATCTGACCTCCTGGCGGCGGGGGGGGGGTCAGAACCCTGGAAGGGGGGGGTGCATACTCCAATAGCCTATTCCCCTCTGAAACCCAGGGCCCACTGAGGGGTTGAGGGGTGGGGAAGAATGACTGTGGCTATGGGAATTGAGAGCCCTCCTGCAAAGGCTTCCGGCTGGGGCACAACTGGGGCTGTGCTCAGGACTTGCTGATGCATTGCCTGTCCCCTCGCTTGTTATCCAGGCCTGGAAAGCTGAGCCTGTGGATGCTGTCTTGGCCCCAGGTACTGGGAAGGCTGCCTGGGGGGTGGGGTGGTCACAGCCTAGGCTGGGGGCAAACTAGGAACTAGGGATCTCTGGGAAAGCCCTTAGCCTGCACTAAGGGCTTGGCAGGAGTATGATTGCCTGATTGCTGGTGGGGAGTGGGGGGTGGGGAGGGGAGACTGGAACCACTTTCCTAGCCTGCACTTAAGGTTGCATAAGGCTTGGTGGGCATGGCTTCTTTTGGGGGCAGTGGAACCTCCTCCCTAGTTTGAGCTGGGAAGCTGCAGGCCAGAGATAGACTTGGAAGATTTTGTGCACTCCCCATCCCTGGTGGGTTTGATGCTAAGGTTGTTTGGGGGCTCCCAAGGGGCTCCCCGGCAGCAATGCTAGTGCTTCCAATCTGGCGTCTGTACCCTGACGCCTTGCCACAGGGTCTTTGACTACTTGTCTCCCTGCTGCCTAGAGCTCCCAGAACCATCGCTGGAGATGGAGCTCACAGAGAGCCCCGCCCTGCCCAACCCGGGTCCCCTGGAGCCCGAGGAGGAGCTGTGTCCAGAACCCCAGCCTGGCTTTCAGACATCCTCCCTGCCACCACCCGGAGACCCTGCTAAGTAAGCTCCCCCTACCCACCCCCCACAACCCTGAAAGTGCCATACCACCCTCAGAGAGCTGGATTTTCTTAGCCCCAGCCCCCGACCTTCACAAAACTATTTTCTTAAGTTATAAATGAACACATGTATCCGAGAGAAAATTCAGCCACTCTCTAGAAGCTTCCCCAGGCAACCACATCAGCAACTTCTCACCTCACCCCCTTGTTTCCTCCATCTGCCAAGCTGGTGACTGCACTTTTCCTTTGAACACACCTAGAACATGCACACCTGAGATCCCAAGCATCAGGAGGCTGAGGCTGGAGGATCCTGAGTTTAAGGCCAGTCAGGGCTGCATAGAGAACCTCTATCCTAAGCCGAGAAAAACCAAGTCAAACTCTACACTTAGTGAGAGCAAACTATATGCATTCTTTTCAGGGTTTTTTGGTTGTTGTTGTTTTTTGGGGGGGGGTCCGGTCATGGGGCCTGAACTCTGGGCCTGAGCGCTGTCCCTTAGCTCTTCAGCTCAAGGCTAGCGCTCTACCACTTGAGCCACAGCGCCACTTCCAGCTTTTTTCTTTTTGCCTATGTGGTGCTGAGGAATCGAACCCAGGGCCTCATGCATGCAAAGCAAGCGCTCTACCACTGAGCCACCTTCCCAGCCCTGGTTGTTTTTTACTTACAAATATACCTTAAGGTAATTTCATACACTTAACCTCTGTTTCACGGTTTTACTAGCTGCAAACAGCCATACACTGCCCCAGTCCATTGGAAACATGGGCTTTTGCTTATCCACTGAGTGGACACTTGGGTCCTTTCCACACTTTGGCTGTAGTCAGTACCATTGTATGCACATCCTCTGGCTTGTCATAAGTAAATCTGTGAATATACACGTGGAATCAGATTTGCTTATGATGAGCTAGGTGCTGGTAGCTGAGGTCTATAATCCTAGCTACTCAGGAGGTTCAGATCTAAGGATCAAGGTTTGAAGACAGCTTGGGCAGAAAAGTGAGTGAGACCTTTATCCACACTTAACCAGCAAAACGCCAGAAGTAGAGCTGTGGCTCAAGTTGTAGAGTGCCAACCTTGAGTGAAAAAGCTAAGCAACGCACTAGATCCTGAGTTCAATACCAAGTACCAGCATACATGTGTGCATGCATGCATGCATGCACACACAAGGAGGGATTTTCCAAGTGCACTGAGCATGCACATGAGAGGCCTGATATGCAGTTCTGGAGGAGAGAGGCAGCATGGAGAACCAGACACGCAGCCTGGTGGGGCCTGAGCTGAAGCCAGAACTTGCCTGGGAGGGGTGGGGACAGGAGGGCTTGGCAGTCAGGGGTTGAGAAGTGGGGTCCGCTCTGGCAGGCTTGTTATCTACTTGCCGCGAGTGACTCTGGCCACAGTTACCCTTCAGCCTTTCCGCTGGGAATCAGCCCCTTCCCTCTCATCACAGGCTGATGGCGTGGCTCCTACGCAGGCTGGAGATGGCCCTTCCACAGCCTGTGCTCCATGGGAAGGCTGGGGAGCAGGTAAGTGCTGCACCCGGGGGCTGGAAGCCCTAGGTTGCGGGAAAAGGGGCATCTTGGGAGCTCAGGTAGGGGGCAATAGCGAGCCCAGGACATGGGGAATCAGCCTTGCCTCTTGCCTCGCTTCACACACACATTGATTCCATGTACATCTACTGAGGTTGGGGCCACAGGGCAGAGAAGTACTACCCAGTCTACCTGTGAACAGCGTAGGTCCAGCAGAGAGGAAGGAAGGCCTGACCAAGTCCTGGGCCTCTTGGTCTCTCAACAGTAGGACCTGGCCTGCTGAGCAGGTGACTTGCTGTGGTTCTCTTATAGCACCCCCACTTTGACTCCCAGGTGAGCCAAGGGGGTGGGTTGGGGAAGCTGATGAGGCAGTCATGGACTTCTCCCCCCCTTTTTTTTCCTTCTGCAGCAGCAGCCTGGCTCCTTAGAGACATGTGATGTGCAGACCAGTAAGTGAGACGTTAATGGGTCCTTGTGTGCATCTCCTGAGGGCTTCTGGGTATTCTTGGGTCTGAGTTTGGGACACAATTGGCATCCCTGGAGCTGAGCGTCCTTCCTGCTCGATCTCCTTTCTCATCAGCCCATCGAGGTAGCCAGAGCCAGATGGAGGACAGGGCTGCTACTCAGGCTGGGCTTCCAGCTTCTATCCAGAGGAGTCCTAAAGTCAAGTGAATACCCTCTTCCTGTTGGCAGCATCCCCAGATATCTGGCTCTAGCCCTTGGCAGCAGGATAAATGGTTTTGGCTGAGCCAAGCCCTGGTGATGGGGAAAGGAGAGGAATGGGTGTCCCTAGGGATCAGATCTGTGGGCTCCAACACTCCTGAGCTGGGAGGGGTCCCTCTCCTGCAGCTGGATTAGGGAGGTATGTGCTGCTTTCTATTTCAGTCTGAGCCAGGACTGGAGGGCAGAGGATTGAGGCCAGGTAGCAGAGGTGATGGGCAGAGCCTGCTCTTTCTTTACTTCGTGTGTCTCCCCACCCAAAAAAAAATTGTAGACAATCATGTTTTCATTCAACAATTACTGATGGATAGCCCTGCTGCATGCAGGCCTGTGATGAGTTCTCGTGGTGAACAAAGCAGCCCGTGGCCTGTGGGTGTGGCAGCCCCTTTTCCATCCTGGACACATGACGTTACTCTGAGTGTCAGTCTTCCCAGTGATGCTCCCCACTGAGTCTGCAAAGCTGTGTCCAACCCCAGCCCCATGGGGTCAATGGTCTTCATGAGTACTCTGAAGCCAGTGGAGCACTGTGGCCAGACACACAAGCCAGCAGCTGACTGTAGGCCTTGGTCTTACAGAAAAGCCAGGAGAGAGGTGTTAGGGTTCACAGTTGCCATAACAACAACATGAGGAGAGCCTTCCACCTCAGGGAGGGACACACTGGTCTCTCATGGGGCTCACTGCCATCGTGGAGGGTGCAGAGTGGAGCTGTCTGGAGCTCAGAGATCTAAAGGCCCCACCCATAGTCACAGTGCAAATCTCATGGGGGTGAGGGGTAACAACTCTGTAATGTTGGCAATCGTGGCTTGGTCAGCAAAGTTAAGGGAGCCAAAGGGGCCTTCCGAGGCTGCAGAGAACTCAGGACAGGGCCCCTGTGCCTCCTGTCTTCCTCTCCACTGTCTTCAAAGGACTCAGGATTCTTAGCTCATTGACATCAGGGCTCGTTCCTGGGGCTGCCAGGATGAAGGAGCACACACAAGATGTCTCAAGACAGCAGGGCTGCATTCTCTCATAATTTGGAAGCCAGAGGTGGAGAACCAAGGTGCTGGCAAGGCCTGGTTCTTCCCAAGGTTCTGTGGGTGACACCATTCCACCATTCTCCTGGCTACCCTTGGTGTCTGTTATCCCACCTGCGTTCTACCTGACCTTGTCCATATCTCTGCCTGTCACATCTCCCCTTCCTCTCCTTTTGCTAAATCAAGGCTGATCTTATCTCCAGATCCTTAATTTAATATATCTGCCAAGACTCTGTTTCCAAATAAGGCCAAATTCCAATGTGTCAAGGTTAGGACTTAGGCATATCTTTTGGAAGACACTATTAACTCACTCCATAGGTGACTGTGAGTCTTGAGGATGAGTGTCCCTCTCCTTCCCCTGTGCAGCTTCCTGGCCTGCCCATCCACCCATCCATCCATCCATCCATTCATCCATCCAATGTTCAGTCTCTCCCTCCAACATTCCATTTCCCATTCCCATGTTCCATCCATCCATCCAACATTATATCCATTTATTTATCCAGCGCTCTGTATCCTCCAACATTCCATCCATACCTCCCATCCATCCATCCATCCATCCATCCATCCATCCATCCATCCATCCCAGTGTTCCATCTATCTATTCAGTGCTCAGCATCTTTCATCATGATTCCATCCATCCATCCATCCATCCATCCATCCATCCATCCATCCATCCATCCATCCATCCATCCATCCCAGTGTTCCATCTATCTATTTAGTGCTCAGCATCTTTCATCATGATTCCATCCATCCATCCATCCATCCATCATCCATCCATCCATCCAATGTTCCATCCCTCCATCCCACCACAGTTCCACTCATCAATCTAATATTATATCCATCTATATATCCAGTGCTTACCATCCTCCAACATTCATCCATCCATCCATCCATCCATATCTTCCATCCACCCAATGTTTCAGCCATCCCTCCAACATCCCATCCCTCCAACGTTCTACATCCATCCTTCCAAAGTTCTGTCCATTCACCCTTCTTTCCAACATTCCATCCATCCTCCTCCCCACCTTCCAAACATTCATCCCTCCCTCCCCACAGCTGCCCACCCTCTGTCTTCTTTGTTTCAGGGGTGGCGGCAGCGGAAGGCCTCTGAAACAAAGGAGAAGGGGATCTGGGGAGCACGGATGGACAAACGGATGGATGGATGAAGGACAAAAGGATGCCCTGAGAAGAAGACCTTCTGGGGGAGGGGGAGGAAGTGGATACTGACCCACACCCCAGTGGAACAATGAACTCCTGGCCTCTCCATACTCCTAGGCTGGACAATGAAAACCAGTAGCATCCACAATAGCCCTAGAACCTCCTTTCAGGATGCTGGGCCAGGGAGCAGCACCCAGACCAGCACAGACAAGGCTAGCCAAGAGCAACCTGGAGACTTAGGCTAGACAGGAGGAGGACTTCCTCACTGGAAGCCTTCCAGGTTGATCATCTCTGTGACCAGAAGTTCTCAGCCCTCATGATGCAACATGCTCAGTACCCCCATGGGACTAGTTTGCCTCGAAGGAGTTCTCCCCAGGGCTGACCCCACTTTCTTCTTCAAAGTGTTGAGGACCAAAAAAACAAAACAAAAACAAAAACAAAAAACAAAATGTTGAGGACCACCGGTGACAGTAGCAAACATCGAAATTTACATTAAAAGCATGACTTAGTACCTCGATGCTGTCATGGTATGATATTCTCGGTGAGGATAGTATGGAAACAGTGTTAATTTAAAAAGGGTGGACAGAGTGAAGAGGCTCTGGCCTCAGAATCAGGGCCACAGGAAGACAGAAGACAGGAATTAGCCCGTGTTCCTGGGCTCCCAGCTGCCCCCGCACGTCTTTATTTAGGCCAGGGAGAGGTTTTTAAAATTAGACTTAGTTGCTGACACTTGACAAGTCAGGTAGTTTTACACAGAGAAGCCTGGTTTCTCTCAGAACCTGCTGTCACAGGCCACACGCCTTAAGAGGACAGGCTGAGGAGCAGCTGCTGCTTGCCCTTTCATTCACAGCCACTGTTTGAGTTTGAGGCTCTTGGTGTCTAAAACTGGGCAGCCAGCCCTGGTAGGGGAAGTAAAGTGAGGCAAATGTCTGGAGGTAAGAGAGGGAGGGGGTAGTGGAGAGTGATGGACACTTCAGCTCATCTGGAAACTGCCTCCTTGATGTGGAAGATAAGACTCGAATGTTGGGTCTGACTTTAGGGGATGAAGGTGCTGGGCAATAGGAAGCCACCAAAGGTGGTTGAGCAGGGGAGGGATTCCACAAAAGATTACTTGGGGGCTGAACAAGCATTAGAGGCAGGGAAAGCAATTGAACCAGGGCCATAGTGAAAAATATCCTGCTCCCCTCATGAGTGGGTGCACTGCCTGTGAATCTCCTTTTCTCAGATGAATCTGGGACCACTATTAGCAAAGCTAATAGTGAGGGAGGGTCAGTGCTCCAGGGCCAGGTGGGGGGTGTCACTCACCTGCACTAAGAAAAGGCAGAGCAAGTGCACAGATGCCCCGGCCTTCCAGAGAGGATGGCTTGGAGCCATCAACCTTGGGCTGCAGCTACTCCCCCTCCCCCAACTTTGTTCTGCCTAGGGCCATATGCAGAGCCCCCACCCCTTCCCTTCCAGGCTGGTGATCCAAGCCCTCCTCTTCTCAGAGCTCAGGCATCTTTGTAATAGGGGCAATCTGAGGCACAGCTCACAGGCCTGCTGATGGGGTAAAAGGCAGAGTTTGTGAGGCATTGATCCCGGAATACCACCTAGATAGTTAATGCAAGCAGGAATCAAGGACAACACCCACTGTAAGGGCAGTGCCCTGTGTGGAGAGGCTCCGGTGCCAGTGAGTGCTCATCTGAGCCCTGTTATCACCTGGGATGGAGCCCAGGAGCCTTGGCTCTTCTGTTAACTTCCTACATGGCCTTGGGAGAAGTTACTCGCCTTTCTAAGCTCCCTCTTTTGTCTGTAGAAAGAGGGACAATATCATTCTCACTCTTTGGGCTCTCTGTTCCCTCAATGACTCCTGCTATGCCCAGGCATGGCACCCCAAAGATGTAGAGATATAGAAATGACACACAGCATGTCCAGCTCTGGATTTCATGTCTGGATTTGGAGGATCTCCAAATGTAGGTCTAGGAGAACCAAGAGCAACTACAGGGAAGGATAGTTCAGCACAGGACGGAGCAGCTTCCCAGGGCATTCTCCATGGAAAGCACCCCATGAAAGAAGGGGTTTGCTAGGCACTAGTGGCTCACGCCTGAAATCCCAGCTACTCAGCAAACTCCATCTGAAGACTGAGATTCAGAGCTAGTCCTTGCAAACAAAACCTTGCAACTCTTATCTCCAATTAACCAGCAAAAAGCTGAAGTGGAAAGTGTAACCAAAATGGTAGAGTGTCAGCCTTGAGTAAAAAAAGCCAAGCAAGAGTCGAAGGCCCTGAATTCAAACCCTAGTACTAGCATAAAATAAAGTAAGCATCTATACCTCAGTTTGCCCATTTGTAACATGGGAACACAATCTGAAAGAGAGGATAATAGTTGGTGGGCGGATGGACTAAGTTGATCCACGTAAAGCACTCTGCACACAGGAAGCACTCAGGAATGTGCTGTTACTATTATGGTAATTATGATAGTCATGAGGCCTATGAACACAACTATGTTATTGGGCGTCCCAGGTAAGGCTGTCTCCATTTAAATTGCCTCTTTGGGATGGAGGTATGGCTCGAGTGGTTGAGTACTTGCCTAACAAGGCACAAGGCCCCGAGTTCAATCCCCAGGTCTTCCAAGAAATAAAAAGTCTATTAAAGTTACTATTATTATTTGTTGGCCCAAGGACCACCCAGGCCCTAGAGCTTTTGGAAAATACCTGGAAGGTGCCCAGAATGTTTCTATTTTCTCCTTGACACCCCAGGGGAGTTTCTGGTGATTCCTCTGTACCCACATACTGTTAGGGATCAGGGGACCTGGCAAAGGGCAGACCTCCATGATCCTCTTCCTACCCAGCAGTCAGTTTCCTGGGAGGGTGGGGTGGCTGGGGGGGGCGAGGGGAGGACCGGTGGGGAGGACTTCCAGAGTGCTAAGCTGTCAGCAAGGGGTGGTATCTAGAAAACAGACTGTAGGCAGTCTCCCCCTGAACCCCACAGGACCACCCAGGCCATCTGAAGGTAGCAGAGCCCTGGCCTTACACACAATGCTGGGTTAGAAGCAATCTTTCTGCTCTGGTGATCCATCCACTGCAATCAAAGCTTTGTATCGTGAGGAAAAGAAGGGCGGAAGTAATAGAAAAGGGCAGGAGAATGGCTGGGGGTTTTAGCTTGTTCCTGGAGCCCTGCTCTGTTGGTTGACGGTGCCTCTGAGTGTTGAAGCTTAGAGATGAAATGCTGTGGGGTGGCCAAGGTTCTCTTGGCGGGCAGGGGCCCAAGCCTACCCATCTCACCTCACCAGCAGCTCCACCTGTGTCCATCCCCCCTCCATGCGCCCCCCCCCCCCCCCCCCCCCCCCCCCCCCCCCCCCCCCCCACAGTCAGCATCCTCCCCATGGAGCAAGTAGAGCCTGACCTAGTCCTGGAAGAGGTTGATCCGCACTGGGAGGACACGCAGCAGCACAGCAGCCCCAGCCCTGTTCTAGCTTTTGAAGAGGAGATGGAAGTTATAGTGGAGATGCCCAGGTGAGGAGCCAGAGCAATCCCAGGGCGGGAGAGGGGTTCTTATTTGCAAAGTAACAGGCCTGTCATGTGGAATCCTAAATGTATGAAAGAGTATGGGGCAGAACCAAGCCCATCTCCCCCAGGCAAGCTGCCCTCTCCCCATGGGTACATCATCTATCAGCTTCTTGTGCTGCGTTCTAAGACAGTCTGGATACATGTGGGCATACCTCTCTCTCTCTCTCTCTCTTTTCTCTAGAAAAGATAGCATGTTACATGTGCCTATCTGCACCTCCTTGTTTTCACTGCTGCATTGTATTCCATGGTAGACAGAAGCCAAATTACCTGCCAGGGGAATCTCAGGATCTCTATTCTCACAGTTGATTCTTAGTGACAGCTACTCAAGCTGGGAGGTTTGGGGCTCTCAGTCCCATCAGCTGCATTACTAAGATGGGGAAACTGAGGACCAGAGAGGCTTAGGATTGACCTAGATTACCACCCAACAGTGCAGAAGGCTGGGGCTGCTGTGGTGGGACTCCCCAGATCCAGCTTTGGCGGGGAATTCAGGTCAGGTCCCCGGCATCAATGACGTGCTATAGAGAATGTTGCAAGCAGTGGCAGTGTTTGCTTGCGGGTGCTCACTGCCTGAACTCACCCTCACTCAGGGAGCTGCCTCGGATTCAGGAGGAGAAGGAAGATGAAGAGGAAGCAGAGGAGGAGGAAGAGGAGGAAGAAGAGGAGTTGATGGAGCCTGTGTGAGTCACTTGTCCACCTGGCTAAGGGGTGTGGGGTGGGGACAGGGTGTTTCAGTCAGGGCTTCAGGCTTCTAGGTAGCACTCTGCTGCTTATATGATTGATTGATTGATTGATTTGTCAGTCGTGGGCTTGAACTCTGGGCCTGGGTGCTGTTCCTCAGCTCTTCAGCTCAAGGCTAGTGCTCTACCACTTGAGCCATAGAGCCACTTCTGGTTTTCTGAGCAGTTTATTAGAGATAAGAGTCTCACAGACTTTCGTGCCAGGGCTAGCTTTGAACTGTGAGCCTCAGATCTCAGCTTCCTGAGTGGTTAGGATTACAGGCGTGAACCACTGGTGACTGGCTATATGATTTTTTTTTTTTGTACTGAACTCCTGTCCTTGGTTTTGTGCTCTGTATGCCAAGCACTGGCCTAGAGCCACAGTACCTCCAACACACACACACACACACACACACACACACACACCCCTATACTGACTACATACATGTTCTCAGATCAGTGCACACAGGTGCAGGATCTCCATGTATACCAGCTCACAGATACAGATGTGCAACATACCCTACATGTACACATGTGTGCATGCACACGGCTACTCATGTATACACTAGCATGTATCTGCAGGCTCCACCTTGCCCTGTGCTTGGGTCCCGGAGCACATGTATACAGTTTACCACAAATCTTCAGACACACATGTTCAGGCAAAAGTTCCTGAGTTTAAAACTGAGGGAACTATGGAGCCCCAGGCCCAGAAGGAACAAGGTGCTGTGGGGACAGAGCCAGCATTCTTGGGCCACTGCCAGAGGGCATGAGGCATGGGGCAAGCTGAACTGGGCTGCTTCTGCCTGGGGAAGGATGCTCTTGGCCAGCTTTGCAGAGGTGCAGGTTACTGGTGACGTCAGGGCCCTGGTAACGCCACTGGTCACCTAGCAACCTTGTCTCTGCAGGCCGCAGCTGGGCTTTTCCTAGCAACCACAGCCTTGTGGTCCCCACCTGGCCTCCCTGGGGGCGGTTCTGCCGTTCCCTGCACATCCCCTCAGTGAGATTAGAAGCAGGAAGGATTGATGGCTCGGCTGCCATCTGAGCCACACTGGCTTAGGAGCTGCTTTCCTGGTTAAGCTGGGGTTGTCCAAGTCTCCATTTGTATGTGCCGACCCTGGGCTTGGGGTGAATGTCTGGGCCCCCAGGTGAAGTCCTGCAACATGGGCATCCTTGCCGGCAGAGACAGAGATACCCAAGTAGGTGGTTGCTTCTGCCTATGGCCTGCCTGCCTGCTTGCCTGCCTTTCCTCCTTCCTCCTTCCCCCTCCCCTTCTTTCTTCTTTCCTTCCTCTCCCCTCTGTCCTCCTTCTCCCCCGCTCCTTTCGTCTTTTCTTCTCTCCCTTCTCTTCCTCCTTCCCTCTCTCCCTCCCTCCCTCCCTCCCGCCTTCCCTTGGGTTCTAGGGCTAGAACCTACTGAAGGTATGTGAGAATTTAGTGGGGGCACAGTGTATGGGACTGTGGAGGGAATAGACTGGAAATGGTCACAAGCTGGCTACAGCTAACCCCAGCTTCAACCCAGGAGCTACAAAGCCTCCAGGAAGCCCTGGACCCAGTTTCTGTCTGCTGCTGTTTGAACATCCCTAGGACTTGGGAACTCTCTAGAAGCTGATAGGCTGCTGCTGCTGGGCTGAGGGAGGGTAACAGACCTTGGGGATATTGACCAGGACAGTGCTGGGCTTAAATACCTCGATATCTGAGACTGGGATGTCCCGTCCCTGTTACCTCCCCCCTCCCATCGGTCAGGTGCTAGCCCTGTGGATTGCTGCCTTCTCTGGGATTAATAATGACGAGACCAATAATAAAAATAGCTGATCAGGCCATGCACCAGTGGCTCACGCTTGTAATCCTAGCTACTCAAGAGGCTGAGATATGAGGATCACCGTTCAAAGCCAGCCTGGGCAGGAAAGTCCATGAGACTCTTATCTCCAATAAATCACCAGAAAACTGTGATTCAAGTGGTAGAGTGCTAGCCTTGAGCTAAAGAGCTCAGGAACAGTGCTCAAGCCCAAAGTTCAAGCCCCATGACCAACAACAACAACAACAAAAATAGCTTATCATCAAAGAGTTACTTGGAAGACTCATCAGAAAGTCAGAATGGCAGGTTTGGTTACAGACCCCCACTTCACAGATGAGAAAACTGAGGCTCAGAGATGATGCCCTGCAGGTCAAGGGCTGCCCTGCCAGGAAGGATGGACCTGAGGTTTTGTCCCAAATCATGTTGGCTCCAAAGTAAACAGTTGGTATTGTACATAGGAAGTGGCTTCCAGTGTCAGGAGAATCCAGAACAATCCATCATGGTGTTTTTGTGGACTTTCCCACTCAATTTCACTGGTCCCTCTGCCCTCATTGAAATAAACCAGGCTGCTCAGGCTGGGAATCTTGCCATCTTAGGAGACAGGGCAGCCTTTGGTGCCCAGAGGACTTGCCCAAGGCCATGTGGTGTGCCTTGCTGGCTGGATACTGGGAAAAAGAGGGTGCTGGGGATCTTCTAGCTAGGGCTGCCATCTGGGCCTGGGGCAGCAGGCTGAGCTAGGAAGCACACTGTATTAGTTTAGGCCTCTTCATGCTTACTGTCTGTGGAGGACAAGTCCTTTGTTGTTATTGTTGTTGGTCGTGGGGCTTGAACTCTGGGCCTGGGCACTGTTCCTGAACTCTTTAGCTCAAAGCTAGTGCTCTACCACTTGAGCCACAGCGCCACTTCTGGTTTTCTATTGGTTTATTGGAGACAAGAGTCTTTCTTGCCTGGGCTGGCTTTGAACTGCGATCCTTAGATCTCAGCCTCCTGAGTAACTAGGATTACCTGCGTGAACCACCGGCGCCTGGCAAAGATAAGTTCTTGATAGTAAGCACAGTGCCCCAAATGTCTCAGGTCCCCATGAGAATGTTTGTTTCTTTGCTTGTTGTTTTTCATGGTGCTAAGGATCAAACCCAGGGCCTCATGCATGCAGGGCAAGTATTCTAATTTCTTTTCCAATCGGACACCAACGAAACACTTTTAGATAAAAGAAAATATTGCAAGATACAATATTAACATGTTGACCTATCAATATTCATAGAAAGTCAGTTGTAAACGTGATTGGGAATGTATATTTTTAGGGAGAAAAGGACCCAGGAATTATGCAAGGCATAAATGTGACCTATTTTTGTGACTGAATCTTTTAGAAGATTGGGTGGGGCCTATTTCCCTGAAAACCCTGGCCCCCTGCAGAGCCATGTCTATAGAAGAGAGCTAAGAGGAGTCAGGAACTTGGATCATTAACCCCTCATGTCATGTGGGATGAAGCAGCAGCACAGAACCACAAGCCCACAGCCTTGAGCCCTGAGATGCCAGTGTCTTACCCAGCTTCATTTGCCTGGGCTGTGTGGCTCAGGACCCACTATTAGACCTCTCCAAGCCTCTGTTTTCTAAGCTGACATGGGTTTAGCTGCAGCCCTCATTTCTCAGGGTTGCTTGGATGAAGTCAGATCCAGGGGTAGCCTGGTGGGCACAATGCCTGGCACACAGCCCCCCTGAGAGACCATGCATTTGGGAGCATTCTGTTCCCAGTCAGCAGGTTGCAATCCATGCAGGCTACACTTCCATCTCCACCTGCTCACCCACTTCAGCAGGGGACGGAGCCTTGGCACTGTCCAAGACGATAGACAGGTCAGATGTTCTAGGTAGCAGACATGAATATTCCTCCACGACCCCCTTGGTGACAAGAGTCTAAGGTGGGTGGGAGCTGGGGCTGTTAGGTAGTAGGCCTCAACCTAACTCCAGAAGTCACAGGAAATTCAAGTATGGTGGTACATACCTGTAACCCAAATATTCCAGAGGCCGAGACAAGAAGATTTTTAATTCAAGGCCAGTACCTAGAGATATAGGCTCTTTTTTTACAGTTACATGGTAATATAGAGACATGAATCAGAATGATCAACATTCAAATATCAGAAACTTCCATTTCAAAAAAAAATGTACAGTGAGCCAGGCACCAGTGTCTCATGTCTATAATCCTAGCTATTCGTGAGGCTGTGATCTGAGGATTGAGGTTCGAAACCAGCCAGGGCAGAAAAGTCTGTGAGACTCTTATCTTCAATAAATCACTCAGGAAAAAGCTGGGAGTGGTGCTATGGCTCAAAGTGGTAGAGTGTTAGCCTTAAGCACAAAGAATCTCAGGGACAGTGCCTAGGCCCTGAGTTCAAGCCCCAAGACCAGATCCCCCCCCCCAAAAAAAACCCCACAAAAACTGCAGTTCAGGCTTCTCTGGAAAGTCATAAGATATGACCCTTCCCTCAAAGCCCCGTTCAAAGTAGGTCAGATACCACCTTCAGGTGGGCACAGCTCTCTATTTGCCCCAGCCCTTGCCCTGCCCCTCCTCATGTCTCCTGTATACTGGCAGGGGTTAGGAAAACTTCAGCAATTATAGTGTGGCTCTGATTTATTTCCTGGCATTAAAAACAACCAAAGCCTTGGCCCAAGGTTTGTGTGGCTTAGGACAATTTGTGGTGTGACTTTGGCCTGATCAGTTCACCTCTCTGAGCCTTGTTTTTCTTACATTCCCTGTCCTATCTGTCAAAGATGGTCGCCTGGAGACGGTGGGAGGAGATGAGATATATTCTGAACATCTATGGTGATCTATGGACAGCACCCCCCCCCCACTGCCACCCACACTCCTCCTGGCACAGGCCACGCCCCTGATCCATTCCATGTTTTCAAATTGTCATCCTTGAGATCCAGCTCACAGGCCACCTCCTCTAGGAAGTCCTCCTTCCTCACAGCTCTGTAGCTGTGAGTGGGATCCAGCCCTGTGCACTGGATATGGCTCGGGCCTGGTCTTGGGCATCTCTAGGCCCAGCTCCTGGCCAGAGCTTAACCTCAGCAGAACTCAGGCAATGTCAAGAACTCTAACCCTTTCCTCTACCCCTGGCGTGACAGTGTCCTGCTGGATAGCTGCTTGCTGGTACAGGCGAGTGTGGACCAGAGTGGAGTAGACGGGACAGAGCTTCAGACAGCATCACTGCAGGTAGGAGAGCCGGGCCACTGGGTACCAGGTATCCACATCAGCTCTGCCCCACACACTGCGGTTACAGGGGAATTTCAGCTGGTGAGATGCCCACAGGACAGAAGCAGGGTGGAGGGTCCTGCCGTGTCAGGGTCAGACAGTCAGGAAGGGCGTTGGCCATGGCGGGTATCAGGCAAGCTGGCCTGGATTCCACTCTCTCCCTTCCTTACTCTGGGCCTCTGTAGCTACTGGTGTCAAAACGTGCTGCAAACACCTCCCAAGGGTGCAAGAGGACCCCAGAGGGGCCAGTACACTATGGGGTTCTCTTCTGGGGCCCCGGGTCTGGCTGATTGGGGAGTCTGGCAGGGGTCAGGGCAGGAGTGGCCTGGCAGAGCCTGAGGGGCTGGGTGGAGCAGGAGCAGAGCTAGGGGTGGACACCTTGAAGCACGGGATCTGAGCGGGCAGGTGGCAAAGGTCCAGCTTCCTAACTTGTGTCTCTGCAGGAGCTGCAGGAGGAGTCTCAGGCCAACAGCTCAGCAGGTAGGTGGGGCTGGGGAGGACTTCCAGGCTGAGGGCCCCTCTCCTTCCTCTTCCTCCCAGTCTATGTGCGCTCCCCAATCCCCCATCCTCAGTGAAGCCAATCCTCCGTGCCCTGGGGCCACGTGATCATAGCCACACATGTCTTTCATGGGTTCTGGGGGGAAGGGCTGAGGCCCGAACTCCTGGCCCGGGAGCCCCACTGTTCTGGCCCTCAGTGCAGCCTCTTCTTCTGGGGGAAGCAGCTTTAGGTACTGGCCCAGTGAGGGTTCCACTCAGCCATCTCCTTCTGAGGGGCAGCGGGACCAGAGGCTGTGTACAGTGGGGCTGTCCACCAAGTCTGTGCCCTAGGTCTTGTTTCTGTGAGCTAGATGTGGCTTCTGAGCCCTCCAGGCTGCTTTCAATGGTGAACTTGGTTCCTTGGGCCAAGTCTACCCAATCCTGAGAATTTCAGGAATGGTGGCAGAGTGTGGAGGGGGGGTAGGAGAGCATTGCGGGGGGGGGGGGGGGCGCGGGGGGGGGAGGGGTTACAGGGCAGCCAAACAATGGCTGGGTGTTTACACTCCCTTGGATGTCAAACCCTGGTTTGGTTTGGAGTCCCTTATACCGCTTGTACCCCATTTTTCAGATGGGAAAAGCTGAGGCTTGGCCAAGAAGTCAAGAAAGAGCTGTTTCATTCTTGGCCCCTCTCCTTCTTCATAGCTAATCCGGTGTCTTCTCTGAATCATGGCTCCCAAATCTAGAGAAAGGGAGTACAGTATCCTTCTCCAGAGCAGGGGAGACAATGTATCCCAGGTCCCCAGCCTGGGGCTGGTCCTGAGTCAGTTGTCCTGACTCTGAGTGTCCTGAGCTTGCTCCTGGTTTGTTTGTTTTGTCTGTGTGCTCAGGGCCTCACAGTCTCAAGTGAGTTTTTTTTTTTTGGCTCGCTACCACTTGAGCCACAACTCCACTTTCAGATTTTTGGCTGAGCTGTCTTTAACCCAGATCCTCAGCTCTCAGTTTACTGAATTTTTAGGATTCCAGGTATGAGGCCAACTGGGTTTTTGGAAAGTGTTCTCTGTTAGCTTGAAGATTTATCTGTATGAACCTACCCGGTCTGTGACCTGATGCTGGGCCTCCATGTAGATGGGGCAGGCTGAGGACTGACCCGCTGTGGTGGAGCTGCCTCTGCGTGCTTCTCCTTCCCAGGTGATTTAGAAGCAGGTGTTTGGAGCGTCTCCCCAAGGGATGCTGAGACAGCCATTTGTCCATCGCTATTCAAGGCATGGGCCTCATCCGGCTGCTTCAGCATCCTCTGGGAGCTGGTTAGAGACGCGGAATCCTAGCTCCCACCAGCACCAGCTGCTTTGGAAATGGAGTTCACTCTGTGACCGTCTGCATGTCCCCCCCCCTCTCTATTTGTGCCAGTCCTGGGGCTTGAACTCAGGGCCTAGGCACTGTCCCCGAGCCTCATTGGGCTCAAAGCTAGAATTCTATCACTTGAGCCACAGCACCACTTCCAGCTTTTCCTGAGTCTCACAACTTTTCTGCCTCAGCCGGCTTTGAACTGCAGTCCTCAGATCTCAGCCTTATGAGTAGCTAGGATGACAGGTGTGAGCCACCGGCATCTGGCTGGGTGACATTTTTCATGCTGTGTTCCAGGGATGACAGTGATTCTTCAAGCTGGGCTTACTGGTGCATGCCTGTAGTCCCAGCATTGGGGAGCCAGCCTGGGCTACATAGTGAGACCCTGTCTCACAAACAAATAAAAATAAGCAATGCTTTAGACCTTGGCAGGGCTGCTCTGTGTGAGCACTGGAAAGGAGCCCCACTCATGCCACTTTTCCACCTCTGCTCCTGACTGCAGCCCCCAGGGTCACACCTCTGCCTGCCTGCAACCTTCTGGCCCCAGCACCATGGCTAACTCAGGCCGAGATATGCAGCTGAACCGTCTAGTCCAGGACCAACCTCCTGGCCAGGTGGCCCCCAGGCCTGCCCCCCCAAATCTGGCAGAGCATCTCCCCAATGTGCCCAGTTACCGCCCCCCAATCACACGTATCCCTGTCCTCGTCTCCCGGAGAACGGCCTTGTCCAGCTCCAGCTTCGCCAAGGAGAAAAGGAGCTCCATCCGGCGCCTGGGTAGTGTGAGCCCACCCCACCCCACGGCCCTGTGCTTCTGCATGGCTTGAGCTGACTTCCTGCACGGCAGCACGGTCACGGTGGAGGACCTGGCCTTGTGCTCAGGGAAAACCTGCTCTCTTCCTCAGGCCTTCTTCCTGTTTTCTGGTGGTGACCTAAGGGGCTTGGGCTCCCTTTTCCTTGTGCCTCAACTCCCACCAGTAGCAATTCAGTATTTGATTTACACTTTGCTTTCTGTGAGTTATGTTTTTAAAATAAGGCAGTCACTCATACTCTAGTTTAAAGGGCTAGACTTTGTTCTTGACAACTCAGATTCAGGACAGTGAGAAGTCCCTGGTACAGGCAGGAGGGCCGGAAGGGGCAGATCCTCAGATTCACAGGGCCAAAGGAAGGCAAATCCCAGTGTTCCCAGATGCCTCGAGGCTGCTGCTACTTCTGCTCACGAGGGGTTCCAGCCTCTCTCTGCCTTAACTGGAGTCAGCCCTGTGTACTGTTCCCTTTGGAACTGGCCGTTAGTTTCCTCTGGCCTTGGGCAGGGCTGGCCTCTCAGGTGAAGCAGAGAAAGGAAGAGACCCAGGGCTGTCTTCTCTTCCTACCTCTCACTGGTCGTGGAGGTGAGGTGAGGTGACATTTGGACTAAGTGAGGATGCCCATCAGGTCTCCATTTCCTAGGGGGGAAGCCTTAAATCTCCATTCACCCCTGCAGACCACTCTCACTTTTCAGGACCAACTCTACCTTCATTTGCTTGCTGCTTTGAGACACTTTTAAAAATCACTAATTGATTGGGAAACTAGAATTTATTGCCACAAATAGAAGACCTACATAGAAATGACGGTAAACACAGAGCTGAGAATCCAGGGGAGGTACAAGGGGCCTGCCAGGGGTTCCTAGCCTTAAGGGGGCTTTGGTTGTAACTCAGGGCCCCTAGCGAAGGCCCTGGGGCCCTGAGCTGAGACCTCACTGTGGCTCTGAGGATCCAGAAGAATTAGCAGGTGAGTCAGGGTCTCAGTCTACTACCCTTTGTACCTGGTCTATGTGGCTAAAATCTTCCACGTCCTCCCTGGGCCCTGGGGCTCCCCACATTGGGGGCCAGTGAGGCAGTGGCTGATGGGACCACAGTGTGACATACAGGATTGTAGGTACCCCAGGCAAGGACGTGAAGAACAAGGAGGCCATTCCCGCTTCGGTGACATCGCCTGGCACCTGTGGAGTTGGGGCAGGGGGACATTTCCAGTGATCTCAAGGTGTCCCTTTCCCTCTCCCTTGGTGTCCTCCAGACCTGTGTCCCTGGCTGCTCCTGGGTAGCTGGGAGGAGAGGCACTGACCCAATCCTGGTGCTGTAGCAGGCTTCTCAACATCCCTGTGCCTCAGTTTCCTTATCCACACCATGGGAACAAGAATAGCTGGAAAGGTCAAAGAGTTAATATAGATTAGCATAGGGGTATACACCTATTGTCCCAACCAATCAGGTAGCTGAGGCAGGAGGATCTGCTCGGTTCATGAGTTTGAGAGCAACTTGGGCAATATAATGAGACCATGTTTTAACAATAAATAATAGGGCCAGGCATTAGTGGCTCACACTGGTAACCCGAGCTACTCAGAAGGCTGAGATCTGAGGATTGCAGCTCCAAGCTGGTCCAGGCAGAAAAGTCCCTATAAGACTCTGATCTCCAGTTAACCACTCAAAAACCAGAAGTGAAGCTGTGGCTCTAAGTAGTAGAGTGCTAGCCTTGAGCAGAACAGCTCAGGGACAGTGCCAAGGCCCTGAGTTCAAACCTCACGACCGACAAAATAAAATAAGCATAATTAACATCTATAAATTACTTAGAGTTTAGTAAAACAAATCCCATCCTTCAGATATATTGGAAGTGCTTAATCATGGAAACATTAGTCTCTAAGGTAATTTAATAATGTATTACTGTTCTTTATGTTCCTAATGACTTTATTCTGTCTGTAAATCAGTATAATAATAATAATCTCATTTCTATTTTGAGCTCTTTATAGGGCGGGGAAATGAGAACCAGTCATAGGGGCTTTTCTCTCCCTCTCCTGGGGGTGGGGACAGGAGTGGGGTTGCAGGCCTAACCCAGGTGGAGGAATGGGTGGGTAGAGGAGCACTCTCCCCTTCCCTTAGGCTCCTAGACAAACTTGCAGCCCATAACACTTCCTGTGTCTGGGACCATGCATCCCTTCCTGGAGGCTCTCCTGGAGGAATTGCTGTGGCCTCTGGCCTCCCCTTCCAGCTCGTTCTCTCCATGGCTGCAGGGCTGCCGGGTGAGGGCCCTTCTGTCTTATGTCCTCCTCAGAGCCTGGAGTCTCTCTCTCTCTCTCTTTTGGCCTGAAACTAGAACTCAGTACTTGACACTTTCGCTCATTGGCTGGTGCTCTACCAACAGAACTACTTTTCCAACCCCAGTGTCCCTTAACATTTTTTTTTTTAAAAAGTCTTTATTGGGCTGGGAAGGTGGCTCAGTGGTAGAGTGCTTGCCTTGCATGCACGAGGCCCTGGGTTTGATTTCTCAGCACCACATAAGCAGAAAAAGTCAGAAGTGAAGCTGTGGCTCAAGTGGTAGAGCGCTAACCTTGAGCTGAAGAGCTGAGGGACAGCACCCAGGCCCAGGGGTCAGGCCCCCTGACTGCAAAAAAAAAAAAAAAAAAAAAAGCCTTTATTGCTGCTCATCCTCTTCCCCAGAGGGCTTAGCGTTCAGTAAACAAGAGCCCAGAGTCTTGAGGCCCCTACTCATCAAACTAGAAAATAATAAGCAACTCTATAAACTGCTGGCTCCTTCCTGAGAAAAATCCCAGATGCAGCGATTTCCATGTGCTGTGCCAGGCCTGTGCTGGCTGCCACTGGGTGTCCTGCCTAGGTGGGGTGGGGTAGGGGTGCCAGCCCAGCCCCCAGCATCCTCTGAGCTTGGACTTGAGGATCTGTTCCAGGCACAGGCTCCCCGGGGAGGCCTTGATTCTCAGGGAGGTCTCAGAGGTCAGGACTGGACTGGCTGATGAATTCTGGGGGCTCCAAGTACCCAAATTGGGGGGTAATACATATTGCTAAAACAGGCTATTGTGCTTAATAGGAGGAAACCTTGAATGTCTAATTGAGACTTTGCTCTCTCCTATAGTAGGGAAACTGAGGCTCAGGGAGGAGAAGCAGCTGGCCCAGGCTGTGCTAAGCCAGGCCCAACCTTTGTCCTTACCTGCTCCTCATGCCTTTTGTGCCTGCAGCTCACTGCTGGTCTGCATTCTTCTAGTCCAGGCAGGACTTTGAAGCAATTTCAGTGGCATCCTGGCTTCTCTGGGGCTGGTGGTCGATGGGGTGTGGTGGCACTCAGGGACCTGTGTATGGCATCCTGCACCCCCTGCATGCAGCTCTCCCGTGGGTTCCCTTAGCAGACAATGCCACCAGAGGCCTTCCACATGTGTGCCTGCCTCTGCCAGGCCCCCAGACCTGGCTTCTCTCTCTCTCTGACTCTTCCTCCTTCCTCTCTCCCAGTGCCGGCCACAAATGAGCACCCAGAGGTGCAGGTGGAAGACACTGACGCTGACAACCACCCCCTCATCGCTGAGGAGAAACCCCCCTCCCCTGAACAGTTGCCACCTTCGCCTGCCAAGTCTGACACCCTTGCTGTCCCTGGATCGGCTGCGAGCACTCACAGGTCCCCCTCCCCCTCCCTGCTCTCTTGGGCTTTTCTTGGGCAGGGCCTGGAAACCATGCTGATGAATGAAAGCACTAAGTTAGTCTTCATTGTATTAGATGGATAACCAAACCTGGAGCTCAATTTGGGACTTGCCCAAGCTCATACCATGAGCTGGAGCCTGGGTGCCAAGGCCTTGCTCCGCGTGTGATAGAGAAGGGGGCAGGTGTGACTTCAGGCTGGAAGTAGAGGGTTGGGATGTTCAAGCTAAGACCTGACTCAGTGATAAGCACCCCATTATTTAGTGAGCTGGAATCAGTCCCATTTTACACAGGGGGAAATGGAGGTGGCTCAGAGAGTTTCAGTGATCTTTGAAGATGTAGGGTGCAACCCCGCCCCCGGAGTCTGCCTGAAGCAAACCACAGAATGTGAGACTGAGGTCCCCAGAGTGCTGCACCCCACTCTTTTTCTGGCCTTTTTCTCCCCTCCCCTTCTTCCTAAGGACTGGCTCTAGGTGACCTTCAGGGTCAAGGTCAATCCTGGCCTGCCCTTGCCGCAGCTGAAGGCCCCTGGATGCCTGCATCCTGCAGGAGGAAGCTGCCCTCTCCGGATGATGAGGCGGAAGAGCTCAAAGCACTGTCACCAGTTGAGTCCCCGGTGGTCGCCTGGTCGGACCCCACCACCCCACAGGAGGCAGAGTGAGTAGGAGCCCAGGGTAGGAGGGGGTGATGGTCTGGAGAGGGGGCAGACGGGGGGGGGGGAGGAGAAGGGATCGTGGAAGTTTTAGAATTCCACGCAAGGCAGACAATCAAGGGCTTTGGAGCGGTCCACCTGGGTGTTCTATGCAGGCTCTTCCTGCTTGGCCAGGAGTCCTAACTCTTATCAGCTGGGTGTAGACTCAGCCAGCTTGGTCCATGCCAGCAGTGCTCCTGTGGGGTCGCCAGGCAGATGACTTCCTGTAATCAGCAAGATTACAGGGACCCAGTGGGTTCCAACTTTTTGGGGGAGGAGGGTAGTACTGGAGGTTAAATTCAGGGCCTTGTACTTATTAGACAGAGGCTTTACCACATATCCCTAATCTTTTCTGCTTTAGTTAAATTTTCAGATAAGATCTCATGGCTTTTTTTTGTTTTTGCTTGAGAACAGGATCCCCCATCCTCCACCTCCTACTAGCTGGGATGACAGCGGTGAACCCCACAGCTGACTTATTGTTGAGCTAGCAGCTGTTGATTGTTTGGAGGGAGGGTAGTACTGGGATTAGAACTCAGGTCCTCATGCTTTTGAGACACATGCTCTGACCACTATGCCACATCTCTAAGTCTTGTTTTCTACTGGTTCTTTTTGAGGTAGGGTCTTTCTTGCTTCCTGTCTAGTATATTCCTGGGTCCAATCCAATCCACCTGTTTCAAGCTCTGTGTCATAGCAAATAGGAGCATACCATCAAGTCTAGCTCTCCATTAAGAAAGACTCCCCAAACCTTCCTTCCCTGGGGTGGCCTTGAATCATAATCCTCCCCCATTTCAGTCTCCCAAGTAGCTGGGATTATAGGTCTAAGCCACAGGCACCTAGCTAAGGTCTTTCTCCTTCCTATACCCCTTTCCTCCTGCCCCATGATTGTCTGGATCTCTATCAGGAGCTTGTTTAGAATGCAGAATCCCAGGCCCCACCGGGCAGGATTGGATCAGAGTCCCAGCTAATGACCCAGGGGAATCCACATTCCTGCCTACTCCCCTGCAGGTTCCAACCAAGGCCATGTGTTGGCCCAGTGGTTAGACCTGGATCTCTGACAGCTTCCCAGACTGGGCCAGTGGGGAGATGTTTTTCTGAAGGGTGTGAGTTACCCTCGTTGACATCCCCGTCCTGGAAGCCAGCCTGGACATCCTGTCATACTGCCTAGCCATGTCGCCTGCATCAGCCACAGGAGACGGCACTTCTGCCTTCATCCTTCTAGTCTTTTCTTCTCTCCTTAATTTTATGTACTTGTGTTCAACAGAGGCATAGACAGTTCAGAAAAGAAAGAAACCCCGCAGCCTCAGATAGTTCAGTTGTCCTGTTAGCACGTGGGGGTCACATGTTATGCAGTAGGCTAGGGGCCAGGGTTTGGATTTATCACCAGAAAATGTGTCAGGAATCAAGTACAATAATAAAAATACCCTTGAGATTGCATAAGGAGGTCAGTAGGGAGGCCATACGTTCACCAGCTAAGCTAAGCTGCCATCACAAATAGACCCTAAAGGGCCAACAAGAAGGTGTTTCCAATGGCATGGCATGTAGTAATTGTTCATTTAGTCAGTGGAAGGCACTGTTTCATGGGATCATTTAGGATCCCAGGTGATGGTGATCCCACTGGCGACTGACTACTAGGAGAGGAGATCCCAGGCCTCTCTTCATTAAGAAGGCCAGAAGTTGTACATCTCCTGTCTCCTCACCCCTCTCTGCTCCCCACAATGTCAGTACTAGGATTTGAACTCAGAGTCTTGTATTTCCCAGGCAAGCACTCTACTATATGAGGCACACTCCAGCCTTTTTCGCTTTTGTTCTTTTTCTGGTAGGGTCTTACACTTTTGCCTCAGATGTATCTGGGATTATAAGGGTGAACCACCATGCCTTTCCCAGTCTCTTCTCTCTTTTTGAGCCTATGCATGAACGTTAACGCATGGAAATTAGGACCTACAGTGTGTCTGTGCACTTTTTCTGCCAGCCGTTTGCTAAATTCTAAAGCAGTCCGGTTTCCCTCTCTGTTCTGCCCCAGATGTGCATCTCATGAGCACCTCAGACCAAGTGCCCCAGCCCCGTTTCACTGCACTCTCAGCAGAGCTCAAGAGTTTTCCCCTGAATTTCCAGCGGGGCGAATGTGTTTTGGGAACTGCCCATCTGACCAGGCGATGGGGCACATTTTCTAAGAACAAGGCTAGAGCAGCTGGGCTCGACTGACAGTAGAGCGAGTGGGTCAGCAGTATCAGCAGAGGCAGAGACAGGATTGTGTCCTTCAAGCTTGGATAGAAGCTGAGGCCCAGTTCTGGCTGGGGCAGTGGGTCCTCTCCCCACCCAGTTGCTGAGAGAGGTGGGCCTTGTCCTCACAGTGGACAGGACCGCGCAGCCTCCTCGGCCAGCCAGAACAGTGCCATCATCAACGACCGGCTGCAGGAGCTGGTGAAGCTCTTCAAGGAGCGGACGGAGAAGGTGAAGGAGAAGCTCATCGATCCCGATGTCACCTCGGATGAGGACAGCCCCAAGCCCTGTGAGTGGGAGTGGGCGCCCATGGTGAGGTTGCCTGAAGGAAGGCCCTACTCCCATCCCGGCCCAGCACCTTATGGACCCGTCTGCCCCTTCCCCTGGTGGTGGGTGGGGCTCCTGGCCTTGCACGTGGTGTGTCCCCAGCCTGCTCTGGACGTGGCAGTCTCATTGTTTAGAAGCATCAGTGCCTTGATGGGGCCCCCTGAGCATTGCCTTTCTTCTGTCGTTGCCTTCTGAGACAGAATCCCTAGATCGCTCAGCTCATCTCCAACTCTGGCTCCTCCTGCCTCAGCCTTCCTAGTGCTAGTTTTACAGGAGGGTGGCACCGTGCCTCAGGGAAATGCTTCCTTTCTTTCAGGAGGCGGGGAAGAAATAAGAAAATATGCTCACTTGTCAGAGACCTTTTAAGTCTTTCCAAAGAAGTACGAGGCCTGGGAGCTCACAGTGCCCTCGGTGGGTCTAGCAGATCTGATTTACAGTCCTAAAATATAAACATCATGAGGAACTGGGGAGAACGGAGCCCTTATAACCAAGCACCAGCATCATAACATGCAGGGATCCTAGCCAGGTCCACGTGGAGCCAAGATTCTAGCCCCACCAAGAACTAGGTCCAGGTTGATCACACCCATGTACAGCAAAAGAAACTGAGGCACAGTCTGGGTCGCTCCTAGGTAGCACGTAGGCTTCTGCACATGGAACTCATGGCTGGTTGAGGGTGAGTCCCTTGGTTCTGGCTCTGTAGGAAGGACCTTGGTTCCTGTAACCTCCACCCTGGGCCTCCCCAATGTCATCCCATAGCCCCAGCCAAGAAAGCCCCTGAGCCAACCGCCGTGGCAAAGCCCACTGAGCCGGAACAGCCTGAGGAAGAGGAGCACTACTGTGACATGCTGTGCTGCAAGTTCAAGCGCAAGCCCTGGAAGAAGTACCAGTTCCCTGAGAGCATCGACCCGCTGACCAGTAAGGATTCCCCTCCCCTCAAGGAAGCAGGAGGGCAGGGGTATGGGGGCTGGTGGGGAGCGGTCTAGGAGGCCTTGGGCTCATCACCTCTTGGAGTTTTTTTTTTTTTCAAAGCACTTGTACACCTTCGTACTTGATTCTTAAAACAGCACCAATGAAAGTCCCTGGAGTTACAGTGTAAGATCACACCCATCTTACAGATGCAGAAACCGAGGCACAAAAAACTTTGCCAAGTCTTCTCTATTACCACACTTTCTAGACCCCTGATCTGAGCAGGGGAGGGGGTGGATTCTACTTAGAGCCCCTTCTCCTCTTCCTCAGGAGTCATTTTATAGGTGAGCAGCACCTTGCAGTTCAGACCTGCTGTCCTTACCTGGCAGTTTCCTGTGACTTTTGAGAAGACCCCGGCAAGCACCCCACAGGAACCTTCTCAAGGTCATACAGGAAGTCATTTAGGGGGCAGGACTGGTATCAGTGGGCTTCTAAAATGACAAGTGACCCAAAGTATCCATCCACATACTATCCATCCATCACCTGTCTGTCCATCCATGTCTCCATCCTCTGGGTATGACTTAACACTCTATTTATTAAGACAAGCGATACATTGTTAGAAAATCTTCAAAGAAGCTGGGTATAGTGGCTCACGTTTGCAATCCTAGCTACTTGAGAAGTGGAAATCAAGGGATTGTGATTCAAGGCCAATCTGGGCATGAAAGTTCACAAAAGAGTCCATCTCAACTAATGGCTGTGCGGAGTAGTACACTTCTGTGTACCAGCCCAAAGAAAAGCACAGTAAAAAGATTGAAGGCCAGGCTGATCCAGGCATAAAGCCAAACAACAAAAGGGGGCTGGAAACATGGCTCAAGTAGTAGAGCACCTACCTAATAAACATAAGGCCATAAGTTCAATTCCCACAGTGATCAAAAACAGAAAGGAAAACTTCAAAACAAGTGAAAGTAAAAGGGTTTCTACCTCACTGTCTTTTGTCTAATAATAATGTCACCATAGCCTCTCCTCAGAGTGCTTGGAGAATTAGAGTCTAATGGTGACTTACAGTGTCCATCTATCCATTGTTATAAATGTGCTCTCCAAGAACCATTGGAGTCAAGATGATAGACATGAAAATAAAGATTTGTCTCAGCAAAATTGACCTCTGCAGAAGGGTGAGCCATCAGCCAAAAATCTGGCAAGCAAGCACACAGAGCAGGCAGGCTGTTCCCCTATTTATCCCTAACATAGCAAGCGCCTCTGCTCGATTGGTTGAGCTCAGGTTCACAATCCACTCATGATTGGCTCATTTGAATAGAGTAAAATGTATTTATATAAGGTGACTTTGAAATAAGATTAGCAGTATACAAGTAATCTCAAAATATATCTGCCTCCTCTGCTATTTCTTGAACAATCTGAGGTTTGTCTTCTGAAGTCTTAATTCCATCTTGGGGAAAAAATAGTTTAAAACCTTATATTTCAAAAATCCTTCCTTATTCCAAAACAGTTCCTCTTTTCCTTAACAAGAACCATGCCACTAGGCCAAAGCAGGAATTTTTAAGCAACACACGTTGTTAGAAAAGCTTTTTCTAATACCATTCATCCATCCATCCGCCTGTCTTCCATGTGACAAAGTTCCACTGATGGTACGGGAGAAGAGCCCTTGTCTGGTGGACCTTCTAGAACATTCTTGCTCTCCCCTCAGACCTGATGTACATCCTGTGGCTGTTCTTTGTGGTGCTGGCCTGGAACTGGAACTGCTGGCTGATCCCCGTGCGCTGGGCCTTCCCCTACCAGACGCCGGACAACATCCACCTGTGGCTGCTGATGGACTACCTGTGTGACCTCATCTACTTCCTGGACATCACCGTCTTCCAGATGCGCCTGCAGTTTGTCAGAGGCGGGGACATCATTGTAAGTCACGTGCAGGCAGCGGGGCGGGGGTGGGGGTGGGGGGAGGTATAGACCTCTGGACCTGTGACAATATCAGTGAGTGGGGATATTGCAAAAGGAGTTTTTTGTGGCTTTTTTTTGTCTTACACCTTCCTGTTCAAATCACACACATAAAATACATTCACAAATGAACTGGCTTTGGGAATCACCTGAGAGAATGAAAGATAAGAAAGTGGTCCAGAGACTGGCCTTTAACACAGGGGTACCTAGTTCAGATCTCAGCTGCACCACTCAGTTGAATGCGACTTCTCTGAGCCTCGGTTTGCCTATCTGTAGAGTGGGGGTCGGTAGGGTTCCCCACACTGTGCAGCCTTGCTGTGAGGACCAACATGGGATGTTGGTGGCTGCTCAGCTCAGGTAACTGCCAGCCTCCAGCGTATCCGGAGGCAACTGCAAAGCCAAGTGACTGCACCGCTGACACCCACACTGGAGCATCACTCACCAGAGAGGCCAAGGCCCTCACGGAGACTTACCCTAAGCAGGCAGCACTGTTTCCACCTCCTTGTGCAAATCACTTTCTAAAATTGTACACTGAGGGCTGGGGCTGTGCAGTAGGGCACCTGCTTCACAAGCACCAGGCCCTGGGTCCCATCCTTAGCAGCATGGAGAAAAAAAAAAATTCTACACTGGCAGCACCTGCCCAGCTATATGTAGACAGGTGAGGAAGCCTCTAAAATGACTTAGAGGAAAGAAGATTCTTTGGCCAGCCTTGGTCCTGGCCTGATAGAAGTGTGGCCCTATGCTCAGTAAGTACAGTGGCCTGTGGTCCAGAGAGGAGCTGTGTGCTGAGCGTTAGCATAGTGCCCTGCAAGACGTGAGCATCTAGATAGCTGGTGACCAGGGACCTTCGTGGGTGGACTGTGGCTCTGGTGGGAAGGGGATTCTGCAAGGAATTTCATCATGGTTCTCTTAGGCCAGGCTCTAACACATTCACCACCATTCTTCCATTCCTTCCAGATGGACAAGAAGGAGATGCGGAATAACTACCAGAAGTCTCGCCGATTTAGGGTACGTGCTGGATATGTGGGTGTCACACCTCTGGGGAAGCTGTGGGGTCTAGAGGGGCCCATGTGATATGATGCTTATATATGAAGGAATGTTGGGGCTAACTGCCTGGGGCTGCCCTCCAGCCTCCAAGTCCCTGCAGGCGGTGTGGCCCTCAGCGGCCACTGCTGTGTGTCACCTCAGTTTCCACTGGGGGCCACACAGGGCCGTGTTGGTGGGATGCCTTGTCTGAGGTCTCCTGGGGCATCCAGTTTTCCATGGAAGGTGCCCTCCCCCCATCCTTCCTACCTCTCCCCCTCAACCATGGGGTTCTGGTGGTGACACACTGTGGTGTCCCATGGGGATTTCAGATGGATCTGTTGTCCCTGCTGCCCTTGGATTTTCTGTACTTGAAGTTTGGCGTGAACCCCCTCCTTCGCCTGCCTCGCTGTTTGAAGGTAAGGGGGATGTGGGGCACAATGTCCCCAGTGGGTGGTCCCATGCATTAGTGGGAGTTTCTGAGGTATGTACCTTAGGTTTGTTGACACACAGGGGCTGTTGTCACCCAGTAGGCCCTGGCCTCCGTCCCTAGCCCTGGGGAAAAAAGGTGGGAGGGGGGACAACTCATACTTCCAAAGTAAATAAGGAATAAGGTAATAAGAGGAGCTTGGCAAAGAAGAGAAATTATTAGTATACTTTTATTATCATGAGCAAGACTTTGAAGGGCACAAGGGAGAAGCATTAGGGCTGCTGTTTCTCTAGAACATGTGTTTATTTTAATTTCAGTTAGTTAATTAACTTCTTTATTTGTATAAATAAACATTCCAAACAAGGCCTGGGACCCAGGTACCACTGAAAGCTTCGTGACAGTATGGGGAAGGTCTCAGGGTCTCCAGGCTCTGCAAACTGACGCCATCACGTGTCATTTCTGAGGAGCCATCAGAGGAGTGTCCATGCCCCCCTCCCACCTCTTCCCTCCAAGGGCTGAGGGCCTCTGGTTTGAGCAGTCATTGTCCAGCTGCTGCTCCCTAGGGAGGAAGGGCCTTAGTCCTGCCATGTGTAGGACCAGCTGAGAAGTTGAGGGCAGCGCCACCCACAGACGAGGCTACCCCTGATGCCTTCCTCTTCCTCCAGTACATGGCCTTCTTTGAGTTTAACAACCGTCTGGAAGCCATCCTCAGCAAAGCCTATGTTTACAGGTAAGACAGAACCCTCCACCACCTCCCCTGCCATGTATACACATGTGTGCATAGCCCCCACCCCCACATACACACACATGCACACACAACACAACAGCATCCAGCATTTTCCACCCCCTGGCCTCCCCTTCTGGCTTCCCTGCCTCTACCACCGGAAGCCAGGCCTATTCCTGGCCAGGATGTTTGTTTTCAGAGAACCAGAAGGTCCTGTTTCCCCCCATTGTAAGAGGACACAGGCAACTTGACCTGAATCGCTCCCAGCATTGGTGTCAGCCCAGAGAGCTGACAATCCTAACAAGGGGGCGGGGGCTCTGTAAGAACACAGAGGCCACACTCAGGAAACAGGCGCCTTGTGCCTCTCCTCTGGCCTGGTGGCCTCAGTGTCATCTCCCTGTCTGGCGCTCTCTCCCAGCTGCGCCCCTCACCACAGGCATTGGTCCACAGGGGCAGCTCAGCTATCCCAGGCCTAGTCCACCCTGACTCCTGACAATATTTTGATCAAATACTACTATCCCTAACTAGCACAACCTGAAGTATAAAGAGCATCTGGGGGCAGGGCATGGTGGTCCACACCTATAATCTCAGCTACTCAGGAGCTAGAGCTGGATTTTGGTTTGAAGCCACCCTGGGCAAAAGTTAGCAAGACCCTATCTAGTTGTTCACACTTGTAATCCCAAGTACATAGGAACACTAGTAAGAAGATGGAAACCCAATGCCAGCCAATTATCAAGATCCTATATGAGGGGTTGGAGGTGAGACTCAGTGGATAGAGTGGCAGCCAATGAGCAAACTGTCAGGTTCCGAGTTCAAGTCTTAATCTCAGAACAAAAAAAAATCCTATATGAAAAATAGCTAAAGCAAAACAGTAGAGTCGTGGCTCAAGTGGTAGAATGTCTGTGTCTACCAAAGGTGAAGTCCTGAGTTCAAACCTCACTACTGCCAAAAAAAAAAAAAAAAGCATCTGCTAAGGCCTTTCTAGTCCTTCCTTAGTTCCACTAGCTGGGTGTCTACCCCCCTGGGAGGCTGGGCAGAACTACACAGCTCCAGCAGGGGAAAGCTGTGAGTGGCTGGTCCCACAGTCCTTCCTCTGGGTGAGCCATCCTAACAAGTCCTCTCACCACTGCCTTTGTACTCCGCCCCCTCCCAGGGTCATCAGAACCACCGCCTACTTGCTGTACAGCTTGCACCTGAACTCCTGTCTTTACTACTGGGCATCAGCCTACCAGGGCATTGGCTCCACTCACTGGGTGTACGATGGTGTGGGAAACAGGTGAGCTGGCCGGATGCTCTTGTGTGCCATACGCCAGGGCTGAAAGGGTCCTGGGGAGGAATCTCAGTTGCCAAGGCAACTTTGCTCCGAAGGAGTTGCTGACACATTAAGGTTCAAGGGCTTGGTCTCCACACCTTCCTATGCTAAATTTCCTGAACCTATGCTATTTGCCACACAGCAGGTTCATCCCTGAAGGAGACCTGCTAGAAAAATCCATTCCACACCCCAAAGTCTAGAAAGCGTGGCAAGTACACTGTCCAAAGTGGTGAGGGGACAAAGGTTTACATTTATCAGGTGTCCTTGAGCCATGATGAAATGGGTGGCTACCAAAGCTATGGCTAGAAAAGTTTAATGATGAAGTTGGGTGAGGTTATTCACATCTGTAACCTCAGACCTTGGGAAGGAGAGGCAAGAAAAAACATTGAGTTAGAGACCAGACTGGAGGGCTGGGAAGGTGGCTCAGTGGTAGAGCGCTTGCCTTGCATGCATGAGGCCCTGGGTTCGATTCCTCAGCACCACATAAGCAAAAAGATAAAAGCTGGAAGTGGCGCTGTGGCTCAAGTGGTAGAGCGCTAGCCTTGAGCTGAAGAGCTGAGGGACAGCACCCAGGCCCAGAGTTCAGGCTCACTACTGGACCCCTCTGAAAAAAAAAAGAGAGACCAGCCTGGACTACATAGCAAAATCCTATCCCCCCCCAAAAAAAAGCTATCGGTGACAAAAATCTATATAATAATACATTCTTTTTTTTTTCCAGATTTGTACTTTTTTTCAGATTTCTAAAATTACAATGTATGTTATAATCCCTGTGCACGTTTAAGTTAATACCTAGTTTTCATTTTTTGATGGTACTGGCATTTGAACTCTGCAACTCAGCCTTGTACTTGCTAGGTAGGAGCTCTACTACTTGAACCATGCCCACAGTCCCAGTTATAGCTCCAGAAGAGTGTCACATTTTTTTGCATGGGGCTGGCCTTGAACTGATCTTCCTATAGCCTTTGTAGCTAGGGCCACTATACCTGGCTATTTTTTTTTGAAACTGCAATCCTTCTCATTTCCACCTCCAAGGAGCTGGGTGTAAGCCACTATCTGGCTTCAATACTTACTTTTGTAAGTAAGAGCCCCTCAGTCCCCTTCAAGGACATGCCCCAATGACCGGAGGACTTCCTATGAGGCTCCACCTGGGGGCCAAGGCTTTAACACAAGGGCCTTTGAGGGACATTTCAGGTCCAAACCACAGCATCACTTCAAGTGGGCCTGGGCTGTCCCTACTAGTGACATAAAGTGCCTGGACCACCTGTCCACACTCTGTCTACCTCCATGTGCTTGCTTCCAGCTGCATGGGAGACAGTGGGTCCTTCACAGCCAAGGTGACTTTCTTTTCAGAGTGGTCATTCACCAGAATGGCCCCTTCTCATGTGGCCCAACCCGGCCACATGGCCACAGCTGGCCTGCAGCCTAAGGGAACTTATGTAAAGGACACACATATGGAGATATCCTCAGGATCTGTAGATCCCAGGCAGGCATGAAGTGAGTTCCTGACATCGACAGCAGTTGGAAGCTGTCTGGGATGGGGCCAGTGTCTGATACTCCTCATCACCAATGTTCTGTTCCCTGTTCCCCTCTACTGAATCCATCCCCATTCCTGATCCACGGCTTTTCTAGACTATCCACCCATCTGTCCATCCATCCACTCATGCACTAATCATCCATGCATCCATGCATCCATCCATCTATCCATCCATCCATCCATCCACCCACCTATCATCTGTCCATCATCCATCCTTCATCCATCATCTATCCGTACATCCATCTATCTGTTCATTATCCATCCATCCATCCGCCTATCCACTCATCCACTGAGCCCCTCACATGAGAGCAGAGAGAGGATATAAAGTCCCTTCTACGTGAAGGGCTGAGCACCAGTTCCGTGTCAAATCTACCCTGTTGAGCTTGGTGGGGAACTTACTCTTTTGAGACTCAGTTTTCTCTTCTACAAAGTAGGGGATAACACCACATTCAGGATTCTTTGTCAGGAGGGAGAGGGACTGAGACACAGTTTCATGTGTGGCCCAGGCTGGTGTTGAATATGAAATCTTCCTGCCTTACCTTAGCCTCCTGAATGCGAGGACAACAGGCACTTCACATTCAAGATAAGCTTTCCAGTGTGTGCCTAGACACTGGCCAGTCCTCTCCCCTCCCACCAGCTGTGGATATGGTGTAGCCAGCAAGGCAGGCAAGGGTTATTATTTGGTAGCCAGCATGCCAGAGAAGGGCTTCATAACCTCTGGTCCAGAAATTTCAACATCCGGTAGTGCGAAATTTAGAAAATGTAGTTCTTTTTCAAAAGTTGTGTTTTTTTTATTTTGCTTTAAGTGGTACTTGGGTTTGAATTCAGGGCTTTGAGCTTGCTAGGCAGGTGTTCTACCACTGAGCCATGTCCCTAGTCCTTTTTGTTTTAGGTTATTTTTCAGATAAGGTATCAAGCTTTTTGCCTGGGTCAGCCTCCAACTGCAATCCTCCTATCTATCCTATGCCTCCAGCACAGCAGAGACCATTGGTACATACTACCATACCAGGAATGACACTGGCTATTTGTGTGTGTGTGTGTGTGTGTGTGTGTTGTGGGGCTTGAACTCTGGCTTGGGTGCTGTCTGTGTGCTCTTCAGCTCAAGGCAAGCGCTCTACTGCTTGAGCCACAGCACCACTTCTGATTTATTGGTTTAGTGGTTTATTGGAGATAAGAGTCTCACAGAGTTTCCTGCCTGGGCTGGCTTTGAACCGTGATCCTCAGATCTCAGCCTCCTGAGTAGCTAGGATTACAGGCATGAGCCACCGGTGCCTGGCTACTGGCTTATTTTTGTTTGTTTGTTTTTTTGGTCGGCCGTGGGGCTTGAACTCTGGGCCTGGGCGCTGTCCCTCAGCTCTTCAGCTCAAGGCGAGCGCTCTACCACTTGAGCTACAGCGCCACTTCCGGTTTTCTGGTGGTTTATTGGAGATAGGAGTCTCACGGTCTCTCCTGCCCGGGCTGGTTTTGAACCTCGATCCTCAGATCTCAGCCTCCTGAGTAGCTAGGATTACAGGCGTGAGCTACCAGCGCCCGGCCTGGCTTATTTTTAAACTGCAATTCTCCCCAGTTTCCATCTCACAATTAGCTGGGATTACAGGTGGGAGTCATCACACTTGGCCAAAGAATTTAGCTTTTCAAAGGGCCAGTTCCTGGTTTGGCTTCAATTCTCATGGGGATTCACATCCAGGTACTCTAAGAACCTGCTTTCCTGGATAGGGACAGGGCTGGCAGCCCTGGGGAAAGCTGACAAGGAGGGAGGGGAAGGAGGATGGAGCTGCACTCTGGGCTCATCTTGGGAGTTCTAGATGCTTTGCCTTGGGAAGGGCACACCTCACAGGCAGCAGCCTTCTTCCCCTATTGTTCATCAATGAAGTGTAAACAGGGAGAGGAAATACCTCAACAGAGCTGAGAGTGCAAGTAATAACTTTAAAATGAATGACCATTGCTTGTTGGGTGCTTGCTGTGGGCCTCAGTTTCTGCAAATGCTGCAAACTCTTCAGCTTTGACTTTGCCTGGACTGAAGCACGTAGGGAGGAACTCACAGGTTGCAGCACAGGGGACTCTAAGGTGGGCCACCCAGTACTAGGAGTGGTAAAGGGAAGCCAGTGTTTGAGGACACAGCTCCTATGCTTTCTCTGTTCATGGCCTTGCTACAGTCCAGTCCTGCTGTGAGCCCGTGGCTCACCCCTTTCATTCTAGCTAAGCAAGAAGCTAAGATCTGGAGGATTGAGGTTAGAAGCCAATCTGGGCAGAAATGTCCCTGAGATTTGATCTTCAAAATAACTAGTAAAAAGTAGGTGTGTGGCTCAAAGCACCCGCTAAGAAAGCAAGCTGAACAAGTATGAGGCCTTGAGTTCAAATCCTAGTTCAAACCCCAGTTCAATGCCCCAAACACACAAACACCTAGACCCCCATGCCCCGTCCAATGGTTAGGAAGATCAAAGACGGCTCTGTTCAGCTAAAGGTTATTCTCTACTCCCCCTGCTGGCCAGAAGCAGTATGACAGGGACCTGACCATCAGGCTGGCCTGTTGTCCTGCAATGTCCAGGCAACAGATGACCCTCAGGTGTAGGAAGGCAGATAGCCCTGACCAAAGCCTTGTATGCAGAGCTCCCCACCCCAGCCTCTAACAACTGCTTCTTCTGGGGCACTCAGTGCACATCTCCTTCCTGTCCCCATAGACCCCCAATCTTCCTGAGGACATAGGCAGGCTGTTCACTGCAAGTACCCGGAAAGCACCTGGCTCTGTCCTAGCAGCTTCCACTTTTCTTGCAGTCACCTGTGGAGGGCACCCCACTTAAGTCCTTATTAGAGGAGAAGGCTTAGAGTAGTGGAGAAATGGGTCCAGGCTATGTAGTTAGACAGTGACTTTGATCCCAGGCAGCCGGGCTATAGGGCCCAAATGCATAGTTAGCTGGTAGATGGAGCCCAGGAAGGCCAGAAAAGCTGACCATCACTGCCTGGCTGCCCTCCTGCTTTGCTGACTGCTGGGAGGGCTGACAGTGTGGACAGCGGTTCAAGGAGCTTTGTGATCATCAGCCACTGGAGGACCCTATTATCCATACTTCCTGTTCTGTTGGATTAGCAGTCTGTGTTGGTAACTAATTGATGGTAATAAGACATCTCAGAGAATCAGTGTCCAACATTCCTGTTCCAGCTCTAGGACTTGCCAGCTGGTTCCCTTTGCCTTCAGGAGCCACAGTTTCACTATCTGGAAAATGAATGGGGAAGGGGAGCATCAGAAAAGATGGGCCTAGGTTTGAACTTGTGGTAGATCACCTACCTAGTAAGCACAAAGCTCCAAGTTCAAACTCCAGTAGTACTGAGAGCGAGAGACAGAGACAGAGGCAGAGAGAAACAAAGAGAGGGCCAGAAGGTTGTCTTCAAGATATAGTTGTCCCTCAGTATTCATGAATATTGGCTCTATGATCCCAGGGGATAACAAAATCTATGGATGCCCAAGCCCTTTTATGAAGTGCAAATACACACACACACACACACACACACACACAACACACACACACACACAGCCTCCTGAATTCTTTAAATCAACTCGAGTCATTATAATATCCAATACAAATGCTATGTCAATAGTTGTTATACTGTGCTATTTAGGAAACAATGAGCTGAACAAAGTCTGTTCATATTCAGTGCAAACCCAATTCTCCAAGTGTTTTCCACGTGTGGTTGGTTGACCCTGTAGATGGAGGGCCGACAGTATCTTCCACCTTTAATGCTGCTCTGGCTTTCCATTAGCCAACACAAAAGCAAAAGAAAATTTTGTAGACCTTGGAGGGCCCAGCCATCAGGGCCAGTCTCTCCTCCCACCCAGCCTTCCTGATCTTCTGGAGGTTTGGGGAGTTAGTGTGCCATATACTTGTAAGTATAATAAACATTAAAGGTTTATTTTGGTTCACAACTTCAGAGGTTACAGTCATGGTGGCAGGGTGGAGTCTAGCAGAGCAGCTCACCTTATGGCAGCCAGCAAGCAGAGAGAGGAACAGACAGGAAGGGGCAGGGAACAAGGTAGATCCTTCACAGGCATAGCACCCAGTAACCCACTTCCTCCATCCAGGCCCTGCCACTAAGTCCCTATCACCACCTCCCAATATTACCATCAAACTATGAGTCCATCCATGGACTTATCCACTGATGAGGGCAGAGCCTTCCTGATCTGGTCACATCCCCAAAGAGCCACTCTCACAAATAGTGCCTGCCTCAGAGACCAGGCCTTGGATATGTGAGCTTTTGGGGGTGGGAGGGGCATATCCAAATGGTATCACTGTGTGAGTGGGTGACCACAGGTCCCTGCAGAGTTGGCATAGAGCCACGTCTGAACTAGACCTTATCTTCAGACCTGCTCTGTAAACCTCTGCACCCTCTGCCTGGACTGGAGGCTGTTTTTGTGTATCCAGGTACTGTAACAGTACCCCCATTTTGCATCATGCAAAAGGTTCAGGAGGTGTCTGAGCCACACCCCCAAGGGTTGCAGAGCGAGTCCTGTGATAACCAAGGTTCCTTTTTTTCTCTTTCTAGTTACATTCGCTGCTATTACTGGGCCGTGAAGACTCTCATCACCATCGGGGGGCTTCCTGATCCCCAGACGCTCTTTGAAATTGTCTTCCAGCTGCTGAACTATTTCACTGGTGTCTTTGCTTTCTCTGTGATGATTGGACAGGTAGCTGGGACCTCACCCAAGCATCCTGGCCCCTCCCATGGGCCCGCCTCCCACCACAGGCCCCGCCCATCTATAGACACTCCCATCACAGACCCCTCCTACCTATAGACACTCCCACTGCAGGTCCCCCACCCCCATCTCTGTCAGAAGCATCCTCCTCTACACCCATGGCCCTGGCATGGGCACTGGACTACAAAAGGAGCCCAGAGTTCTGCGGGAGGGGAGGAGAGCCCTCTCTGGATAGTGATATGAGTATGGAGGGGGGCCAAGAGGGGAGGCTGCATAGTTTTCTGTAAGACTGAGGCCTTGGACTGTGTCCTTTCTAACAGGTGGGGTGGGAGGGAGGTCTTACATTCTAGCCCAAGTATGAGGTGATAATTAGAGTCCTCAAGCAACTTTTGGAGGGCAGCACCCTGAAAACAGAACTTGGGGCTCCTATTTCCTCCAGCACAGGGCCGTGCATAGCTCCAATGAGGCACTCCCCACCTGGAAGAGCCCCTTCACCTGAGGCCAGCCAGAGTCAGCCCGGCTTTCTCTTCCCACATCCCTGCAGAAGGCCGGCTTCCTCCCCCAGTAAAGCCTCCAATGTGTGGACTTCACTGTGAAATGACACCTCCAAACCCCTTCCATACTACCCCTGCTGTGGCCCAGCACCTCCTTCACCTCCTCCAAACCCTGTTGTAGATGAGAGATGTGGTAGGTGCTGCCACCGCTGGCCAGACCTATTATCGCAGCTGCATGGACAGCACCGTGAAGTACATGAACTTCTACAAGATCCCCAGGTCCGTGCAGAACCGTGTCAAGACCTGGTACGAATACACCTGGCACTCCCAAGGCATGCTGGGTAAGCTGGCCATGCTCTGGAGGCCAACAGCCTCCCCCAGACAACCCTTGACACCTGGCACCCCATCTTGGGGCTCCTCCCTCATCCTCTGACTCTGAGGTCCTGACCCCTGGGGCCTCCTTGGCTGTGACCCCAATATTGGTGTGAGAGGCCCTAGCAAGGCCTGTGAGGTGAACGAAGCTGGACTGTCCTGCGGTCCCAAAGCCTGAAGGCTTTGTCTTCTGGATGCCCTTTCTCTACACCCGATCTGCCTTGAGACACAGCTCTAGCCAAGGTCAATGTACAGATTAACCAGGGAAGCAATCAGGCATGATAGTCCACTCAAGAGGCTGGGGCAGGCAGATGGCAAGTTCAAGGCCAACCCGGGCTACAAAGTGAAACCCATGTCATAAAAATAAATAAATAAATAAAAATCAGCCAGGTGCTGATGGCTTACGCCTGTAAGCCTAGCTACTCAGGGGGATGAGATCTGAGGATTGTGGTTTGAAGCCAGCCTGGGCAGGAAAGTCTGTGAGATTCTTGCCTCCAATTAACCACCAAAAAGCTGGAAGTAGAGTTGTGGCTCAAGAGGTAGAGCACTAGCCTTGAGCACAAAAGCTCAGGGACAGTGTCCAGGCCCTGAATTCAAGCCCCACAACTAGCGCGCACACACATACAAACACACACACACACACACACACACACACACACACACACGAAAGCAAAAAGGGCCAAGGGAGTATAAAACATAAAAATCAGAGAAGGAGGAGGTCTCCTGTCCGTCCATCTCCTCCCCCACCCTCCTTCCTCGCCTGTGTTCTGCAGGTACTCCAGTGAGCCTGCTCTGGCTACAGCCTACCTCCATTCTGACCTGTGGCTGTGTGGCCCCATCAAGCAAGGCATTGCTGCTCAGGATGACAGCTGTTACCCATCTGCCTCTATTGGGGCTGGGAGGGCTGAGCGCAATGATCTTGGAAAATGCGCTCTAAACCCTGGCACATGGTCAGCCAGTTCTAACATCTGGTCTGAGGGGAACAGCCCATAAACAATTGCAGTTTGGGGGTGAGAGGTGCTATGGCACACAGACTGCTAACATAGAAGCAGAGTGGGGTATGGGCAGGCTTCCTGGAGGAGGTGACATTGGTGCTGGATTTTGAAGAGTAACTAGGAGTTAGGGACATTGTCAGCGGGACTGGTGTGGACAAAATCTCAGAGAGGAGACGTCACTCTTGGGAGCTGGAATGGCCGCGGCGTGTGGCAGGGGAAGGTGTGAATGTGCGTTGATCTGTGCGGGTGAGCCGGTTGCGGTAGCTCAGCCTGGGTGTGTGGGGGCTGGCCTGGCCCTGCTCTGACCCCTTGGGGTCCCCTTCACAGATGAATCGGAGCTGATGGTGCAGCTTCCAGACAAGATGCGGCTGGACCTGGCCATCGACGTGAACTATGACATCGTCAGCAAAGTGGCACTCTTTCAGGTACCCACCCCTCGCCAGGCACCCTCATCCTCAGGAGTGGGGCACCCCAAACCCAAACCTTCCTCTAAAGGGACTCCTCCCTCTCCTCCCTTCCCCGGGGCAGGGCTGTGACCGGCAGATGATCTTCGACATGCTCAAGAGACTTCGCTCGGTGGTCTACCTACCCAATGACTACGTGTGCAAGAAGGTGAGGCTGGGCGCTGCCTGGGAGCCCGGGTGGCTCAGGGTCTGCAAGTCGGGCAGAGCCAGGCTCCTGGGGAGCTGCTGGCCTGGGAATGGGAGGCTGTGTCCAGCTGTGGATGTGAATGCAGATGTGCACAGGGTGCTCTGCCAGGCATTTCCCAAGCTCCCTCTCCCTGGGGATGTGGTAGCTGGGGTGAGGGGTGAAAAGCCTGCCCTACAGGGGTGGAGGAGCCTGAAAGGGGTCCTGCCTGTGTCTCCAGAGAGGCTACCACGGCCTCAGTCTTCCCATCACAAAAATGGGGCCGGAGGAGAGGCAGCTCCCGAGGCTGCCACCTCAGCCCCTCCATTAGATAGTAGTAGCCTTCTGGTCCCACACCCTAGGATCCAGGACAGAGACGTGTTGATAGATGTTTTCTGATCTTTTTAAGTCGAACTATTCCCTAACCTTTAAAAATTGGAAGATTTAGGCCTGGCATTGTGGTATATGCCTATAATCCCATCATTCGGGAGGCTGAGGCAGGAGAATCGCACATTGTAGGTTGGCCTAGGCCAAAACAAAAAACAAAGGCGATATCACACTAAAGTCCAGATGAGTAATTGAAAAATAGAATAAATGCCCATTCACGGTCCCCTTCCCCTTCCCACAACATCCATAGAGGAGGGGCTTCCCCTAACATGGGGACACTTGTGTCCTCTCTGGATGCCCCCAGTCCCCGCTCCCCAGTTTCCTCCCAGGGAAAACATGGCTTTAAACCTGGGAAAACAGTGTCCACAGCCCTTTCTGCTCCCTGCCTTTGGGATTCAAGGTCACTGAGGTCAAGGGGACAGAAACCCAGGTCTCAGTTCTCTTGGTTAGAGCTGTTAATAAGGCTGAGTGCGCATACCAGGGTGAAAATATTGCCCAAACAGGTACTGTAAGATTGAGGACCCCAGGAAGACCCCTGTCTCTAGGTGGGTAGTGTGCCACCTAGCGTTGAACTTTCTGGAGGCAGAGAACCAGGGAAGAGGAAGAAAAGGGTGCTGCAGAGGGCTGAGATTTCTTTGTTTGTTTGTTTGTTGTAATAGGATCTCATTGTGTAGCCCTCCTGGCCTCTAATTCTCCATGCTCTTGTCTCAGATTTCCCAATGATTGGATCATAGGCCTGTACTACAATGTCCAGCCCGATGGCTGGGAATTTAAAGCTGCGACCTTGGAGACGATTCAGTGTATAGGAATAGTAGAGTAATCTGCCTGACACTGAAGTGAGACTTAGCTGCGCAGCCTTGGGCAGGTGGCTTATCCTCTCTGAGTTCTGTCTCAGGGAGGAAGTAGGGCTTTCCATAGTGTCTCCCTCGTGAGGGAGTTGTCAGGATTGGCTAAGAAGGGCACTGTGCCGGGCACAGAGTGGGCATGATTGCTGCTGTTCTTGTCTGTGCGGTGATGTAATTTTCTGTGGGGGAGAGGAGGCCATTGTGGTCCTGGGGAAACTGTAGTTGAGTTAAAGTGGGTGCCAGGTGAGCACTGTGCCCTTTGCTTCCCTGGTCAGCACTGACATTCTCTCTGGAACATTGGTAGGCTGGTGGTGAGTGGGGAGCCCTCACACCTTGATTCTGTGTCAGACCAAACACAGAAACAAGGAAATTTAACTCTCTTCCTTCCCATAAAGAGGTAGAGGTAAGATGTGTGTGTGTGTGTGTGTGTGTGTGTGTGTGTGTGTGTGATGACCAGGAAACATTTGTTGAAAAAAATAAAAAAAAAAGTAACAGAGGACCAAGTGTGTGGTGTGTACTCCTGTAATCCCAGCACTCTGGAGGCTAAGGCAGGCAGATCTCACTGCCCATTCCTGATGCTACAACTTGTCTGTTATATGGAGGGGGGAGACAAGGGTTCTGTCCCCAGTGCACAGAGGAAGTGATCGGCCCCCACCTTGGGACACTGAGTGGTGGTGCAGGGCTTGGATGAGCCTCAATGTTTCCTTACTGGGTCTCTGTGAGGGACAGCAGAGGGGCTCAGTAGTCCTCTGTTCCAGGGGGAGATTGGCCGTGAAATGTACATCATCCAGGCTGGGCAGGTGCAGGTGCTGGGCGGCCCGGATGGGAAGGCTGTGCTGGTGACGCTCAAAGCCGGATCTGTGTTTGGAGAGATAAGGTCAGAGGGGCGAGGGTAAAGTGTGGGCTCTGAACAAAGGCTGGAGGGATTCTGGAACTTTGGGGGACTGGCCCCTGCTGGAAAGCACAAGGCTGGGACTCTCACGGGCCTTGGGGTGTGGCCCTGAGAGGGTAGGGGATGACAGAGTTGAATGTGGTCAGGACTACAGCCTCAGAGTGGCCTCACCTCCTTCCTTCTTCGCCCCAGCTTGCTGGCGGTTGGGGGAGGGAACCGGCGCACAGCCAATGTCGTGGCTCACGGCTTCACCAACCTCTTCATTCTGGACAAGAAGGACTTGAATGAAATTTTAGTGCATTATCCTGAATCTCAGAAGTTACTCCGGAAGAAAGCCAGGTACAGAATTGACTTTTTTTTTTCATTTGTGTGTGTGTGTGTGTGTGTGTGTGTGTATGTGTGTGTATGTACACTTGTGTGCCAAGTGCCAGTGGCTCATGGCTTATGGCTGTAATCCTAGCTAGTCAGGAGGTTGAGGAGGTTGAGATCTGAGGATTAAGATTCAAAGTTGGGCTGGGAAGGTGGCTCAGTGGTAGAGTGTTTGCCTCTCATGCATGAGACCCTGGTTTGGTTCCTCGGCACCACATAAGCAGAAAAAGCTGGAAGTAGAGCTGTGGCTCAAGTGGTAGAGCACTAGCCTTGAGCTGAAGAGCTGAGGGATAGCACCCAAACACCCAGGCCCAGAGTTCAAGCCCCACAACCAGAAGAAAAAAAAAAGATTCAAAGTCAACTTGAACAAGAAAGTCAGCTAGACTCTCCAATTATCCACCAAAAAGCCAGAAGTGGAGCTGTGGCTCAAGTGCTAGAGCACTAACCTTGAACAAAAAAGCTAAAGGAGAGTGCCCGGCCCTAAGATCAAGCCCCAGGATCAATACACACACACACACACACACAGATGTTAAACTGGTATTATACCTGTAATCTCCATACTCAGGAGGCTGGGGCAGGAAGATTACAAGTTTAAGGCCAGCCTGGGCTCCATGATGAGACCCCCCCCCTCAGCCCTCCAATCTCAAAAAATTAACAACAACAACATTCCCAGCAACAATTAAAAAAAAAAGAAGAAGCTAAGAAGCTGGGCACTGGTGGCTCACAGCTGTAATACTAGCTACTCAGGAGGCTGAGATCTGAGAATCGAGGTTCAAAGCCAGCCTAAGCAGGAAAGTCTGTGAGATTCTTATCTCCAATTAGCCATGAGAAAACTGGAAGTGGCACTGTGGCTCAAGTGGTATAGGGCTAGCCTGGAGCTGAAGAGCTGAGGAACAGCACCCAGGCCCAGAGTTCAGGCCCCATGACTGGGAAAAAAAAAAAAAAGCTAAGGATAGGACTGAGATTACTACAGCACCTTTATCAAAATCAGGACCTTAATGCTGGAGTCAGAGCTATTATCTCATCAGTAATCCATAGGCAAATTTTCCCAATTGTCCCAAAAGTATCACTTATAGTTTTTGCTTTTCTTCTTTTCTTCCGGATCAAGTCTGGGGTCTTGCACTGCATGACAATACCCCATATCCTTGTCCCCACGACCTGGGATGGTTCCTCAGTAGGTTGGGGGCTTGGCAATCCACTGGGGCCCCCTCGGGCCCTCCCACAGATAGCCCTTATTCTTAGCAGTGTTCCCAAGCCTGTGCTCAGGCTGTAGAGGACCTGAGGCACCACAGAGGTGAGGTACTCGGGTCTCAGGTCTCTGGCTGGCCAGTCACCCCATGAAAGGAGATGAACTGTCCCCTGTGGGGGCGATTGCTGGGATCCTGGCTCTAGAAACGCTGTCTCATCATCTGAAAAGGGGCATTAACTGCCCTCCTCTAGAATGTCCGGAAGCCAGCTTGGCCTTCTGAGCTGGCCAGCACAGCGTAGCTTGCAGCAGTTCCTGGGGGTCATTGTTTTGTGCTATTTTGCACCAGAGTGAGCCTTCCTGAATTATGGACTCAAATAACACAGGTGGCAGGGCAGGGCTGGGGCCTGTGAGGCCTCTGATGAATTATCCTGTTTGTATTCTCTGGCTGAGTGAGGAGGTGGGGGGGGGCAGGGAGAAAATGCAAATCTTGGTCAATTAATATCACTATGCACAATTTAAACCCATTGCCTCTGATTAGATAAGCAGCCAGTAATGGCCTCATTTTTAAACAAACAAGTTATGCTGGCAGCCTGATGAATGAATTTGCCAATTAGTAGTCTAGACCCGCAAGATTGCAGGCGAAATTCATTTGTTCTTGGGCCAAGTTGCTCATCACATATTCCCAGCACGTGGAGTCCCACAGAAAGACAGGGCTTCTGTGTGATGGGAAATTCTGCATGTACTGAGAGACATTGGGTGCTCCACTGCAGTCGATCAGGGCTATGATTCTGCCTGTACCACTTACTGGCAACCTCAGCCATGTGGCTCCCACACCCACTCTGAGTCTCAGTTTTGTCCAACTGTCAGGGGCACAAGAATCAGCATGGGCTAGAGGCATGGCTCAAGTGGTAGAGTGCCCACTGTGAGCAGACAAAGCTTTGAGAGAGCAAGAAGTCCTGAGTTCAACCCTGGTACACACACACACACACACACACACACACACACACGTACCTAGGGCTGGAGGTGTAGCTCAGTGGTGGAACAACTTTCCAAGCATTGGAGAGGCCTTGGGAAAATAATTATGCAAACAACCACAAAACACCTTTTCAAAGCTATCAGAATGCCTGATAATTGTGCAGAAGGGAAGAATCCATGAACACGCATTCGGTTAGCATGTGCAAGGCCCCAGCTCCCATCCCAACCCCTCAAAACCAGAGTTCTCAGCTGGGCACTGATGGTTCATGTCTGTAATCTGAGCTACTCAAGAGGCTGAGATTGACCATCCAGTCTCAAGGCTAGCCCAGGCAAGAAAGTCTATGTGACTCATCTCTAATTAACCACCCAAGAAACCAGAAGTGGAGCTGTGGCTCAAGTAGTAGAGTTAACTAGCCTTGAGCAGAAACGCTAAGGGACAATGCCCAAGACCTAGTACCCCTCCACATTGTCCCCCCTCCAAAAACCTACCCAGAGCTCTTGCCCCATAAAGCATATGGCTCTCTTTCAGGCGTATGCTGAGGAGTAACAACAAGCCCAAAGAACAGAAGAGTGTACTCATCCTCCCCCCACGTGCGGGCACCCCCAAACTCTTCAATGCGGCTCTGGCTGCAGCAGGAAAGATGGGGGCCAAGGGAGCCAAAGGCGGTGGCAAGCTCGCCCACCTCCGGGCCCGGCTCAAGGAGCTGGCGGCGCTGGAGGCAGCAGCAAGACAGCAGCAGTTGCTGGAACAGGTAACGGGGTGGGGGCCCAGTCACCCCGTCTGTCACAGATTTGCCCCAGGGAGAGGTTGAGACCCCTGAGCAAGGGCCATTCAGTGGTAAGGACTCCTTGCTTGCAAGTAACAGAAGGCAAGGAAGTTCAAGTTAGCTTGAGAATATAGAGAGATTTGGGATCCACTAATTGACAAGTTCTGATAAGACTCCATCCAAAAGCCCGGGGCAGCCAGGTACCTGTGGCTTCTGCCTATAATCCTAGCTACTTGGGATGCTGAGATCTGAGGATTGTGGCTCAAAGCCAGCCTGGGCAGGAAAGTCTTATTGTCAGTCATCAAAAAGCTGCAAGTGGAGCTATGGCTCAAGTGGTAGAGCGCTAGCCTTGAGCACAAAAGTTCAAGGACAGTGCCCAGGCTCTGAGTTCAAGCCCAGTACTGGCATCACACACACACACACACACACACACACACACACACACGCCCAGCTTAGCCTATGTAACTAGTTTTCCCAGGTAGATGGCTATGTGTGGGAACTCACCCTCCTTGGGGTAGCCCCAACAGGAAGCACAGCCATCCTAGCAAAAGTACCAGAACACATGCAAGTTCTGAGGAATGTTCAGTAAGCTGGGATGGGGTTGGGAGACCTGGGTCACACACGTGCCCAGTCCTGGGCCAAGAATGGGGGGAAGGTGAGCCCCAAGGGGACCCCCTGGCACTCTTGCCGAGGTCTGAGGATGGAGGCTGACCTCCCCAGGTGACAGTGGTGTTCTCCTCTGCTCCACACTGCGTCTGTGACAGCTGAAACTATTTGAAAGGAAAAATCCCACAGACAGGCACAGGGCCACTGCCCCCCACTCTCAGAAATGTAAAGGAAATATTCAAATGAGCTCTGAGACTTTTTTTTTTTCTCTGTGACTAAAGCCAAGAATGTCAAGTAGAATAATTGCACTAATTATGTCTGTTCATGACTATCCTTTGGGAAGACTACTTAGTGAACGAGGATTGGGGGAGGCCGGGGGAGACAGGCAACACGGGAGCGACTGAGCTCAGAGGGGACCCAATAAATTCAGCCTCAATCCAGGCTACTGTGAGTCAGAGGATCCACCCCGGGGGTCATTTGGCAGCCAGAGTCTGTCACGTGACATCCAAGCTACTTGGCTCTAAGACACTCTCCAGACACAGCCATCCAATGGTGCCACCCTGGCAGCAATGAGTGGCTGGCCAGCTGGCCAGGTACAGGAGGATCTGATGTGTGGGCTGCTGTGAGGGCTGAAGGCCGGGAACCTGACATCAAAATGGTTCCTTGCTCCTGTGTGTGAGCTAGCTGCTCAGAGGCGAATGCGATGTGCATGCGTGTTCTAATAAAGGCTTTCTCCTGCACTTGACAACAGCCAGGGCTGAATAGCGGGAGCTCAAGGCAAATCCCAGCGCTGTCACTGTGAACCAGGGAGGTCCCCCAGCTCTCTGAGACCCACATGCTCATGGTGGCCATGCGGGCTGTAAAGATGAAGCATGTGGCTTCGAAAGCCTTTGGTGACAGCTCTCCCTCAGCCTTCCCATGGTTCTCCTGGCTCTGGCCTGAGTTCCGCAAGTTCAAAATCCTGTCTGAGCATCCCATCCTAGAAGGGCATTGGCAGGGCTTAGCGTGAACAGAGCAGGGTGCAACCAGGCGCCAAAGCACCCAGGAACAGTGAGACAGCAGATCACCAAAGCCACCGTGGTGCCTTGGCTTCTAGAAGAATCCTGTCCCCTCCTACTGCCATCACCCCCTTCCCGCAAAGCCTTACTGTTGAGCAAGTCTTCGGGGAACTCTGGTCCTCATAGCCACTCCTCTTCCAGGGGTGCTGAGCAGCTGAGGGCCCCCCTCTAGACGCACACACTGGGGTCTGTTCCCTCTCCAGTTTCCTTCCCTGTACTGATAGGGTCAGAGAGAGCCACAGGGCTCACGGGCATCCACAAAGGCTTGTTCATTATACCCAGCTACAGCTCTGCCAGCGCCTCTTGAGGCAGACAGGGTAGAGGCTGTAGGCACCCACCAAGTCCCCAAACAAGGGTCAGTTCGGCCCAATGGCGGGCCTCAGAAGGGTGGCCAGGCTGCAGGTCCCCTGCTTGCATTACCTTTACCCAGGTCTTCGATTTCCTCACTGCCCCGGGACTGGCTATCCAAAGTAACAGGGGAGGGGAGGGGAGGGGAGGGGGCAGGCAGGATGGCTCAGCCTTTTGAGGCCCTTCCTCATGGGCATCCCTCACCTCCATGCATGGGACAGGGCCTAGCTCTGCACCTGAACTAAAGCCTTCACCCGGGCTTGCAGCCTACGACCCAAGAATTAAAAATGTCCCCAAGGCTTTCCATGAAATGTCATGGGCCTTTCATCCTTCAGTCTTCTGGTGATCCATTCTGTGCCTCCCAAATGCCGGTGATGCTCAGCTCCAGGCCCCGGCCAGGCCTCCCAGGGCCTGTCTGGCGTCCTGGGAAGTGGGAGCAGGAGCTGGCTCAGGCCCCTCCCAGCCCCCGGAGGAGATGCCTCACCACACACCCTTACTGGATTTCAGGCCAAGAGCGCGCAAGAAGCCGCTGGAGAGGGAGAGGCAGGCTCAGCCCCTGCAGATCAGCCGGCTCCCCCAGAACCCCAGGACGAGCCCACAACCACTCAGCCTCCACCCCCACCAGCATCCAAGCCTGAAGGAGGCAGCGAGAAAGAGGCAGAGGCGGCCAGGCCCTCGCAGCTGTCTGTGGAGGTGACGGAAGAGAAGAAGGAGGAGGAGGCAGAATGAGGTGCCAAGTGTGCCCCGCTTCTTCCCTGCCTGGCTGGGCCCGTGTGTCCCCATCTGTGTAGGTCCCCCCTAGAATCCCAGGACACCTTGGGTCAGGCCGAGGCGTGGAAATCAAATGTCACCACATGATGTCCCTAAGCTCCTGCGGTCCCTGGGGACCCCTGGCTCCTCCCTCTCCCCACCCCGCCGGTTACTGTTTTATGGAACAAGATGACTTTCCACTTTGAACGTTGCTGGGCAGAGGTCAGAATGGGGTGTGGACACCAAGGGAAGTTGGAGAAGGGAACCCATGGCAATAGGGTCCTGCAGAAATAGCCTCTCTGTTCCAAGGCTACAAAACAAGCCAGGTGTGGTGGGCCACACCTGTAACCCTAGTACTAGGAGCTGAGGCAGGAGGGTCTGAGTTCAAGTCCAGCCTGGGCTACATAGTATCTCAAAACAAGCAAGCAAACAAGCAAACAAAAAGTAGAAAACTCTGCAGGAGAGAGGGGGCAGCTGTGCTGATTAGCAGCACAGGAGTGCCGGCATCCTGGCCTGCGCATGGGGTGGGCATGCCCTTGCTGGATGGTCCCTTCAGAAGGGCCAGGCAGCCCAGCAGGTGTCAGGCTGGGCTCCTTGGTTCAGCCTCCCTGGGTAGCTGTGACTACAGGCACACTTGACCACATCCAGCTCCAGGCACACATGACCACATCCAGCTCCTTTTGTTTTGTTTCTGAAATCTAAACTGTTGTTTCCAATTTTGTTTTGGAATTTGTTCCTCATCAGTAGATACAGGGTATGCTTATAGCTTTGGGATAGTAGTGCATGCCTGTAATCCCAGCACTCAGGAAACTGAGGCAGGAGGACCATGAGTTAGAAGCTAGCCTGGGCTATATAGCAAGACTTTTGTCAAAAACAGAAACAAACAAAAAATCCAGGAGCTGGTGGCTCACGCCTGTAATCCTAGCTACTCAGGAGGCTGAGATCTGAGGATCATAGTTCAAAGCCACTCTGGGCAGAAAAGTCCATGAGATTCTTATCTCCAATAAACTACTCAGAAACAGCCGGAAGTGGCATTGTGGCTCAAGTGGTAGAGTGCTAGCCTTGAGCAAAAAGAGGCTTGGGGACAGTATCCAGGCCCTGAGTTCAAGCCTCAGGACCAGCAAAGAAAAACAAAACACAAACATAAAACAGAAAAGCTGGGTGCTCATAGCTGGTGCCTGTAATCTGAGGATCACAGCAAAACTAGCAAGAGCATACAAATCTTATCTCCAATTAACCAGCAAAAAGCAGAAGTGGAATGCGGCACAAGTAGTAGAGCACCAGCCCTGAGCAGAAAAAAACAAGAATGAGGCTGGCATGCCTGTTTGTTCAGTTCTCAGCGCTGGCATACGTACATACGTGTGTGTACACACAACGTACACTCATTTACTCATGGTGGGAATCTATTTGCGTGGTATGAATGTATTGTGACATCAAAACCACTCTTAACTGCAATGTTTCCAAACTTACATTGTCAATATTATTGCTACAATAAAAAAAAAAATCTTGTCCAGGGCCTGGAGGGTAGAGTGCTTGCCAAGCATGCATGAAGCTCTGGATTCCACCCCATTCTATACTTCAAATACTTGCTACTCTTTCTAACTGCGGGGAGTCTTGGAGTTGGGGAAAATCTTTTCACCCTTACCATCTGCATTTGTCATTCACAAATTTGTATCATCTCTTCGAAGACTGAGCACAGAGTTGCTGAATTACTTTAGCAAGAATTTCAGATATTACTATAAAATAAACATAGCTTTCAGTAGATGGCAAAATGTTCCAACAGCACCTTTACACTGTGAGATCCTATTTTATAAGGAGTCTTTTTTTTTTTACACGAATGTACTTAATCTTTTAGATGTCAGCCCTGGAATATCTAGTGCTTATTATATAAAGTAAGAGATTCATACAGTTCTTAAGGATTGTCCAGGAAGGAAAAATTCATTGGAAACGAGATTAGCTGAGTCTCAGATAAATTGAGTTGGAGACGAGTTATTCTCCAAATGATTCGGACTGATTGGTTGCAGAGGTGTGAATGGTACAGTTGCAACATTTTACAAGTCTCCTGTGAAAGCAGAATGTTTATGGATGTATCTGCCTCACTGCTGAGTAAAATGCCTCTGTGTTTCTACGTCTTTCTAGAAAAGGAATAGCAAGATATTTTTTTAAACTATGTAGATACTGTAAGCCAAGAAGCTGCTTAAAATTTTATTCTCAAAATGTTCAATACTGGGACTATTTAAATAGGTTTTCTTAGTCATCATGAACATTTTATGTATACTCAGGCCTTCCTATTACAATGCATTTTAATTAAAATATTTAGACAAATAGTCTGGGCTGGTGGATTCATTTTGAAAAAAAAAAAGTTGAAGGGGGTGGGGGAAGAACTGGGGGCTGGTGGCTCATGCCTGTAATCCTAGCTACTCAAGAGGCTGAGATCTGAGGATTGAGGTTCAAAGCCAGTCTGGGCAGAAAAATCCCCAAGATTCTTATTTCCAATGAACCAGTAAAGAGCTGAAAGTGGAAGTGTGTGTTAAGTGGTAGAGCACTAGCCAGTCTTGAATGAAAAAGCTCAGAGAAAGCATGAGGTTCCAGTACACACACACACACACACACACACACACACACGTGATGTGTGATAATACCTTTGTAGAACTACTGAGTCTCCTGTCCCCTTGATAAAGCTCAGGGGTCATCTCCCATAGACATCCTTGGGCCTTGACTCTATCCTGTACCCCTGCAGCTGAGTGATGTCCTCAGCAAACCTCCACGATCTCTAGGACTCCAAGCCCCTCCGATCATCACCCTCTTCAAGTCTGGTTTGTAAGCTGACTGTCCACAACTTCCAGGTCATTCCATGACACAGAGCACTAGTGCACATGGGCTCTGGATTCACACTTCCAGGCTTCCACTCTCAGTCTGGTCAGGGACCATGGACCTGCCTGTGCCCGGGAGCCCTCATCTGCAAGCTGGAGAGAATGACAAGGTACCATATAGGAGGACTTCGATGGTCAAATGGCAGACAGCTATTGCCACATTCTGAACTGGTATGTGAGCAAAGGCAGCTTGCATGCCCTTTGTTCTGCCAGGTTCTGCCTGGAATAGACAGGATGTTCCCTGGGAACAATGACTTCTCTGATGTCGGCGTCTGCCCAGGGTCATACACTCAGAATGGATGGAATCATCCCTTCCCTGGCTTTCTATCTTGTCTAGCTTTCTCTACCATAGACCCGACAGCAAAATGACAAGCCTACTTGCCTGGGACATTCACTCTGTGCTGGGACAGACCCAAGACAGGCATCATGGCATGGGATCTGGGAAGCCACCATGGCCCTGTACTCAAAAGGACATTGTAGTTTAAATTCTTAATGATCCCCGAACCAGGGTCTTTACACTTTTATTTGTATTGAGCTCCCACCAATGAGAGAGCCTGTCCTGGTTGGGTTGGGTTAGCATCAGATCTAAAAAGACTGAGTGTGTGTGGGGGGGTGCTTCAAGATGTCTTCTCTGCACACAACTTCTACCCCTCCCTCCAGTCCAGGGATCCTTCTGGCAGATTGCCTTTGGGTCAGGCCTGGTGACTCAGACAGGGTGAGCTCAGCCAGGCCCTTCGGCTCTCTTCACTGGGAAGTGGAAGCTTGAGAGCCCTTGCCTCTGTCTCCTTGCTAACAGAACGCTGGATTAGTGATGGGCATCAACACGCCCAGCCCAGGAGATGAAGATGAAGCCCTGGTCTAGACTGACTCCTGTTCACTCTTCTCTTGTCTGATACTTGCCTTCCTGGTCTTCCCTGTAGCTGGCTCAGCCATTTGGCTCAGTTCAATCAATTAATTACAAAGGAAGGGTGACAGGAAGCCTTCCTAATAAAGGGAACCTCCATCACTGCTGTCCTTTGCTCTGCTTGTGACAGTGTCCTGAGAATATATTTAGAGCTGTGGCAGCCAACTGGTTTCTGAACAGCCAGATACTAAGGCTAGGCCCAGAGCTCAGTAGCAGAGCATTTGTTCAGTATTAAAAGGCCCCTGGGTTTGATCACTAGCCCTGCAAAGCAAAGCAAAACTAAACAGGGTCAAGTGTGATAGTACATACCCGTAATTGCAACAACTCCGAGGCCACGCTAGAAGGATCTTGGCCTAAGGCCAGTCTGGGCAAAAGTGTGAGACCTTATCTGAAAAATAAACGCAAAACGACTGAGTTGTGACTTTTGTGGTGGACTGCTTGCTTAACAATTTTTGAGCCCTGAGTTCAATCCTAGTCTCCCCATCTTTTTCTACCCCTTTCAAAAAAAAAAGAGGAAATAAATAAATAAATAAAAAAGATTCAGATCGTGACACATTTGTATTATCAAACCAACCCCAAGACTCCAGACTACTTATTATAGGAGGTTTGTTCTATTGTTATTTAAGCCACTCTCTGAGTTTCATATCAATAATAAATGGACAAGAAAGGAAGGACGGAAGGAAGGAAAGAAGGAAGGAAGGAAGGAAGGAAGGAAAAAAGGAAAGAAAGAAAATGGGAACAGATGTATCATGATCCCTCCTTACCGCTTCCTCCCCCGTCTGGCTGGACAGTAACTACAGGAACCACAGGAACTACTGTTCCTGCTTGCCGCCCTTGGTTCCTGTCCTTCTAGGCTGCTCTTCAGCCTTCCTTGAATGATTTGAATCATGTTTGCTTTGCATACACTCCCCTTCTGCTTCAGTTGGTCAGATTTGGTTTCTGTTGTCACCAGGAAGAGGAAATTGGGATTTTTTTCTGGATGATTTAAATCTCAAGTTGCAGAGCAGACCACCCACTCTGGGTGGGTCCTTTCAGTTTAGCACAGGTACCTGGTTTGGGTTTCAAACCTGTTTACAAACAGGTCTTGGTTCCTAAATATAAACACCAGGAAGAGGGCACTCTGAGAATGAAAGGAGGAAGGGCTGGGGAGAGACAGGAAGCTGAGGGCCCAGATGTGTTTCCCATCAGCTTTCCCCGCTCCCTCTCAAGTGGAGGAGGGACTCACCGCAAAAGCCCACGGTGATCCTGAAGACCCACCCTGCCCTCTGTAAGTGCCGATTACAAAGGTGACTGGGCTCTGGACATGTGGTTGGTCCTGTCCGTGGCTCTGCCAAGTGGTCAGGAAGGAAATGGGAACCACATTATAGATGAGAAACTTCAAACTTAAGACAGGCAAAGGAAGCAGGCATGCATGATGGTGCACACAACTGTAATCCTAGTACTGAGAGGCTGAGGCAGGAGGATTGTGAGTTTAGGCCATCCTGAGCCACATACCTTTCCTAGGACTGGGAGTATGGCTCGAGTGCTTGAGCGCCTGCCTAGCAAGCATGAGGTCCTGAGTTCAGTCCTGAGTGCCATGAAAAATCTTGGGGCCAAACATTGTTCTGTTTATCTTCTGGATCTCAGAGGTAACACAGAAGCGATGGAGCAGTTCCCTCCAGACTGTGGTAAGAACATTCAAAGGTTGTTTGATAATGTAGCCAAAATCTACAGCTGTGAGCATGCTGTGAAGATTTGCTGGATGCCAGATCCTGGGTGTTATCCCTTCCATCAACCCAGAAACAAAGGGCAAGCTGGCCTGATGGCCCTTCCTACTTTAGTCTTTCTGTGGGCATGTGCTGTGCGCATGTGCAGGGGTCTTCCCTGGTCATGGTGGTGCCAGATTCAGAAAATCAAACACAGGATGTCCAGTTCGTTTGAATTTCAGATAAACAATGAATTAAAAAAATGTCTTACTTAAAAATCTCATAGGGGATATGCTATGCTAAAAACAAATTATGGGGTGGATACTGGTGGCTCATGCCTATAATTGTAGCTACTCAGGAGGCTGAGATCTGAGGATCAGGTTGGAAGCCAGCCTGGGCAGGAAAGTTCATGAGTCTCTTATCTCCAATTAACCACCAGAAAACTGAAGTGGAGCTATGGCTCTAGTGGTAGAGCTCTAGCCTTGAGCAAAAAAGCCCAAGGGCAGCATCTAGGCCCCCAGTTCAAGCCCTACAACTGACAAAAAATTAAAACAATTATATGTGGCTAATATGAACTTGAATTGGGGTGGGTGTATTTTGTCTACGCCCAGTGGAGACCAGTGTCTCCTGCTCTGCAGAAAAAAAAAATATACAACCTGGGTTATCAACCTGGGCACAGAGGCACTTTTACCCACAGGACTAGGCTTTTGATTGGATGTCTCAACCCCCCACCTCCCACACCCACCTTCTCCAGAGCCAGTTCTGATTGGTGGAGGAGGAAGGAAAATCCCTCCCCCGTCTGCAGTCAGTGTTCGGTGCCTAACATTTATCTAAATTAATGTTCTGAGTGCACACACGCGAGCTGTTCTGAATCTGTAACCAATTGCCTGTTAATAACCTTCAAGGAACAAATACTTCTCCACTGCGCGCTCCATGCCACAGGCCTTACTGCTGGCCAGGGAAGGTCCAGTACAATAGCCAGCCACTCCATTGAGGAAGGACCAGGAAAAATGTTTCTCTACCAAAAAAGTGAAAGGGGGCTGACACCTCACCCCACCCCTTTGGTGGGTAAAGTCTCCTGGGTGCTGACTAACTAGGCCTCAGGTGACTCCTAAGATCTGGTCGTGTTAACTGCCCAGCGAGCTAGCTCTGGAATCTTCCCTGCACCTTGGCCAGCTGCAGCCATTTGCACACCCACACCACCCCCAGACTTTGCATGTGGTTTGTTTGTCTTTCAGATGAAAGCAATTAACGAGATGCCTGGCCACAGCGGGTGTCAGCCCCTTCTCCTCTTCTCATTCCTGAGGTCTAAAATCGAAAGGGTTGATTCTTGAAGAAGAAACATGTTTTCTGACAGATCTGAAAGAGTAATTCCCAAATGGCTGGCAACTTCCGTGGAACTTGCTGGAACTCTAAAATAAAGTCTATGGTTTTAAAAACCAGATTGATCTCAGTTCAGTGGAGGGCAGTACCCTGATTTTGCCTGCTCTCCCAATCAACACTTACTTGAAGGTACAGAAGTTGAAGCATGGGGTGTGGGGAGCTGGGGTGTGGCTCCAGGCACGGAGGAAAAGAACTAGAGGTGGAGATCAGACCTTTCTTCTGATTCCTCCCAGGAGTAATTATTTGATGACCAGAGAGAAGACATTTTAAAAGAAAGGCTGGGGTTGGGGGGTGGGGGTGGGGAAGAGGTGAGACCCTTCATATGATTCAGACCTGAAGAATCCACAGTGGTGGGCAATGATTGTCCCAGATGTGAGTCATGGCTCCAAACAATGGATGAAACAGAGGCAAATACTGTTGAGTCACAGGATCTCTCAGCCTTGCTTAGAAGGAGATCACAGGGCACCCGCCCAAGTCTAATGAGTGGAGCCCTAAAAATATCTGCTCGATATTGCTGCTGGGAAGACGTAGGACTCTCACGTCAGCCAGTGATGACACTCAGCCTGGTACAGTCAACAACACCCAAAGCTCTGGGCGCTGGAGGATTCTGAATTGGTTTTCCTTGTTGGTTTGGATATTTGCAGAATTCCTAGAACGAGTCACTATAGAATTATATGAGACAATTTTTTTAGGCCAGTATAGCAAGAGGAGGAAATCGATCAGCTGTGGACCCTGTGTGCTTAATGATTAATTTCATTGCCATCTATCTGTGAGGTGTGTGTGTTTGTGTGTGTGTGTGTGTGTGTGTGTGTGTGTGTGTACGTACTAGGACTTGAATTCAGGGCTTGGGTGCTGTCTCAGCTTTTTTGCTCAAGGCTGGCATAGCTCCACTTCTGGCTTTTTGGAAATAAGAGTCTCATGCACTTTCCTTCCAGGGATGAGGATCTCAGCCACCTGAGTAGCTGGTGATACAGGCATGAACTACAGGTACCCGGCAACAAGCTGTCATTTTTGAGGTAGGTGATCAGAGAACAGGAGGATGGGAAACAAGAGCCAGGATTTTAGAGACAAAGCTATATTCATGAGCAACTTGGTTAAAAGCACTCAGGCACTATTTGCTTTGCTTTAAGTCTAATTCATGTCTCTCCCCGCCCCCCCCAACCTGCAACACTCAGTAAAAATGGAAGAAACAGCCTCTCTCTCCTTCTGACCCGCCTGCTTATGAGGCAAATAATCCGTGTGCTCTGGGAACTGAGCAAGGATGTCTTAAAGACATTTTCCGGTGGGGGATGGGGTGGGGAAGAGGTCTGGGGAGTGGGAAAATGACTCCTGTAGGGTCTAGGCACAAAAAGATTTGCAAAGGAAAATACTTATTTTCAAGGATGGACGTCTGTCTTCAAGGTCTGGCAGAACTCCATCCTTTGTTTAAAGGAACACTCAAAAATCTGTCCAAGTGACCCGAGGTTAGTCAGTAGGTCAACCTTGAACTTTCTAGGCCCAATTTCTACAACTACAAGAATGATGGAATGTACCAGGTGTCAGAACACAGGGGAGTGCTCATCCTGAGGTAAATTTGGGCAAAACCCCAACTTGCTTTTTCCCCATAAATACGCGCAGTGCTGGAGATGTCACTGTATCATTCCCAGCTGTGCCCGCGCTGTGCCTGCAGTGTGTGCCAGCTCTCTACCCTTCCTTTGCTTTACTGGTGAGCTTGCTTGGTCTGTACCTCGCAGTGTCCTCCAATTCTCTTCTGCAAGCGTCTTCCTGAAGCATCACTGGTTCGGATAATGGCTGTTTGGTGGCCACTTCTGCTGAGCGCTTGCTTAAGTCCATTTGTCCCCCTTCAGTGGCCCTGGTAGTGTGGCGTGTGTGTGTGGTACCCTCAGGGAACTGTCAAATATCACATTCTGTTTATCTGCAGTTCTGGTCACTGGAATGTTTCTGGATGAGGTCTCTAACGGTCCTGTGGCTCAAGGATGTGAGTCAGTTGTGAGACTTGAACTCAGAGCCTGGGTGCTGTCCCTGAGTTTTTTTGCTCAAGGCTAGAGCTCTACCTCTTTGAGCCACAGCACTACTTCTGGTTTTCTGGTAGTTAGAGATAATAGTCTCATGGATTTTCCTGCCTAGGCTGGCTTCAAACCACCATCCTCAGATCTCAGCCCCCTAAATAGCTAGGATTATAGACGTGAGCCACGAATGCCTGGCCTTTCTTATTGTTTTTTATACCATTGGAGGTTTTTATGGTTCTGGAAATGGTGTGTACATGTATCCAATAGACGGAGACTTCTATTTTGTACCTATGCTCCCAGGGACAGAAGTGGGGTTTGTTTAGTTTGTAAGACAGGGCTGTGTGTGTGTGTGTGTGTGTGTGTGTGTGTGTGTGTGTGTGTGTATGCACGCACATGTGTTGTTGTGATGCTAGGGATCAAATGCAGGGCCTCCCAACATGCTAGGCAGGTACTCTACCACTGAGCTATATCCCAATCCTGTTTGACTCATTAAAACAAAATAAATACTCTCACTCAGTGACTTTTCTCCATTCAAAATGACTCTATTATTGAAAGCCTTTTTCTCCAGGCAGAATCTAGAGGGGGAAAAAAAAAAGTAGTGTGTGGAGACAGATCTATACATTGATTTCAATGGCTGGGTTGCAGTAGGGCTGTCAGGAGTGAAAAATGGCAAAGGAAACCCACCCGCCCATCATAGGAAGCTCATTATTTGAACCAAAGAAATTCTTTCTAGTGAATTAAATAATTTCAATGACCGATTCAATTTGTTAACAATAAGGCATCCCTTTGTTATTACCAAAACCCCCAAAGGAATGCTAGGTATATCTGGAAGGTTCATACAGCTTATCAGACAAAAGGGCTGGGACGGCCAGGATAAGAAGGGCCGTTTTCCCGGCTGAGCCTTTGTTGGATGATATCAGCTCAAGGCTGTGGCAGGCCCATTCATCAAGCTCCGCTCACATCTAGCAGGCTGTAAGGAGAGGCAGGATTGTGCAGTGTCATTGCAGGAAAACAAACTCTTAGGAAAAGCTGGACTTTGAGACAACACATACTTATTAAAGAGCAAAAAGGCGATAAGGGGCCATCTGTGGGCAGACAGAATTTCCTAATGGAATTGAGGGACCCAGGCATTAAGGGAAATATACAACAACATTTACATTTCAATGGCGGTGAATATAGAAAGGTCATTTTCACCTGAACTTGATGTGTTCTAAAGGAAGTGGGATTCATTTGCAGGTGTCTTTCTTGTCAGACAATATGCTTGGGGCATCGATCTTAAGCATTGGGAGAATTTTCATTGCTTCTTTATTTAAAGTTTGGTTTTCAGACTGGTGCAGTGGTGCACAGGAGGCCTGGATACTGTCTCTGAGCTTTTTTGTTCAAGGCTAGCAATCTACCACTTCCAATTCTCTGGTGGTTAATTGAAGAGAAGAGTCTTAGATTTTTCTGCCCGGGCTGGCTTTTAACCTTGATTCTCAGATCTCAGCCTCCTGAGTGGCATGAGCCACTCACACCTGGCTGAAACTCTTTTTGCATTTGTCAACTAAAACCAAGCCGATCCAAATGGGACATATTGTCTTTATGTGTATATGAGCCACAAAAGAGGCCTAGCTGTAAGCTCACAGGTCAGGGCATATGTTGAAAGACAGGTAAAATATAAGACTCTCGCAGAGGCCTGCTTCTGTCACCTATACACATGTGTTCTTTGATGTCTGACTGGTATCTGACACACAGGGGCCCAGAGCTACTCACAGGATTCCAGCCCCAACCATAAGCATGCTGACTCATTTTCCCTGCTGGCAGTTCCTTCTTGTTTTACCCAAGGCCTTATGATGTAGGTAAGTATTCTTCCACCAAGCCGCATCTCCAGCCCTCTGTTTCTTGCTCTTTCAAGCAGGTTTAAGTTGTTCATACATGGGCCAAGTAGGAAGCCATCTGGAGGTGACTTTTTCCCCCCTGTTGCTAAATATTCACATTCTTGTCAGTTCAATTGGCTTTATTTGGGCTTGGAAAATACCATACTATTTGTGATAGTATATGTTCCCAGGTTATGCATTATTACATGTACAGTAATACTGAATGAGAATCTAGCAGAAGCCAATGAATGAGATGAATAACAACCGATTTAGAATGTAATATGCATATAGATATAGGTTATTGTTTGGAATTGTGTAATGCAATGAAATCTCACTTTAGGGTTTCTTTATATGTAGGGCTGATTTGTCTTGCTTCCATTTATGTGCCCTTATTATTATTTAAGGGCCTATAAAGTACCTACTTTCACAATGTCTGTTTTGCCCATAAAAAGTGTCAGAACATGGCTCTGAGGACAGATTATGCAAAGCTTTCATGTATGTTCATTAAATTGTCTAGGCTTAAATTCATTTTATTTGTTCAGTTGGCTGTTTGAATAATGCAGAGTTGGGTGTGATAGTATATGTCTATAATCCCAGCACACAGGAGGCTAAGGGTCAAGAGTTTGAGGCAGGCATTGCCTATGTAGAGAAACCTTGTCTCAAAAAAAAGCCCCAAAACTTGTACTTAAGCGTTAGGATAGATAGCAATAGCTATCAGAAATGTTCTTAATTTGTAGTTGAATCATTGCAGTTCAAAGTTATAGCTCCTTGGAAAGTATGTTTTCCGGGCTGGGAGTGTGACTCACTAGCAACTCTGCTAGAATTTAAAAAGTGCATTTCTTCCCAAGGAAATTGTTTCATTAAAGTAAGCTGATAAAAGAAGAAGAGACCCTCAGTGCCCAGGCGTCCTTTGGTGGCTTCATCACGTCCCATTCAGGTGTTAGAAGTTAATCAGTCATTCCCTCACCTGGACGAAAGTTGTCCCCCTCCCAGGTTTCCCTTCCTCTTAGCAGATTTGGCCTAATTTGTTGACTGTGTCACAGTGTAATAGCACCCGGCTCTTCCTCCCTTGCCCTCCACCCCCTTCCTAGTGGTCCTGCTTGCTATGCATGCAGATGACCACTAGGTGGTGCTAAAAGTCGGGTTATCGCAATGGGCCCAGGGCCCAGTAGGCTGGAGCGGAGATCTGGAAGGCGCTACAAGGCTCACTGGATGGAACTCTGGTTTTCCAAATGGGCAACAGAAACTCAGGGAAAATAAGTAATTGCCAGAGTCCCCCACACACACACTCCTTTTCCCCCTCATTATTTGTTAAAAGATGAGCTTTGTCATCCAGAAGCAGATGTTGATCAAAAACATGAGATGGAGGGTCCTAAGAAATCAAGAAATATAGAAACAACAGCAACTACAAAGAAAACAACAACAACAAACCTATGTAGGCCAGGCCCAGGTGTCTCACACCTGTAATCCTAGCTACTTAGCAAGCTGAGAGCTAAGAATCTGTAACCCTGAGCTTCAGCCCCAGCCCTGGAGGGTTTACAGGGAGGGTTTTTGAGGCAGCATTGGACATCTGGGATCTGCAAATGGGAGGCAGCTTCCTGGGAGGGCCAGGCCAGGCTCTGCTGGGGAGCAGCGGGTTGTGGCTGGTCTAAGGGCACAGGACACAGGGACAGATGTGTCCTGAGGAGGAGTCCCAGGACTGTGGACTTTAGTCTGAAGACTCTGGAGCCGCCCAGGAAGGAAGAGGACTCAGGGAATGGCCTGGGTGGAAACGCTCCTTGGGAAGGCCGCCTCCTGGAGACCCAGAGACCAGAACAAATATGAATTTAAAGCTGGGGTGGCGGAGCAGTGTGAGGTGAGGACTGGACCTGGGCTGGGGGCCGTGTGTGGTGCTGGTGCTGGTGGTGTGCATGCTGAAGAGAGACTTCCTAATTCACCAGCTTCCCTGGGACACAGAGACTGGCCATGTGCATAAGAGCCTTTGAGAGTTCTTAGAACTCTGTGGCCTGAATTACTTACCGGGCATTGAAGGGAAGGGATTGTAATGAAATGTACTTCATCTCCTTAGATTAAAAATTTGAAATTGTTTTTGTTAATGCAGTTGTAATAGCATTCTAAATGCCCCCTTTAGAGCCGGTCCCACTGGACTATAAGAGACCACACAATGGGGCTGGGAAGATGGCTCAGTGGTAGAGCGCTTGCCTTGCATGCCTGAGGCCCTGGGTTCGATTCCTCAGCACCACATAAGCAAAAAGAAAAAAGCCGGAAGTGGTGCTGTGGCTCAAGTGGTAGAGCGCTAGCCTTGAGCTAAAGAGCTGAGGGACAGCGCCCAGGCCCAGAGTTCAGGCTCTACCACTGGACCCAAAAACAAAACAAAACAAAAAAAAAAGAGACCACACAAGAAAATGCTTCCCTCCCTGGCTGCATCTAGGGAGCTCTAGATCCCTCCTTGCATCATTATGTGCACCCCCCTTTTTTGGGGGACTCATCCTGGCATTTTCCTTTCAATGGTCAGAAATCTGCTTCCAGCAGAGCCCTCTCGCCCATGCCCACCACTACTGTGGCTGTCTCCTGGACCTACTGTCACCAAGGGCAGCCGGAAGTGGCCTTGTTGGTGGCAGCCTTTGTGTCAGGAGAAAGGGGCTTGGTCCAGGAAAGCCCAGGACGTAGGGGATCCTTTCCATGGAGAATCTTGTCTTTTGAAGAATTTCTCAGTGCAGAGACACCCCATTTCCCTGTGGCTGACTAAAGCACTAACTACCTTCTTATTACTACAACTATACGGGCTACCAGATTCAAAGTTCTGCACACTAGGTGGGTTGTATGTCCAGTGAACCTGGGGGGCTGTGATTCAAAAGCGGTAAAGTCTGGATCCTTGGGGGCGGGTGTTTGAGGCTCATTTTACAAACCTTTTTTTATTTTATTTCATTTTTTGTCAGTTGGGGGGCTCGAACTCAGGGCCTGGGAGCTATCCCCAAACTTTTGAACTCAAAGCTAGTACTCTATCACAGACCCACTTCTGGTTTTCTTTATCTTTTTTTGGTTGTTGTTGTTGTTGGGTTGTGGGCCTGAATTCTGGGCCTGGGCACTGTCCCTCAGCTCTTCAGCTCATGGCTAGCGCTCTACCACTTGAGCCACAACACCACTTCTGGCTTTTTCTGCTTGTGTGATGCTGAGGAATCTAACCCAGAGCCTCTTGCATGCAAGGCAAGCACTCTACCATTGAGCTACCTTCCCAGCCCCCACTTCTGATTTTCTTGTGGTTAATTGGAGCCTGGACTGGCTTTGAACTGTCATCCTCAGATCTCAACCTCCTTGGTAGCTAGGATTACAGGCATGAACTGTGGGCACCCAGCAGCTCCGTTTCTTTATTCTGAGACTGGAGGACAGGAAGGAGAGCCAGTGTGAGATGGACCAATCCTGGAGCTTCTGGGTGCAGAGAGGAAGTCAACTCCCCTGCCCCCACTTGCTGGGATTTGTTCCCAGCAGCCCATCTTCATTTCCTGATGGTGTACACACACTGCTGATCAATACTCGACTCCCCGGCCTTGAAAATATTTTACCTGCTGGGAAAGCTATTTCGGTCATACACACCCTCTGCCCTCCTGGATTCCACTGTGCACAGCACTTTATCAGCGTCCACTGGGAACGCCCAGCTGCCTGGCTCAGTCCTTCCAGCTGCCTACAGTGTCTCCTGGGGAACTTTCCGGAATGCTTGCCCTGGTCAGCTGCATTTGATTTATGAGAGAGAGAAATCATCTCAGTCTTCACAGTGACACGGTGGTAGGGAAGGACAGGCCATAAGAGTGAGTGGGGACGAATGGAAATATGTAAGCTATTTCATTTGAGAGTCCAGCATGGCTTGTGAAACTGTACTCTGCCTTTCCATCGTTTCCTAGCAGGGATTAAGAGGTGGTCATCTGAGCCCAGTGTGGTAGAGCACACCAGTAATCCTAGCGCTCAGGTGGTGAAGGCACTGCACATTTGCTCTCTCTCCCTCAGTGTAACTGTTGTATTACTTCAGGGTATAGGAAGAGAATTAGATGAGTGAATTGTGTGTGTGTGTGTGTGTGTGTGTGTATGCGTGCACACACACACACACACACATGCCACTTGTGGGGCTTGAACTCAGGGTCTCAAGATCTTGATTAGCTTTTTCACTCAAGGCTGGTATTCTACCACTTGAGCCACACTTCCATTCCTAGCTGCTTTTTTTGCTGGTTTATTGTTGATAAGAACCTAGATCCTCTGATTTTAGCCTTCTGAGCAGCTAGTATTATAGGTGTGAGCCAGTGCCTGGCTATATGAGGGGGAAATGTTAAGATCAGTGAAGATGGCAGAGGTGTGGCAGAGCCAGTACAGATTCTTTGGGAATGTGGGACCCCATGGGGAGAGGGGTGCTCAGAGGTTATTGGGATCAACCATAATTAGTACCTTTTAAGTGACACCCTTTTACTCTGCTTGTGTGTGTGTGTGTGTGTGTGTGTGTGTGTGTTGGTTCTGGGGCTTAAACTCAGAGCCTGTCTTCTATCCCTAAACTTCTTTTTGCTCAAGGCTAGTGTTCTATCACTTGAGCCACAGCTCCACTTCTGATTTTCTGGTGGTTAATTAGAGGTAAGAGTCTCACTGACTATCCTGTCCAGGCTGGCTTCGAACCACAATCCTCAGATCTCAGCCTCCTAAGTAGCTAGGATTACAGGTATGTGCCACCTGCACCTGGCTTGTTTTGTGTTTTACTTTTGGTGTTCACTGAGCCATACCCTAGCCCTTTCTGTACTTGGAACTACAACCATTTTGGTGGTGTTACCCAAATCTTTGGAGGAGGGGGGTGAGCAATGCGGATTAAATATGGAAACGGAAACAAGGAAAAAAACTACATGAGCAGAGTGCATACATCAGTCAACTATCTATTTTTGGTCTGTGGGAAGCAAGCGTTCTTAGTGTAGACATTTCTGGAAGGGTTTCATGTCTGCCCTGGCAATCAGGGAAACTATCACCCTTGTTTCCTGATAGTATAAAGTCATGGGACAGACACAGATAACAAATCAACTCTAATTTCCTCAGAACAGAAACTGCTCTGAAATAAGAAGGGGAACGCAACCTTACAGCCCTATATTAAGTCACAAAAGAGTGCAAAGTAAAAGCCTCGTGTTATTTAAGCTTTTTGTGTGTGGTGCTGGTGGTACTATAATTTGAACTCATATCCTTGCCCTTGCTAGGCAAGTGCTTTACCACTCTCCACACCCCCGACCTTAATTCACCTTCTTTTTCATAAAGCCAGAGCATATGTCTGCAGAATATTTTTCTCTTCATTTGTCTTGACACACATGGAACTCAAGTCTCTTTTGAGAATTCTACTATGTGTTTTCATTTAAATTTGTCAAAGGGCAGGAAGGTTTTTGTTTTTTTTTTAAGGCATGCCTGTGAATTACTGAGGTAAAGAAAGTCAATGACCCCAAATTATATAACCTGGAGCAAAAACAAAACAAAACAAAACAGCAAAAGGCAACATTAGCTAGAAGCTGGAGAGTTAGAGGCCAGTCTTCTCTATAGTGAGACCTTGTGTCCAAACCAACCCCCCCCAAAAAAAACTAACCACGTAAAAAAAGGCAACACAGGCCGTTAAAATGCCTGTTTATATTTTCTGTGAGCAGATCATGGGTCTTTCAGCAGGCATCTTTCTGCTATTATTATTATTTTTTTTTAGCAGTACTAGAGTTTGAACTCTGGCTCTCAAAATTGATAAGGAGGTCGTCTATCACTAGAGACAGAGACAGTAGAGTAGTAAGGAATAAGAAAAGACTATTAGCCAGGCACTGGTGGCTCACACCTATAATCCTAGCTACTCAGGAGGCTGAGATCTGAGGATCATAGTTTGAAGTCAGTCCAGGCAGGAAAGTCTATGAGATTCTTCTCTCTAATTAACTTCCAGAAAATCAGAAGTGGTGCTTGGCTCGAGGTGATAGAGCACCCTAGAGCACTAGCCTTGAGCAAAAGAGCTCAGGGACAGCACCCCAGGCCCTGAGTTCAAGCACTGCCCCTCCACCACCACCACCACCACCACAACAAAAAGACTAGTGATCAAAGAATGGAGAAGAGGGAGCCGAGGTCATAAATCAACTTGTATCTTATTAGGATAGGAATAATGAGGGAGAGAAATAGGGTAATAAGGGGGAGGACTGTGCATGTCTTCTGGGAATGGGTGGAGACCTTCCAGGACCTCAGTCAGGTGTCCCCTCCTTCCACTTCTTTCATGGCTCACATTTCCAGTCATGGTAGCCCAGGACGTGATGTCAGCCTCCAAGGCTGGGAGAGCAACTTGGCAAATCTAGGTCAATTTAACCCTATTTTATAATATTGGTCAGAACTTCTCCAGTGTCTGTGTGTGGTGATGAATAACGTCTGACCCCAGAGGTAAGGCAACAGGATAAACACACAATATGGAGTCAGGGATGCCTCACACCTCCTCTTTCCATCCAGTGCCATCATACCTCTGCAAGTGAAGAGTATCTTTCAGCCAGAGTGGCCTTTGAGTCCTTGCAAAGTACCCTGAGTGGCATTGTTATAGGCATCCAACACAGTGGGCTCTAGCACAAAGTTAGGGGGAAACTTAAGTGTGGCCCAATTGTGTGACCTCCAAGATCAGTGATCTTGCAGTCAACTAAGAGCTGACCAAAAGCTGGATCACCCCCAGGGAGGGGGACTGGACATGAAGGGCCTGGGATTCTCTCCGATGGACGGCGTGACATGGGAGTTGCTGAGGGTGGCTGCTGAATTTGCCTAGGTCAGGTCACAGGACAAAGTTTTCTCTCGCGAGACATTATGTAGTGCCCCCCCCTTCACCCCTTCCTGGGC